TCTCACAGTTACTTCCTAGTGTTCAGGTGGAGTCTCCTTTCTTCTAGTTTGAAGCCAGTTCCTATTCTCTACTGTTTTCTTCCTTGAAGTTATAATTTGCTTATTTTACATTTTAAAGATGGTGGTGATGCCCAGTGGAGGCCTTTTCTTCCATCAGGTGAACCCCAAATGGCTCTGTAGACTGACCCATATCCATTCTTGGACAGTATCGTTGCCACGTGATCCACTTTTGGCCCTTGTACAGACGTTGTGTTTGCATTCCCAGCGATGCGATAACGGCCACGATGCAAGCTCTGGTTTGTGTAGACCTTATTGAGCTGAACTGAATAGCCCCAGTCAAGGTTGTTTTGTGGGGGATTAGGCCTGTGGGCAGCGGTCCCAAACTGCAGTAAAGCTCCTTTCTGTTTCAGAAACCTTGGGTGACCACTTCTCCAGGGTAAGGGGGGCGGGGGAGAGGGTGGCTGAAAGAAAACGCTTGAGAAACAGATGGCAAAGGCAGGTCGTCTTATACCCACCCCTCCTGTAAGGTTAATAATACAAATTGCAATTTTGGAGAGAATATATAAGACCTTCCTAGCCTGGTTCTCCAGTGGGTTTTCTTTCTGCAACCACTGTGTTTGTCCTCCTATTGTTGCCTCCATAGGTGGGGATATTCTTATGCAGTGTGCCGTCTGGTCCTTGTTTTTTGGTGGCCCCCCAGAACTCATTCTGGTGGTGCTTTTGGTGGCACCCCAAATCTCAATCTGGTGGTGCATTTAGTGGCACCCCAGATCTCATTCTGGTGGTACTTTTGGTGGCACCCCAGATCTCAGTCTGGTGGTGCTTTTGATGGCACCCCAGATCTCATTCTGGTGGTGATTTTGGTGGCTCTCCAGATCTCATTCTGGTGGTGATTTTGGTGGCACTCCAGATCTCATTCTGGTGGTGATTTTGATGGCACCCCAGATCTCATTCTGGTGGTGCTTTTGGTGGCACTCCAGATCTCATTCTGGTGGTGCTTTTGGTGGCAACCCAGATCTCATTCTGGTGGTGCTTTTGGTGACACCCAGATCTCATTCTGGTGGTGCTTTTGGTGGCACCCCAGATCTCAGTCTGGTGGTGCTTTTGATGGCACCCCAGATCTCATTCTGGTGGTGATTTTGGTGGCTCTCCAGATCTCATTCTGGTGGTGATTTTGGTGGCACTCCAGATCTCATTCTGGTGGTGATTTTGATGGCACCCCAGATCTCATTCTGGTGGTGATTTTGGTGGCACTCCAGATCTCATTCTGGTGGTGCTTTTGGTGGCAACCCAGATCTCATTCTGGTGGTGATTTTGGTGGCTCTCCAGATCTCATTCTGGTGGTGATTTTGGTGGCACTCCAGATCTCATTCTGGTGGTGATTTTGATGGCACCCCAGATCTCATTCTGGTGGTGCTTTTGGTGGCACTCCAGATCTCATTCTGGTGGTGCTTTTGGTGGCAACCCAGATCTCATTCTGGTGGTGCTTTTGGTGACACCCAGATCTCATTCTGGTGGTGCTTTTGGTGGCACCCCAGATCTCAGTCTGGTGGTGCTTTTGATGGCACCCCAGATCTCATTCTGGTGGTGATTTTGGTGGCTCTCCAGATCTCATTCTGGTGGTGATTTTGGTGGCACTCCAGATCTCATTCTGGTGGTGATTTTGATGGCACCCCAGATCTCATTCTGGTGGTGCTTTTGGTGGCACTCCAGATCTCATTCTGGTGGTGCTTTTGGTGGCAACCCAGATCTCATTCTGGTGGTGCTTTTGGTGACACCCAGATCTCATTCTGGTGGTGCTTTTGGTGGCACCCAGATCTCATTCTGGTGGTGCTTTTGGTGGCACCCCAGATCTCATTCTGGTGGTGCTTTTTGTGGCATCCAAGATCTTATTCTGGTGGTGCTTTTGGTGGCACCCCAGATCTCATTCTGGTGGTGCTTTTGGTGGCACCCCAGATCTCATTCTGGTGGTGCTTTTGGTGGCACCCCAGATCTCATTCTGGTGGTGCTTTTGGTGGCACTCCAGATCTCATTCTGGTGGTGCTTTTGGTGGCACCCCAGATCTCATTCTGGTGGTGCTTTTGGTGGCGCTCCAGATCTCACTCTGGTGGTGCTTTTGATGGCACCCCAGATCTCATTCTGGTGGTGATTTTGGTGGCTCTCCAGATCTCATTTTGGTGGTGCTTTTGGTGGCATCTCAGATCTCATTCTGGTGGTGCTTTTGGTGGCACCCCAGATCTTCTTCTGGTGGTGATTTTGGTGGCACTCCAGATCTCATTCTGGTGGTGCTTTCGGTGGCATCCCAGATCTTATCCTGGTGGTGCTTTTGGTGGCACCCAGATCTCATTCTGGTGGTGCTTTTGGTGGCACTCCAGATCTCATTTTGATGGTGATTTGGTGGCACTCTAGATCTCATTTTGGTGGTGCTTTTAGTGGCACCCCAGATCTCATTTTGGTGGTGCTTTTGTTGGCATCCCAGATCTTATTCTGGTGGTGATTTTGGTGGCACTCCAGATCTCATTTTGATGGTGATTTGGTGGCACTCTAGATCTCGTTTTGGTGGTGCTTTTGGTGGCACTCCAGATCTCATTCTGGTGATTTTAGTGGCATCTCAGATCTCATTTTGGTGGTGCTTTTGGTGGCATCTCAGATCTCATTCTGGTGGTGCTTTTGGTGGCACCCCAGATCTTCTTCTGGCGGTGATTTTTGATGGCACCCCAGATCTCATTGTGGTGGTGCTTTTAGTGGCACCCCAGATCTCATTCTGGTGGTGCTTTTGGTGGCGCTCCAGATCTCAGTCTGGTGGTGCTTTTGATGGCACCCCAGATCTCATTCTGGTGGTGATTTTGGTGGCTCTCCAGATCTCATTCTGGTGGTGACTTTGGTGGCACTCCAGATCTCATTCTGGTGGTGATTTTGATGGCACCCCAGATCTAATTCTGGTGGTGATTTTGGTGGCACTCCAGATCTCATTCTGGTGGTGCTTTCGGTGGCATCCCAGATCTTATCCTGGTGGTGCTTTTGGTGGCACCCAGATCTCATTCTGGTGGTGCTTTTGGTGGCACCCAGATCTCATTCTGGTGGTGTTTTTGGTGGCACCCCAGATCTCATTTTGGTGGTGCTTTTGATGGCACCTCAGATCTCATTTTGGTGGTGCTTTTTGGTGGCATCCCAGATCTTATTCTGGTGGTGATTTTGGTGGCACTCCAGATCTCATTTTGATGGTGATTTGGTGGCACTCTAGATCTCATTTTGGTGGTGCTTTTAGTGGCACCCCAGATCTCATTTTGGTGGTGCTTTTGTTGGCATCCCAGATCTTATTCTGGTGGTGATTTTGGTGGCACTCCAGATCTCATTTTGATGGTGATTTGGTGGCACTCTAGATCTCGTTTTGGTGGTGCTTTTGGTGGCACTCCAGATCTCATTCTGGTGATTTTAGTGGCATCTCAGATCTCATTTTGGTGGTGCTTTTGGTGGCATCTCCGATCTCATTCTGGTGGTGCTTTTGGTGGCACCCCAGATCTTCTTCTGGCGGTGATTTTTGATGGCACCCCAGATCTCATTGTGGTGACTTGGGGTTTTCCCAGTGGGGCAACTGATTGTTGGTTCAGGGCATAGTGTTCGACTGGACTGCAAGGCCTTCCTTGTGTTCCAGTTGATCTGTCCCTACGTCCAGCTCTTTCCCGTGGCTTTTGTCCAGAGTTGGGAGGGCAGAGGTGTCAAGACCCCACCTCTCCGGTGATGAGATGCATGGAAGAAGGGGCGATGTGGGATTGTCCTGTTCTCTTTTGGAAAAGCCCTTCCCTCCTTCCCTCTTAGTCAGATGGGCCTTCAAGGGAGAAGCATGACCTCATGATTGCTTGAGCCCAGAAGAATGTCTCCAGGACGGCTGTGTCACTTGTCAGGAGGCCCCTCGCTGACCCGTCCCCCCTTCCCGTCTTCCCCGAGGTTTCTGGCTATTGTTTTGGCCATGGGCTGTCCGTGGAGAAGGAGACAAACACCCAGCCTTGTTCTGGGAGGTTAAATTCCTTCTCAGAGCAAGGATTAAGTTGTAGCCTTGTTGACTTTTCCTCCCAGACCAGGAATGTCTCCAGTAGATAGCAGATCCCTGCTTCCAGTGTGCTGAGAGAGTATATTCGGGTATATATGCCGAGTGTATATTCCCTTCTGGTAGTATATTCCTTCTTATGATGGCCCCGAGCAAGGGTAGCCTCTATATTTCCCAGAATACCCTGGTTACCTAGAGAATTATCTGGTTTGTCGTCCAAATTATACACACACACACACACACGCTTGGGTATTGGGCATTGCAGTTTTGTAATTGTACCAAATGCATAAGGTTGTGGGTGAACTACAACTCCCATCATGCCAAGTTAACCGAGAGGAACTCCATCAGTACTTAAAGTTCGTTATTCTGGTCAATGTTTCTTTAGATGCATCATCAATAGGGTTCAGTGGGCTCTCTGGATGTTAGTTTTTCAATTGTCGAAAATAATGTTGTGGGTGAACTACAACTCCCATAATGCCAGGTTAACCCCCTAAAGTTTGTTATGTTGGGCAAGTCTGCGGTAGATGCGTCATTGGAGGGGTTCAGTGTGCTCTCTGGCTGCAGGGTGAACTACAACTCTCACCATGGTGAGTCAGTCCCCTCAAACCCCTCAACCAGTAGGTTGAGTAAATCATGGGGATTCTGTGTGCTGAGTTTGGTCCAGATCCATCATCAGTGGAAGTCACAGATGATCTGGTTGTTGGTGAACTACAACTCCCAGAAAGGAAGGTCACTTCCCCCCAAACCCCTCCAGTAATCAAATTTTGGCATACCAGGTCTGTGTGCCAAATGTGATCCAGATCCATCTGTGTTTGGGTTCTCAGTGCTGTCTGAATGTAGGTGAACTACAACTCCCACAAATCAAGGTGTGCAAAGTGTGGTCCAGATCCATCGCTGTTTGGATCCTAGTTGAGGGGGATCCCTCTCCAGCCCTTAGCTGATGCCTCTGTACCTTGGAAGCGGCCTCGGATGTCGTCACAGTTTCCTCCTGAAATTGCACCTGACGTTAGCAGAGAATCGGGTGGAACGGGAGAGGTCTTCTCCGCATTCGGCACACTCTCCTCATTCCTTTCTGGCTCCATTGCTATAGAAACAGGCTTGCTGGAGCCTCTGAAATGATGGTGGGAATATACTGTGGGTGATCTAATTGCAGACGGGGAGCGTCATTGCATAACTCCCCCCCCCCCAATAATTGTATAATAATTGGGTGTACCTGTTTTGGACATCCTTTTTATTGAAGACTAGCGGTACCCGCCACACGTTGCTGTGACCAACCTTCCCTCCCTCTTTCTCTCCTTCTTTCCCTCCTTCCTTTGCTCCCTCTTTCCTTCCTTCCTTCCCTTTTCTTCTTTCCTTCTCTCCTTCCTTCCATCTCTACCTCCTTCCTTCCCCTTTTCCTTCCTCTGTCTCTCCTTTTTTCCTTCTGTACCTCTTTACTTCCTCCCTTAGCTTTTTGCTTCCATCCTTCCTTCTCTTTCTTTCTTTCCTTCACTCCCTCTTTCTCTCCTTCTTTCTCTTCTTACTTTTTGCTTCCATCTTTCTTTCTCTCTTTCCTTCTTCCCTCCCTCTTTCCCTCCCTCTTTCTCTCCTTCCTTTGCTCCCTCTTTCCTTTCTTTCCTTTTTTCTTTCCTTCTCTCCTTCCTTCTATACCTCTTTCTTTCCTTCCCCCTTTTTCTTTACCTTCCTCTTTCTCTCCTTTCTTCACTTTTTGCTTCCATCTTCTTTCTTTCCTTCTTTCCTTCCCTCCTTTTCTTCATATAATAATTAATTAAAATTTTTCTTTCTTACTTCTCTCTATTTTATTAATAAATACATCTTCATTATAAAAATTTTTCTATTACAACTTTGCTCTAATTCATTACTATATAAATTTTACTTAATTACAACTTTTTAGTGGTACTTACGATTTCTTCATTCTCTAAATATTTCAATTCATTCATTAGACTTTGCTTAAAACATTAATGATATATTAATTCATTAATGTTAATAAAGTTATCTGTATTTATATAACGTCTATTATCTTTCTGACAATTCCACAGTTTCTCTTATGCTTATCAATAAAATTTACTAAATCATCTATCTTTACCTCATTAAAACTTTTTACTTTTACTTAGATTTATATAATTTATGAATTCTCTAACTCTTTACTAATTAAATCTTTTTCTCTTAGATTTATATCATTTATCGAATGTCTATATTCTTTCATTTCATTCCACTTTTCATTACGCTTTTTCCTATCCTTATATACTCTATACTTACTTACTTCACTTTTTGCTTAAACTTCTATTTACACCTTAATTTTCAAAATCACGTATTAATTAGATATTTCTTTTTACTATTTTTTCTTTCTCTTCTGCTGTCTCTCTTTCCTTCACTTCCTCTTTCCTTCCTTTTTTTTTTCTTCTCTCCTTCTTCCTTCTCTACCTCTTTCTTCCTTCCCCCTTTTCTTTTCCTTCCCCCTTTTTCTCCTTTCTTCCTTCTCTACCTCTTTCCTTCCGTCTCTCTTTCCTTCTTCCTTTTTCTCCTTCTTTCTTCTTCCTTTTCTCTTTCTCCTTCCCTTTTCTCTTCTTTCTCTCCTTTTCTTCTCTACCTCTTTCCTTCCCCTTTTTCTTTTCCTTCCTTTTCTCTCCTTTCTTCCTTTTCTTCCTCTTTCCTTCCTTCCTCCTTCCTTCTTCTTTTGCTTCCATCCTTCCTTCTCTTTTCCTTCTTCTTCCCTCCCTCTTTCTCTCCTTCTTCTATCTCTTTCCTTCCTTCCTTCGCTCCTTGCTTCCATGCTTCCTTCTCTATTTCCTTCTTGCTTTCCCTCCCCCTTCCTGCCTTTCTCCCCTTCCTTCCCTCCCTCTTTCTTCCCTTTTCTTTCTATATCATCATTTAGCTTTTGGGGGTTTTTAAGTTCTTTCTGCTGTATTTTTGGGTGGTTTATAAGTGATGGTCACTCGCTGTTCTGTTAGGGATATAGTGTCCAAATTTTGTGTCAATTCATCAATTCCTCCGGTGGTTTCTGAGTTATGTTAATCCCACAAATGGACTTTACATTTTTATTTATATAGATCATACTAGTTAAAAGTTGGGTCCTTCCACGATGCCCAAGGACCAAGCATGGAGGAAACTCAACGTACACCTCTGGGCATCGCGATGGCGCGTACTCTTCCTCCTAACGTGTCCATTCCCTCCTCTGTTCACAGTGATCCATGCTGACGACGCGCCATTCGTGCAGATGAGCCCGGGGCCCCGGCGGCGGCAGCAGCAGTGGCACTCCAAACCCAGATAGTTGGTCTTGAGGCCCGGCAGGATGCCATCCACCAACCGAGCGGGCAGCCTGAAGGACCCGGAGGTCGCGGAGCTTTTCTTCAAGGAGGACCCGGAGAAGCTCTTCTCAGACCTCCGAGAGATCGGCCATGGCAGCTTCGGCGCCGTTTATTTTGTAAGAGGGCTTGGGGGACTTTGGGAACAGATCGACTCCAGCTTGGCTGGCCCAAAGAGTCACATCACAAACATACATTTGAAGGGCCTTATTCTCTCTTCTTTTGAGGAGGTTGTCTCTTTGTCCCACCTTCTTCAAGGATACAACAAGACAGGGCCTTCTCAGTGACTGCCCCTAATTTCTAGACTCCCTCCCTGTCTCTTTCAGGAGGGCTTTGATGGTTGACTCTGTCCTTTCCAAGGCCTGGTCCACCAAAACAAAAAGCTGGGTTTTCTGTTTGTTATTTTTATGGTCCTGTTTTTTTTGTAGGATTTGTGTTTTTGGCACTTTTGTGGGGATCTTTTACAACTTGTAAGCCACCTTTGCCTTTTATAATCCCCCCCCCCCTTCTCTTGGGCTGCCCTGAATTGGGGGCTTGTCCCAAAGGGCCTTAGTACTTGGCTCCAGTGTCCTCTTCAAGTGCCTCCCTGGAACAATAGCAGGCTGAACAAAAGCACGTTGTTGTGTGGGAACAGAGATGCCTTGCGGAGCCACATACTGGTTGCTATTGTCAGCCAAGGGTGCGGGACACAGCTGGGGGCTCCGGTCTCTGCAGAGTGTGCCTCGCACCAGGTAGCAGGGCAAGGAAAACATATACCATATATACTCAAAGATACAAGTTTTTCAGGAGCCTGGGGGCCATTGCTTGCAATACTATATGATATATTTCTCTCTCCTCTTCCCCTTCCTTAACAGTGTGTTTTCTTTTCCAGTCAAAAGGGAGGGGAGGAGGATATATTTCATGTCCTCCTTATTTGTATGGCTCTCTTTCAAACCCACCCAATTTCCTGGCTTTTTTGTATGTGTATCTAAATATATTAACTTTATATGTTCATTTTTGTTCCCTGGAAGTTTCCCCCTCATATGTTTGCAGGTCTTTGCAAATCCTATATACATATAAATATCTCCACGTATCTGTATATCTGTATCTATATCCATTATTTTATATTAATTTTCCCCTTACAAGTTTCCAAGTCTCTGTCAATCTTATATCAATCTTATATAGGTATTGATAAATATATAGAGGTACCTATGTATCTGTATATCTGTGTGTGTATGTATATGTGTGTGTGTGTGTATGTGTGTGTGTATATATATATATATATATATATATATATATAATTTTATGTATGAATTTTCTCCTCACATGTTTGCAAGTCTCTGCAAATCCTGTATAGATATAGATATCAATAAATATATAGAGGTACCTATATGTTTGTGTATGTATATGTGTGTGTGTGTGTGTGTATACACACACACACACACACACACACATATATATACATACACACACACATAATTTAGGTATGAATTTTCCCCTCACGTGTTTGCAAATCTCTGCAAATCCTGTATAGATATAGATATTGATAAATATACAGAGATACCTATATATCTGTTTGTGTATATATGTGTGTGTGTGTGTGTGTAATTTTATCTAGGAATTTTCCCCTCACATGTTGCAAGGCTCTGCAAATCCTGTATAGATATAGATATCAATAAATATATAGAGGTACCTATATATCTGTTTGTATACATATATGTGTGTGTGTGTGTGTATATATATATATATACACACACATTATTTTATGTATGAATTTTCCCCTCACATGTTTGCAAGTCTGCAAATCCTGTATAGATATAGATATCAATAAATATATAGAGGCACCTATATATCTGTTTGTGTCCATATGTGTGTGTGTGTGTGTGTATATAATTTTATGTATGAATTTTCCCCTCACATGTTTGCAAGTCTGCAAATCCTGTATAGATATAGATATCAATAAATATGTAGAGGTACCTATATATCTGTTTGTGTACATATATGTGTGTGTGTGTGTATACACACACACACACATTATTTTATGTATGAATTTTCCCCTTACATGTTTGTAAGTCTTTGCAAATCCTATATAGATATAATTATAGAGAGAGAGAGGTCTAGATAGATATATATGAATATAGATCTATTGGGCTTGCAAATATTGCAGGAGGGAAATGCACACACAAATATATATATATCGACATGTCTAGATAGATGGGAATAAGGATGCTTTTCCAAGTTTTGATGGGAATTTCTGCTAGCCTGGTGTATTCATGCCTTGTGTCTTTGGCCTTGCAGGCACGCGATGTCCGAACCAATGAAGTGGTGGCCATCAAGAAGATGTCTTATAGTGGGAAACAGTCCAACGAGGTGTGTGAATTGGCCGTACAATTGAGGTTCAGAGGCTTCGCTGCATCTGTGCTTGGGTGAAACGCTTCACATGGGTCCAAAAATGGTCTTGGAGGCCAAAAAGAAGCGCTCTCCGAGAGAGACTTTGCAGGACCTCTGTCTATGTCAGTTTGCCTTGGAAAGGAAAGGGGCAACTGCTTTGTGCAAAATGAGCTTTCAGGGGGAATGGAAGCATACCATATTTGTATGTTGTTGAATGCTTTCATGGCCAGAATCATTGGGTTGCTGTGAGTTTTCTGGGCAGTCTGACCATGCTCCGGAAGCACACTCTCCTGAAGTTTCACCTACATCAATGGCAGGCATCCTCAAAGGTTGTGAAGTCTGCTGGAAACTAAGCAAGCGAGATTTATATATCCGTGGAAGGTCCAGGGTGAGAGAAAAATCTCTTGTCTGTTGGCACCAGTTGCCATTAATCACCTTGATTAGCATTGAATGGCCTTGCAGCTTCAAGGCCTGGCTGATTCTTGCTTAGAGGAATCCTTTGTGGAGGGGTGTTAGCTGGCCCTGATTGTTTCCTGTCTGGAATTCCCTCGTGTTTTTTTTTTTTAGTGTTACTCTTTATTTACTATCCTGATTTTTGAGTTTTTAAACAACTGGTAGCCAGATTTTGTCCATTTTCACGGTTTCCTCTTTTCTGTTGAAACTGTCCACATGCTTGTGGGTTTCGGAGTTAGCCGCTCTGAGTCCCCATCGGGGAGATGGTGGCGGGGTATAAATAAAGTTTATTATTATTATTATTATTATTATTATTATTATTATTATTATTATTTCAGTGGCCTTCTCTGTGTTGTTTGACATGGTGGTGGTGAGAGTGTGTTCTCAAATAATAGGCTGTGTCCAGGTTGGTTCGTCAAAATCAATCAGGGCCAGCTCACACCTCCAAACAAAGGACCCCTCCCAGGCAGCAATCAGCCAGGCTTTGAAGCTGCAAGGCCATTCGATGCTAATCATTTCTCAAGAAACTTAGGATATCTGTGACATTAGATTTATCTTGATTTGGATTTTGTTTTAATTGCATTATTGTTTAATGAATTGTATAATGTGTTTTTAATGGTTTTTAATGTTTTTAATGTAATTTTTGATTGTTTATATGCTGATAGCATCATATCATGCTTGTGTGAGGCCGCCCTGAGGGTGGAGTAGAAATGCATGAAATAAATAAATATAAATAAGCAAACCCCCAGGTTGAGAAACGCTTGTCTAAAGTATGTGTAGTAAAAATGAAACCCCATTGAACTCCATAATAGGAATGTCATACAACCCAGTAAGGTCCCTCAGTGCTATAATGGGTGTCGAAGCGTGAAGAGACTCCTCACAATGCCACAACACCAAATTCAGACTTGTGCAACATTCACACTTGCCTCAAGCAGACAAGAATTCTTTCTACCACAGATATATAATCCCAATTTTCCTAGTTTCCAACAGACCTCAACCTCTGAGGATGCCTGCCATAGATGTAGGCGAAATGTCAGGAGAGAATGCTTCTGAAACATGGCCGGCCAGCCTGGAAAACTCACAGCAACCCATACCATATTGGTGTTCGGGTTTTCCTTTGTCGCCTTCTGCCGAATCTGACAAAAGGAAACTTGCTAGGAATGATAGGCGCAGACATGACGGCAGGATACATGACCAACCGCGCTGGGCTTGCCTGCCAAACGGAATCACAAGGCCGGTCAGGCAGAAACGGCATCCCGGCTCCCCTTCGCTCCGAACCAATTTTGTCCTGAGGAACTCCACAAAGATAACAGCGGCGGCATGAGCGTGGGAAAATGCCGGTCCTGGCAGATTAGGGGCGGCTTTGAGCAGCCAGAGCTGGCCGGGGAGAGGAGGAATGTCACGCATTGGCTCCAACTCAGCCACTTGGCCAGAGGCTCGGGATTCTGGGCCCGGTCGGAAACGGAGACCTTCCCTGTTTCTGTGGCATTTCCAAAATCCCAGCTTGTTTGAATACAGGCACCTCTTGCTCCTAATATTAAAGGTAAAGGTAAAGGTAGTCCCCTGACATTAAGTCCAGTCATGTCTGACTCTGGGGTGTGGTGCTCATCTCCATTTCTAAGCCGAAGAGCCAGCGTTGTCCGTAGACACCTCCAACGTCATGTGGCCGGCATGACTGCATGGAGCGCTGTTACCTTCCCGCCGGAGCGGTACCTATTGATCTACTCACATTTGCATGTTTTCGAACTGCTAGGTTGGCAGAAGCTCCTATTATTACTCCCATAGTAATAACAACAACAATAGGGCCAGCTAACACCTTCAAACAAAGGATTCCCCCAGGCAGCAGGCAGCCAGGTTTTGAAGCTAGAAGGCCATTCTTTCCTGTCTTTCTCAAGCCTGCAGGCAAGTCAAGGCTTTTTTTGAGTGAAGGACATAGATTGCTTTGAATGGTGTCTTGTGTCCAAATTTGATGTCAATTTGCCCACCGGTTTTTGAGTTCTGTTAATCCCACAAATGAACATTATATTTTTATTTATATAGATTGTATTGTCGAAGGTTCATGGCTGGAATCACTAGGTTCTTGTGGGCTTTTTTGGGCTATAGGGCTATGTTCTAGAGGCATTTCTCCTGACGTTTCGCCTGCATCTATGGCAAGTATCCTCACTACCTCTGAGGATGCTTGCCATAGATGCAGGCGAAATGTCAGGAGAAATGCCTCTAGAAATTGCAGAGGGCCTTGGAGCCAAAGGCACGGATGGGGTTGTGTCTTGCTCTCCCGTGGTCAAACCTTCCCTTTTCCTTCTTCCCCAGAAATGGCAGGACATCGTGAAAGAGGTGAAGTTCCTCCAGAGGATCCAGCACCCCAACAGCATCGAGTACAAAGGCTGCTACCTGCGGGAACACACGGCCTGGGTGAGCGGACCACAAGCGCTGCCCTCCCTCCCAGCCTCCTTTGCCCCCTTCCTCGCCCCCTTAAGCCTCCGCCGGACTTGGATCTCAGCCCTCCTTGGCTGACCTCCTCCTCCTCCTCCTAATGCTCGGAGATTTACGGAGGCCTTTGGAATGTTAAACCCCAAACAAATAGGGAAAGGCCTCCTCCCGGCCCTGCTCGCTTCCTACTGAACTTTTGCAACGTCACACTATCTTCGTTACGTTACTCGACTCCAGAATATTTTACAAGGCAGTTCCTATTAACGTCAGTTGACTGGGGCTGATAGGCTCTGGAGTCCAAATCATTTCATAGAATGAGACCTGGTGGGCCATCATCCAGTCCAACCCCATTCTGCTAAGAAGCAGGAAAATTGCATTCAAAGCACCCCCGACAGATGGCCATCCAGCCTCTGCTTAAAAGCCTCCAAAGAAGGAGTCTCCACCACACTCCAGGGCGGAGAGTTCCACTGCTGAACAGCTCCCTCTCATTTGGTATCAGCCATTGGAGCCCCCGGTGGCGCAGTGGGTTAAAGCCCTGTGCTGGCAGGACTGAAGACTGACAGGTCACAGGTTCAAATCCGGGGAGAGGCAGTTGAGCTCCCTCTATCAGCTCCAGCTCCTCATGCGGGGACATGAGAGAAGCCTCCCACAAGGATGATAAAACATCAAAAATCATCTGGGCGTCCCCTGGGCAACGTCCTTGCAGACGGCCAGTTCTCTCACAACAGGATGCTCCTGACACAACAAAAAAAAAAGCCATTGATTGAGGTTCTGGGTTTGAGCCTGCCACTTTTGGACTCTCACTTGCTGAGGTGTTCCAGCGAGTGTCTCTGTATATCTCCCTCATGTTCAGGTGGAATCTCCTTTCTTGTAGTTTGAACCCATTGCACCATTGCGTCCTAGTCTCCCGGGTGGCAGAAAACAAGCCTCCGCCCTCCTCCCTATAACTTCCTCTCACATATTTATACATAGCTATCATGTCTCCTCTCAGCCTTCTCTTATTCCGGCTAAATATACCCAGCTCTTTAAGCCTCTCCTCATAGGGCTTGTTCTCCAGACCCTTGATCATTTTAGTTGCCCTCCTCTGGACAACCGCTTTGAGTCCCCCGAGGGGGGAGAAAAGCGGTATATAAATACTGTAAATAAATAAATTTGGAGACTATGCAGCCAGAAGCCATGGGAGGGATTTGGGGGTCCTGATAAAACCTAGACGCACGAGCAGCAGGTTGATGGGATCCCCCGTTTTTGGTGTACATAGAATTATAGTTCCTATATGTAAACATTGATGCTTTATTTTCCTTTTTTCCTTTCTCCAGCTTGTTATGGAATACTGTTTAGGGTCGGCATCAGATCTGCTAGAAGGTACGTCCCTTGCTTCTTCTTGTTGTTGTTGTTGGAAGGGACCCCAAGGGGCCATTCAGTCCAGCCCGCTTCTGCCAGGCAGGAAGATTATTATTATTATTATTATTATTATTATTATTATTACATTATTGTTTTTGTTGTTGTTGGAAGGGACCCCAAGGGGCCATTCAGTCCAGCCCCCTTCTGCCAGGCAGGAAGATTGTATTATTATTATTATTATTATTATTATTATTATTATTGGATTGTTGTAGGTTGGGCTGTATGGCCATGGTCTAGAGGCATTCCCTCCTGACGTTTCGCCTGCATTTTGAAAAAGAGGGGTATTATTTATTTATTTGGTGGTTGTAGGTTTTTTCGGGCTGTATGGCCATGGTCTAGAGGCATTCTCTCCTGACGTTTCGCCTGCACTTTGGCAAGCATCCTCAGAGGTAGTGAGGCCTGTTGGAGCTAGGCAAAAGGGTTTATATATCTGTGGAATGACCAGGGTGAGACAAAGGACTCTTCTCTGTTAGAGCTAGGTGTGAATGTTTCAACTGACCACCTTGATTAGCATACAATGGCCTGACAGTGCCTGGGGCAAACTTTTGTTGAGAGGTGATTAGATGTCCTTGTTTGTTTCCTCTCTGTTGTTGTGCTGTTGCAATTTTAGAGTTTTTTAATACTGGTAGCCAGATTTTGTTCATTTTCATGGTTTCCTCCTTTCTGTTGAAATTGTCCACATGCTTGTGGATTTCAATGGCTTCTCTGTGTAGTCTGACATGGTGGTTGTGAGAGTGGTCCGGCATTTCTGTGTTCTCAAATAAAATGCTGTGTCCAGGTGGTTCATCAGGTGCTCTGCTATGGCTGACTTCTCTGGTTGAAGTAGTCTGCAGTGCCTTTCATGTTCCTTGATGCGTGTCTGGGCAATGCTGCGTTTGGTGGTCCCTATGTAGACTTCTTGTCCACAGCTGCATGGTACACGGTAGACTCCTGCAGAAGTGAGAGGATCCCTCTTGTCCTTTGCTGAACGTAGCATTTGTTGGATTTTCTTGGTGGGTCTGTAGATAGTTTGTATGTTGTGTTTCCTCATCAGCTTCCCTATGCGGTCAGTGGTTCCCTTGGATATAATGGAAGGAAGACTGCCTTTTCTAGATGTCCTAGTCATCCGCAAACCAGATCAACAATTGGGTCACATCGTCTACAGAAAACCCACACACACAGATAGATATCTACATAAAAACTCCAACCATCACCCAAGTCAAAAAAGAAGCACCATTAAAGCCTTGGCAGACCGTGCAAAAAGAATCTGCGAACCCCACCTCCTTCAAGATGAACTGAACCACCTAAACTGGGCTCTACAGGCCAATGGAGACTCCACCTCAGACATCAGAAGAGCTGCAAGACCGAGAACAAGCCACGAGAGTCAAGACGAAGATCCACCCAGAGGAAAAGTATTCTTGCCATACATCAAGGGAACCACTGACCACATAGGGAAGCTGATGAGGAAACACAACATACAAACTATCTACAGACCCACCAAGAAAATCCAACCAATGCTACGTTCAGCAAAGGACAAGAGGGATCCTCTCACCTCTGCAGGAGTCTACCTCAAAACCCACCATTATTTAAATTTGGGCACATCGGGTCTGCATGCAGTGCCAGGTTCAATAGGTGTTTACCTATGGGTGTGTTTGAAAATATTGCATTTGATCTTTGAGTTGAGCTGTCCCGCCCATTCAGAAAGAGAGAGATAGTTTTCAGAGGATATTAAGGCAGGCATAAAGAACTTTCCAACTATTAGGCTTTGCATTGTACTGTGGCCAAGTCTTCTCCTCTCTCACTACTGATCCTTCTCTCCTCATGTTTGTTTGTTTGGAAATATTCATTTCCTTTTCTCCCCGCTTCCAGTCCATAAAAAGCCATTGCAAGAGGTGGAAATTGCCGCGATCACCCACGGTGCGCTCCAGGGCCTGGCGTACTTGCATTCTCACAACATGATCCATAGGTCAGTCCTTTGGGATATTGGCGGCCAGCCTTCTATGGAGAGAGCCATTTTTGCTTTCTTGGGAACCAACCAGCGCCTTGTTGGCTCTGCAGCGCCGCTGACTTAACCCTTCCTTTCCTCCGTAGAGATATCAAGGCGGGGAACATCCTGTTGACGGAACCAGGCCAGGTGAAGCTGGCCGACTTCGGGTCCGCCTCCATCGCCTCTCCAGCCAACTCATTTGTGGGGACGCCATATTGGTAAGAGGGTCATTCGAGGTCAGAGTGGGGGGCGCCATATTGGTAAAAGGGTCATTTTAGGTAAGTGTGGGGGTGCCATATTGGTAAAAGGGTCATGTGAGGTCAGAGTGGGGGCGCCATATTGGTAAGAGGGTCATGTGAGGTCAGAGTGGGGGCGCCATATTGGTAAAAGGGTCATGTGAGGTCAGAGTGGGGGTGCCATATTGGTAAGAGGGTCATTTGAGGTCAGAGTGGGCGCGCCATATTGGTAAAAGGGTCATTTGAAGTCAGAGTGGGGGGCGCCATATTGGTAAGAGGGTCATGTGAGGTCAGAGTGGGGGCGCCATATTGGTAAGAGGGTCATGTGAGGTCAGAGTGGGGGCGCCATATTGGTAAGAGGGTCATGTGAGGTCAGAGTGGGGGTGCCATATTGGTAAGAGGGTCATGTGAGGTCAGAGTGGGGGCGCCATATTGGTAAGAGGGTCATGCGAGGTCAGAGTGGGGGCGCCATATTGGTAAGAGGGTCATGTGAGGTCAGAGTGGGGGCGCCATATTGGTAAGAGGGTCATGCGAGGTCAGAGTGGGGGACGCCATATTGGTAAGAGGGTCATGCGAGGTCAGAGTGGGGGTGCCATATTGGTAAGAAGGTCGTGCGAGGTCAGAGTGGGGGCGCCATATTGGTAAGAAGGTCGTGCGAGGTCAGAGTGGGGGTGCCATATTGGTAAGAGGGTCATGTGAGGTCAGAGTGGGGGCGCCATATTGGTAAGAGGGTCATGCGAGGTCAGAGTGGGGGGCGCCATATTGGTAAGATGGTCATACGAGGTCAGAGTGAGGACGCCATATTGGTAAGAGGGTCATGTGAGGTCAGAGTGGGGGGCGCCATATTGGTAAGAGGGTCATGTGAGGTCAGAGTGGGGGGCGCCATATTGGTAAGAGGGTCATACGAGGTCAGAGTGAGGACGCCATATTGGTAAGAGGGTCATGCGAGGTCAGAGTGGGGGTGCCATATTGGTAAGAAGGTCGTGCGAGGTCAGAGTGGGGGCGCCATATTGGTAAGAAGGTCGTGCGAGGTCAGAGTGGGGGCGCCATATTGGTAAGAGGGTCATGCGAGGTCAGAGTGTTGTTCAGAGTGTACTTTGGGACTGCCTGTCTATGTATATGTTATGCGCGTCTCAGCAGTGGGATGGTATAGGGAGAGAAAGGTTTAATATCTGCTGAGCATGTTGCTTCTGCTTTCTAGGATGGCCCCGGAAGTAATTTTAGCCATGGACGAAGGGCAGTATGACGGGAAAGTGGACGTCTGGTCTCTTGGGATCACGTGTATTGAATTAGGTGAGCCACCTCTGCCCCTCTGCAAATGCCCCAAGAACATGGGGAAAATGTTCTCTATACTCAGGTTATTTTTTTCCTACATCATGGCTCTGCCTTATTTTGGCCTCTAAGGGTGTCCTCTGTTTAGATCAGTGGTTCCCAATCATTTTTGACAAGGGACCACTTTGACCAGAGACCACTTTGACTACAAACCATTTGACCACGGACCACTTTCACCAGGGACCACTTGACCAGAGGCCACTTTGACCAGGAACTATTTGACCATGGACCACTTTCACCAGGGACCACTTGACCACAAACCATTTGACCAGGAAACCACTTTCACCAGGGACCACTTGACCACGGACCAGTTTGACCAGGGACAACTTGGCCAGAGGCCACTTTGACCAGGGACCATTTGACACACACAAAACATCCCAGTAATGCGTGGCAAGGGATGGCTAATAATAATAATAGTAATAGTAATAATAATATTTGCCTGTTCCTATAGGTATAGGGTTGGATTAGATGGCCCTTGGGGTTCCTTCTGGGTGTGTGAACCCCCTTTTAAGCCACCCTTCCTTTCTTTTTTTCTCCGCAGCCGAAAGGAAGCCGCCTCTGTTCAACATGAACGCAATGAGTGCCTTATACCACATAGCGCAGAATGAGTCCCCAACACTCCAGTCCAACGAATGGTAAGAACGGGGGCGGCCATGTTTGTTTACTCAAAAAGAGAATTCTCTGCAAAGAACAGATTTCTAGGGGGGGGGGGGGCTTCATTCTTGCGATGTATTGAGATGGTTTTTTGCCCATTCCTTCCTCCAAAACCGGGCCCGTTTCAATCCTTTCCGTTGTGTCCTCTTCTCCCCCTCTCCTTAGGTCTGACTATTTCCGAAACTTTGTAGATTCTTGCCTCCAGAAAATCCCCCAAGACAGGCCTACGTCGGAGGAACTCCTCAAGGTCAGTTTGACATGGACACACTGGAAACTCACATTAGCATTGTGATTGAATTGCATCTCTTTACTGGGTTGCTGTGAGTTTTCCACGCTCTATGGCCATGTTCCAGAAGCATTCTCTCCTGATGTTTTGCCCACATCTATGGCAGGCATCCTCATAGGTTGTGAGGTCTAAAATGACCTTCTGCCCCCTTTCCCCTTTCAGCACGTGTTCGTCCAGCGGGAGCGCCCCGAAACCGTCTTGATAGAGCTGATCCAGAGGACCAAGGATGCCGTCAGAGAGCTGGACAACCTTCAGTACCGCAAGATGAAGAAGCTGCTCTTCCAGGAGGCGCACAACGGACCCACGGTCGAAGCCCAAGAAGAGGAGGAGGTAACGCCATTGGGGACCAATGGGGGGAGAACGGAGTACTGCCCCCAATGCACAACGCTCTGAGAAGCTCCTTACTTGGAGCGCAACCCCTTCTAAAACCAATCATGATCCCAGTTGGGATGGCCCAGCCGTTGCTGGGTTCTTGTGGGTTGGATGGGAGCTCGTTCCTGGCGTACTGGACTCCTCTTCCACACTTCCATAGAATCCTAGAGTTGGAAGAGACCCCCAAAGACTATCCAGTCCAACTTCCTTCTGCCAGGCAGGAAGATACCATCCAATCTCTCCCAACAGATGGCCAGTCCCTGTTTAAACACTTCTATAGAATCCTAGAGTTGGAAGAGACCCCCAAAGACTATCCAGTCCAACTTCCTTCTGCCAGATACCATCCAGTCTCTCCTAACAGATGGCCAACCCCTGTTTAAAGACTTCTATAGAATCCTAGAACTGGAAGAGACCCCCCAAAGGCCACCCAGTCTCTGCTTAACATATCACAGAGTTGGAAGAGACCCTCAAAAGCTCTCCAGGCCAACCCCCTTCTGCCAGACAGGAAGATACAATCCGATCTCTCCCAACAGATGGCTATCCAGTCTCTGCGAAACGTATCATAGGATAATAGAGTTGGAAGAGACCCTCAAAGGCCATCTAGTCCAACCCTGTTCTCCCAGGCAGGAAGGTAACATCTGATCCCTCCCAACAGATGGCCATCCAGTCTCTGTGAAACGTATTATAGGATAATAGAGTTGGAAGAGAGCCCCAAAGGCCATCCAGTCTCTGCTAAACATATCATAGGGTTGGAAGAGACCTTCAGAGGCCATCCAGTCCAATTTCCTTCTTCAAGGCAGCATGGCACCATCTGATCCCTCCCAACAGATGGCCATCCCCTGTTTAAAGACTTCCATAGAATCCTAGAGTTGGAAGAGACCCCCAAAGGCCTTCCAGTCCAGCTTCCTTCTGCCAGGCAGGAAGACACCATTCAATCTCTCCCAACAGATGGCCAGCCCGTTTAAAGACTTCCATAGAATCCTAGAGTTGGAAGAGACCCCCAAAGGCCTTCCAGTCGAGCTTCCTTCTGCCAGGCAGGAAGACACCATTCAATCTCTCCCAACAGTTGGCCAGCCCGTTTAAAGACTTCCATAGAATCCTAGAGTTGGACGAGACTCCGAAAGGCCATCCAGTCCAACTCTCTTCTGCCAGGCAGGAAGACACCATTTAATCTTTCTCAACAGATGGGAACCCAGTCTCCTAGAATCGTAGAGTTGGGCAAGACCGCTGTCCAGTCCATTTAGACGTGTGTTTCCCTTCCTTATTATGGTTTGTTTTGCCGCTCCTTCCAGGACCAGGAGCACGGCGTGGGCCGGACGGGGACGGTGAACAGTGTGGGCAGCAACCAGTCCATCCCCAGCATGTCCATCAGCGCCAGCAGCCAAAGCAGCAGCGTCAACAGCCTCCCGGACGCCTCCGACGACAAGAGTGAGCTGGACATGATGGAGGGCGACCACACCGTGATGTCCAACAGCTCCGTCATCCACCTGAAGCCGGTAATTGGGAGCAGGGCAACGAATGGGTGGGAGATGCAAGTATAGAAGATGCACCTGCAATTCTAAGACATGCTCCGTTTTTCAAGATTTATTTATTTATCGTGTCATCAGCAACCAGACCATTGTATTACATTTCTAACAGAACAAAACAAACAAACAGATAAAAAAACACAAATTTTGCAAACTTGGTAGTTGATTAAATGTCCTTTGACCAGTATCTGGCCACTTGGAGTGCCTCTGGTGTTGCCGCAAGAAGGTCCTCCATCGTGCATGTGGCAGGGCTCAGGGTGCATTGCAGCAGGTGGTCTGTAGTTTGCTCTTCTCCACACTCGCATGTCGTGGATTCCACTTTGTAGCCCCATTTCTTGAGGTTGGCTCTGCATCTCGTGGTGCCAGAGCGCAGTCTGTTCAGCGCCTTCCAAGTCGCCCAGTCTTCTGTGTGCCCAGGGGGGAGTCTCTCATTTGGTATCAGCCATTGATTGAGGTTCTGGGTTTGAGCCTGCCACTTTTGGACTCTCGCTTGCTGAGGTGTTCCAGCGAGTGTCTCTGTAGATCTTAGAAAACTATGTCTAGATTTAAGTCGTTGACGTGCTGGCTGATACCCAAACAGGGGGTGAGCTGGAGATGTCTCTGCCTTGATCCTTTCACTTTTGGCTGCTACTTCCCGGCGGATGTCAGGTGGTGCAATACCGGCTAAGCAGTGTGATTCCTCCAGTGGTGTAGGACGCAGACACCCCGTGATAATGCGGCATGTCTCATTAAGAGCCACATCTACTGTTTGAGCGTGGTGAGATGTGTTCCACACTGGGCATGCATACTCAGCAGCAGAGTAGCATAGCGCAAGGGCAGATGTCTTCACTGTGTCTGGTTGTGATCCCCAGGTTGTGCCAGTCAGCTTTCGTATGATGTTGTTTCTAGCGCCCACTTTTTGCTTGATGTTCAGGCAGTGCTTCTTGTAGGTCAGAGCACAGTCCAGAGTGACTCCCAGGGATTTGGGTGCGCTACAATGCTCCAGAGGGATTCCTTCCTAGGTAATAATCCTCAGAGCTTGGGATGCTTGTCTGTTCTTAAGGTGAAAGGCACATGTCTGTGTTTTAGATGGAATAGGGATCAGCTGATTTTCCCTGTAGTAGGCAGTAAGAGCACCTAGAGCTTCTGTTCCACCATCTCAAAGCTCCCTGCTTGAGTGGTGATGACACGATCATCAGCATAGATGAAACTCTCTGTCCCTTCTGGCAGTGGCTGGTCATTTGTGTAGATGTTGAACATGGATGGAGCGAGCACGCTCCCCTGAGGCAGGCCATTCTTCTGTTTCCACCATCTGCTTCTCTGGCCCTGGTTTTCAAGATGAACATGCTTCTTGTTCTTCTCTCCAGGAGGAAGAAAGCTACAGGGAGGATTCGGAGTCGAGGGCGAGAGGCTCGGAGCCCCAGTCCCCGCCGCAGGCCTCCCGGCACCGCTCCCACTACCGCAACCGCGAGCACTTTGCCACCATACGCACAGCATCCCTGGTGTGTAGTCGGCCTCTGCTCCCTTCCCTCTCCTCCCAAGGCCGCCTCCCCGCTTCCCTTGACCGGTTGTGGTCCCTTTGTGCCCCTCGCAGGTGACGCGGCAGATGCAGGAGCACGAGCAGGACTCGGAGCTGCGGGAGCAGATGTCCGGCTACAAGCGCATGAGGCGGCAGCACCAGAAGCAGCTCATGGCCCTGGAGAACAAGCTCAAGACCGAGATGGACGAGCACCGCCTCCGCCTGGACAAGGACCTCGAGACCCAGCGCAACAACTTCGCCGCAGAGATGGAGAAGCTCCTCAAGAAGCACCAGGCCGCCATGGAGAAGGAGGTAGGCTGCCAATGGGGCCGGGAAGCGGGACGGGAGCTCGATCCTGGTGTACTGGCCTCTTCTTCCACACTGCCATAGAATCCTAAAGTTGGAAGAGACCCTCAAAGGCCATGCCAGGCTGGAAGGCACCATCTGATCCCTCCCAACAGATGGCCAGCCCCTGTTTAAAGACTTCTATAAAACCCTAGAGTTGGAAGACAACCCCAAAGGTTATCCAGTGTCTGCTAAACATATCATGGGATTATAGAGTTGGAAGACACCCTCAAAGGCCACCCACCAATCCTATTTCCTTCTCCCAGGCAGGAAGACACCTCTCGATCCCTCCCAACAGATGGCCAGCCCCTGTTTAAAGACTTCTATAAAACCCTAGAGATGGAAGAGACCCCCAAAGGCCATCCAGTCTCTGCTAAACATATCAAAGGGTTGGAAGAGACCCTCAAAGGCCATCTAGGCCAACCCCCTTCTGCCAGGCTGGAAGGCACCATCTGATCCCTCCCAACAGATGGCCAGTCCCTGTTTAAAGACTTCCATAAAACCCTAGAGTTGGAAAAGACCCCAAAGGCCATCCAGTGTCTGCTAAACATATCATAGGATTATAGAGTTAGAAGACACTCTCAAAGACCACCCACCAATCCAATTTCCTTCTGCCAGGCAGGAAGACACCATTCGATCCCTCCCAACAGATGGCCAGCCCCTGTTTAAAGTTTTCCATAGAATCCTAGAGTTGGAAGAGACCCCCAAAGGCCATCCAGCCCAGCCCTGTTCTCCCAGGCAGGAAGGTACAATCTGATCCTTCCCAACAGATGGCCATCCAGTCTCTGTGAGACATATTATAGGATAATAGAGTTGGAAGAGACTCTCAAAGGCCATCTAGTCCAATCCCGTTCTCCCAGGCAGGAAGGTACAATCTGATCCCTCCCAACAGATGGCCAGCCCCTGTTTAAAGACTTCCATAAAACCCTAGAATTGGAAGAGACCCCCAAAGGCCATCCAGTCTCTGCTAAACATATCATGGGATTATAGAGTTGGAAGACACCCTCAAAGGTCACCCACCAATCCAATTTCCTTCTGCCAGGAAGGAAGACACCACTCGATCCCTCCCAACAGATGGCCAGCCCCTGTTTAAAGACTTCTATAAAATCCTAGAGATGGAAGAGACCCCCAAAGGCCATCTAGTCTCTACTAAACATATAGGGTTGGAAGAGATCCTCAAAGGCCATCTAGGCCAACCCTCTTCTGCCAGGCAGGAAGGCACCAACTGATCCCTCCCAACAGATGGCCAGCCCCTGTTTAAAGACTTCCATAAAACCCTAGAGTTGGAAGAGACCCCCAAAGGCCATTCATTTGCTGCTAACCATATCATGGGATCATAGAATTGGAAGAGACCCCCAGAGTCCATCCAGTCCCACCCCTTTCTGCCAGTCAGGACACAATCTGATCCCTCCCAACAGATGGCCATCCAGATTCTGTTTAAAGACTCTTTGGAAGAAGCAGAGGGAGCTGTGGGCACCTCTCCACTTGCAACATCTTTGCTCAGCCTTTGCTGCTATCTGGCAATGGCTAAAATCACAAGTATAGGCTGTCCCCAAGTTACAAACATCGAATATAATAATAATAATAATAATAATAATAATAATAATAATACTTCATTTATACCCCGCCACCATCTCCCCAAGGGGACTCGGGGTGGTTTACATGAGGCCAAGCCCAAAACACATCAGTAAAAACAAAACAGCAAGCAGATAAAACAGTACAATTAATATAACCCATATATAAACAATAACACAGAGAATTTAAAACCCAACATCTGACCTACAAAAGACTCCCAGTTAAGAATGGGGTGAGACATAAAGGAAGTTGAAGAAGACAAGCAGAAAATGGGGAAAAAATCCAAGATAATTTTGAAACAAAACTAGGAAAACTAAAATAAAATGAATAAAAAATTAGAAAATCAGCTAAAATGGTTGGAACAAAAAGAGAAAGAATAGCAGTTAAGATTCAGAAGTATCCAGGGAACCGAGAAAGAAGATTTAAGACAGATCATCACATAAACGATAGCAGAAATATTAGGTAACCCAGAAGAAGAAATGGAACAGAATATAGATAGAGTCTACAGAATCAGTGCCAACTATGCCAAGAGAAAGGAAGTACCGAGAGATGTGATCGTACACTTTATATGGCATGAATATATTTCTATTTGCAGGCCAAAGTCATGGCCAACGAGGAGAAGAAGTTCCAGCAGCACATCCAAGGCCAGCAGAAGAAGGAGCTCAACAGCTTCCTGGAGTCGCAGAAAAGAGAGTATAAGCTTCGCAAAGAGCAGCTCAAAGAGGTAAATGTGGGCGAAGGCTGTGGAGGGTGGATTGAGAACCCCAGAGCTTGTTGGGATGAAGATACTCAACTCTTTTGAACAAGCGCAGTACTTTTCTTACTGCAGGGTATTCCTCTCAGGAGCCAGGTGAGCACAATGACAAGCCCACGCTCTTCTTCCTCTGCCTCTCTTTTCCGCAGGAGCTGAGCGAGAACCAGAGCACGCCCAAGAAGGAGAAGCAGGAGTGGCTCTCCAAGCAGAAGGAGAACATCCAGCACTTCCAGGCCGAGGAGGAGGCCAACCTCTTGCGGCGCCAGAGGCAGTACCTGGAGCTGGAGTGCCGCCGCTTCAAGAGGAGGATGCTCCTGGCCCGGCACAACCTGGAGCAGGACCTCGTCCGGGAGGTGGGTCACAGGAGGGAAGGCGTTGCTTTGCTGCCCCAAGTCTTAGAATCAGAGAATCGGAATTCAGGAAAATGTCACTCCTCGAAAAGGCCTGTTCAGCGCCTGCTAAACGTCACGTTGCCAGGGCTCTGCCGTTATTCCGGCAGAGGTGAACCAAACTCCCAGTTTGTCTTAAACAATTCAATAAAACATAAAGATTGCACTCAGCCACAGAATATAAAACGAAAACAGCAAACACTGTTGCAGGCTCAAGATAACACTGTAGTCAAAAGGTCCAGTCCAGTGGTCAAACGCCGAGAGTTCAATAAACAAAGTCCAGGGATCAAGAGCTTATAATGTAGTAAAAAGCCAGTCCAAAGATTCAATGTTCCAGGACTCCACAAAGGTTCAGGGGACAGGTCAGGACACCGAAAATCCACAAACCTGGGGGAAAACCAGCAGCATCTACCACCAAAATAAGACAAATACTGTATATACTCGAGTATAAGCCTAGTTTTTCAGCCCCCTTTTTAGGCTGAAAAGTTCCCCTCGGCTTATACTCAAGTCAAGGTTATTTATTATTTTACTTTGTTATTAGAATCATTTTATTACATGAATTATTTTAATATATTTATTATTATTATTATTATTATATTTACATTACTTTATTATTATTTTATTACATTTATTATTTTACTCTATTTATTATTAGTATTATTATATTATTTACTCTTTTATTATTATTACATTTATTATTTTACTTTATTTTTATTTATAATTTTACTCTGTTATCACTGTTATTACATTTCCATTATTTTACTCTATTATTATTATTATTATTATTATTATTATTATTATTATCATCCTGACACAAAAACACAGTATGACACAGCAAACGAGGTATATATGCTGGATATTATTATTATTATTATTATACTATCTTTATTATTATTGGAAGGCTACATAAGCACATTTACACTGAAGATTAGAATAATGATTTAATCAGAGTTGGGCATTCTTATCTTAAATTACAGTTTTATGTAAATATTCAAAAACATTTAACCTACTGATGCCTCAATTAATGTAATTTTATTGATATCATATTTTTATTTTGAAATTTATCAGTAACTCCTGAATTTCCCACCCTTGGTTTATACTCAAGTCAATAAGTTTTCCCAGTTTTTTTGTGGTAAAATTAGGTGCCTCGGCTTATATCCGAGGTTGGGAGGGTATCCTCATGCTTTAAGTACGCTTCGCTTTAGGCATTTTCTAGGTGACGGTTTTGAGGGATGATTTGTGCGGGTGAACGTGTGTCTTTGTCAGGAGCTGAACAAGCGGCAGACGCAGAAGGACCTGGAGCACGCCATGCTGCTGCGTCAGCACGAGTCCATGCAGGAGCTGGAGTTCCGGCACCTGGGCACCATCCAGAAGATGCGCTGCGAGCTCATCCGCCTCCAGCACCAGACGGAGCTCACCAACCAGCTGGAGTACAACAAGCGGAGGGAGCGGGAGCTGCGCCGCAAGCACGTCATGGAGGTCCGGCAGCAGCCCAAGAGCCTCAAGGTGCGCCTCTTGGCTCTCTAGGCTTTTAATGCGCGTTTAATGCATCTGAACCTGTGTCTTGGAATGTTGACTCAAGGGGACCCTATAGATTTTGTAGGTTTTCTAGGAGGAACCTGAGATGGTTTTGTCTCTCAAAGAGAGCCTACAGGGCCTGGTATTCCTTGACAGTCAATCAACCAGTCTACTACTACTACTACTGATGATGATAATAATAATAATAATAGAAATCCTACAGTTTGGTATTCCTTGGCAATCAATCAATGAATCTACTACTACTACTACTACCAATAATAATAATAATAATAATAATAGAGAGCCTACAGGACCTGGTATTCCTTGGCAATCAATCAATGAATCTACTACTACTACTACTACTACCAATAATAATAATAATAATAATAATAATAATAATAATAATAATAATAATAGAGAGCCTACAGGACCTGGTATTCCTTGACAGTCAATCAATGAATCTACTACTACTACTACTACTACTACTAATAATAATAATAATAATAATAATAATACAAAGCCTATAGGTCCTGGTATTTCTTGACAGTCAATCAATCAATCTACTACTACTACTATTGATGATAATAATACTTATATTATTATTGATTATTATTATTATTATTATTGATGATGATAATAATACAAGCTATAATCCTATAGCTTGGTATTCCATGGCAATCAATCAATTAATGTATTACTACTACTACTACTACTAATAATAATAATAATAATAATAACAGAGAGCCTACAGGGCCTGGTATTTCTTGACAGTCAATCAATCAATCTACTACTACTACTACTACTACTATTGACGATAATAATAATAATAGAAATCCTACAGCTTGGTATTCCTTGGCAATCAATCAATTTATTACTACTACTACTACTAATAATAATAATAATAATAATAGAGAGACTACAGGGCCTGGTATTCCTTGACAGTCAATCAATTAATCTTCTACTACTACTATTGACAATAATAGAAATCTTACAGCTTAGTATTCCTTGGCAATCAATCAATTAATCTACTACTACTACTACTACTACTACTACTATACCTACAGGGCCTGGTATTCCTTGTCAATCACTCAGTCAATCAAAATAATAATAATCTTCATTATTGTCATTGTCATCATCATCATCACCTCTGAGGATGCTTGCCATAGATGCAGGCGAAACTTCAGGAGAAATGCCTCTAGAACATGGCCCTATAGCCCGAAAAAACCCACAAGAACTGAATCATCATCATAATTGAGAGCCTACAACTTGATATTCATTGGCAATCAATCAATCATTATAATAATGATAATAATGATAATTAATAATAATAATAGAGAGCCTACAGGGCCTGATATTCCTTGGCAGTCAATCAATATAATAATAGAAATAATAATAATAATAATAATAATAATAATAATAATAATAGACGGCTTACAGTGCCTCGCATTCCTTGGCAATCAATCATAATACTGCTGCTGCTACTACTACTACTACTACTAATAATAATAATAATAATAATAGAGAGAGCCCAGAGCTTGGTATTCCTTGGCAATCAATCATTATAATATATGACTAATAATAATAATAATAATAATAATAATAATAATAATAATGCAACAACAACAATAATAGAAGAAAGCCTAAAGTGCCTGGTATTTCTTGGCAATCAATCATTATAATACTAATACTAATAATAATACTAATACTAATAATACTAATAATAATAATAATAAAGAGCCTACAGTGCCTGGCATTCCTTGACAATCATTCAATCAATATAAAAACAACAACAACATTAATAATAACAGCCTGTAGTACTTGGTATTCTTTGTCAATCAATATAATAGTAATAATAGTAACAACAACAAATATTATTTTTTATTTGTTCCCAGCCTCTCTTCTCAGCTCGAAAGGTTATTTCCCCAGTCCAAAGCCAAAGAGCTGTAAAATACCAAGAATCTTAAAGTTCAGAGTGAATAAGGAAGGGCAGGCACTAAACAAAGGTTATAATCACACTTCCACAAATAATAAAAACATTATAAATGACAGGAAAAAGACTCTGCCCCTGGTTTAGTCTAGAGACACAGACCAATCCAAGGCTTGGTTTGGGAGCAGGGCAGTGGGCAAACGCTCCTGACCTTTGGTGAGCCTTGGGCCGACTCTTTTCCTCGCCTTTTTTTCATAGTCGAAGGAGCTCCAGATCAAGAAGCAGTTCCAGGACACCTGCAAGATCCAGACGCGGCAGTACAAGGCCCTGCGCAACCACCTGCTGGAGACCACCCCCAAGAGCGAGCACAAGGCCGTCCTCAAGCGGCTCAAGGAGGAGCAGACCCGCAAGCTGGCCATCCTGGCCGAGCAGTACGACCACAGCATCAACGAAATGCTCTCCACGCAGGCTGTGAGTCCCTTCTTCCTTCTTTTCCGGGGTGTTGGGACAATCAGACGAGCTTAAGTGGTGCTTGGTTGCCTTCTCGCGGCCTCTCACCCACCCGTCGCCCTTCCTGTCTTGCAGCTCCGGCTGGACGAGGCACAGGAGGCGGAGTGCCAGGTCTTGAAGATGCAGCTGCAGCAGGAACTGGAGCTACTGAACGCCTACCAGAGCAAGATCAAGATGCAGGCCGAGGCCCAGCACGACCGGGAGCTGCGGGAGCTGGAGCAGCGGGTCTCCTTGCGCAGGGCCCTCCTGGAGCAGAAGGTAGCATACAATACCCCTCCCCCGGCTTGTTTTGGCAGTCCCTAATTTCTCTACTTACAGGTCAAGCTGTTTTCGAACTGCTTAGGTCAACAGTAAGCTGGGCTGAGAGTCAGGAGCTCACACTGACCCAGGGCTTTGAACTGGCAGCTTTTCTGTTGGTAGATCTTATCAGTGCTGGGGATTTACTAAAAGCTGTTTTCAAACTGCTTAGTTCAACAGTAAGCTGGGCTGACAGTCATGCTTACCCAGGGCTCATGCTTACCCAGGGCTTCGAACTGGCAGCCTTTTTGTTGGTAGATCTTATCATTGCTGGGGATTTATTAAAAGCTGTTTTCAAACTACGTAGGTCAACGGTAACCTGGGTTGACAATCAGCAGCTCATGCCTACCCGGGGCTTCGAACTGGCAGCCTTTCTGTTGGTAGATCTTATCATTGCAAACTGCTTAGGTCAACAGTAAGCTGGGCTGACAGTCGGCAGCTCATGCCTACCCAGGGCTTCGAACTGACAGCCTTTCTGTTGGTAATTCTTGTCATTGCTGACGATTTATTAAAAGCTGTTTTCAAACTGCTTAGGTCAACAGTAAGCTGGGCAGAGAGTCGGGAGCTCACACTGACCCAGGGCTTTGAACTGGCAGCCTTTCTGTTGATATTTCTTATCATTGCTGGGGATTTACTAAAAGCTGTTTTCAAACTGCTTAGGTCAACAGTAAGGTGGGCTGAGAGTCGGGAGCTCACATTGACCCAAGGCTTTGAACTGGCAGCCTTTCTGTTGGTAGATCTTACCATTGCTGGAGATTTACCAAAAGCTGTTTTCAAACTGCTTAGGTCAACAGTAAGCTAGGCTGACAATCAGCAGCTCATGCTTAACCTGGGCTGACAATCAGCAGCTCATGCTCATGCAGTTTGCAATGATAAGATCTACCAACAGAAAGGCTGCTTTGAACTGGCAGCCTTTCTGTTGGTAGATCTTATCATTGCAAACTGCTTAGGTCAACAGTAAGCTGGGCTGACAGTTGGCAGCTCATGCCTACCTGGGGCTTTGAACTGGCAGCCTTTCTGTTGGTAGATCGTATTATTGCTGGGCTGTGCTAAAGCCCCGGCTTTCCTCTCTTGTGTTCTGCCCAGATCGAGGAGGAGATGCTGGCCCTGCAGAACGAGCGGACGGAGCGGATCCGGAGCCTGCTGGAGCGCCAGGCGCGGGAGATCGAGGCCTTCGACTCGGAGAGCATGCGCCTGGGCTTCAGCAACATGGTCCTGTCCAACCTCTCCCCGGAGGCCTTCAGCCACAGCTACCCAGGGGCCTCGGGGTGGTCCCACCAACCTTCAGCGCCACCGCACCCGGGACCGCACTGGGGACACCCCATGATGGCGCAGGGCGTGCCGCCCCAAGCGTGGGGCCACCCCATGATGCAAGGCGGCGTTGGCGGGGGCGGCGTTCCCCAGCCGTGGGGCCACCCTTCGGGCGCCATGGCAGGGGTGCCGCGGGGGAGCTCCCTGGGGGTGCGCAACAGCCCCCAGGCCCTGCGGCGGACGGCGTCGGGAGGGCGGACGGAGCCGGGCATGAGCCGCAGCGCCAGCGTCACCTCGCAGATCTCCAACGGGTCGCACATGTCGTACACATAATGACAACACGGAGCCATACATGGCAACTGCGCGCCAACGTTTATGGGGAGGGGGGAGTTTAACTAATTGGGATGTCATAGCGTTCGGCCTCAAAGTGGTGTCCTCTCTCAATCTCTCTGCGTAGCGGGTGTCCCCTTCTCTCCCAATCAGGGATTAGCCAAAACGGGGGGCCGCCCCGTCCCTCCGATGCCACTCCCAACCCCTTCCTCTCTCTTCCCGTTCCGTTGCGGGGAACGAGGGTCCGGCAAGGGGAGTGAAGCCAAGTTTCGGGAGAGGGATGGCGCAGATGCCGTGGCCCCCGATTGCACTAAGCGTGGAGCCGCTGGAGCGCTCTGTGGCGGCACTGCACTAGTCAAACGCACCTGCCCGCAGTTGCGCACGTGTGTGTGAGTATGAGTGTGTGTAAATCAGTCAGTACAGAAGTGGTTTTGGGGAATGGGATCGAGGCTCCAAGCCGCCTTCTCCCTCGGCGCGTCATACCGTGAGATCTCCTCCTTGTTCCGCCTCCCCTCTTCCAAACCCCTTTCTGGAGGTATTTGTGACAGATGCCATAAACGAAAACAAAAGATACAAACATGCCATCGGTCGGCGAGGAGCTCCTCCTCTCTCTGACACTACATTTTTGCCACAAGGTCGGGTTTTTTTGTTGTGTTCTTCTTTCAAAGCCCGCCTTTTGGGCTTGCCAACGTTCCTTCCCGCCGCGGAACGATCAAACCCGCATTTTGCACACGGTTGCGAAGGGGAGAACCTCTTCCCACTATTTAACCAGAGCCTTAGCTTCTAAGGGCACCGATAGGGATCCGAAAAACTGGGATCTTTCCAACCTCAGCGCGAGAGAAGCCATGGGTTGCGTTGGGAAATCCGTTCGGGGAAACTTGTGCAAGGTTCCGTTCACTACAAGCGTTCGTTCGTTCGTCTGTCGCGCAACGAAAAGCAAAACACTAGCGACTCTCTCTAGCCTTTTTTGCCTTCTAACATATCTCTAGGGCTTTTCTTCTCCGTTTCCCCCCTTGCGACGGGTTTACGTGCGCAAAACGCTCTCGATGCGGGTCACGCTGCTGCTCGTTTCGTGTGGCCTTCCGCTGTGTCCGTGTTGTGCTGGGATTTCCMACATGTGACGAATCTCCTTTCTAGCCATCAGAAAGGCGCTTCCCATCCTTGAAGTCAGCCAGGTGTATTCCCTCTCTCATATATATATATATATATRTATATATAGTGTGAGGGATAATGGTAAACATTGCAAGTTGTGTGTGGCTTTCTACTGTGTCCATATTGTGCTGGAATTTCCAACATGTGACGAATTCCAACATGTTACGAGCCGTCAGAAACTGCAAGTTGTGTGTGGCCTTCTGCTGTGTCTGTGTTGTGCTGGGATTTCCAACATGTGACGAATCTCCTTTCTAGCCATCAGAAAGGCGCTTCCCATCCTTGAAGTCAGTCAGGCATATTCATATATACATATATATATATGTATATGTATATGGATAATGATAAACACTGCAAGTTGTGTGCTGCCTTCTGCTGTGTCCATATTGTGCTGGAATTTCCAACATGTGACGAATTCCAACATGTTATGAGCCATCGGAAAGGTGTTTTGCCATCCTTGAAGTCAGTCAGGTGTAGTCACACACACACACACACACATATATATATAGAGAGAGTGAAGGATAATGATAAACACTGCAAATTGTATGTGGCTTTCTGCTGTGTCCGTATTGTGCTGGAATTTCCAACGTGACGAATTCCAATATGTTATGAGCCATCAGAAAGGCGCTTCCCATCCTTGAAGTCAGGTGTATTCTCTCATTCATATATATATATATATATACATATACATATATATATGAATGAGGGATAATGGTAAACACTACAAGTCAACTCAGTAATATCCAATTTTGAATATATAGAATAGGGAGGCCACATTCATCCACGGAAAATGTCATTTTCATGGGGCCTCGGAGGTATTTTCGCCCCGTTTTTAGGCCTAGGAGAAGCCTTTTTAAAGAAACGTGGCAACGATACCTTCGTGGTCTGTGTTTGGAAAGGTCTTCCCCGCCGCGTGCCACCCTTTGCTGCTCTTGAAGGTCTTGCTTTTGGGCCGCCCCATATTTATATACCACGGTGCTATCAGAGAATGTATTTATGCAGGGCAGCGTGGAGAGGTTTTATTTCCCCGTCCCCGCTTTGCTGACGCACAGACCCAAACCAATCCAATATCTGTAATTTTGAGGAGAATTGTGAGGCAACCGTTCCCATCTCTATACAATAATACGGACCAGACCCAGGCCTATTCAGTGCATTAATTTGAAAAGTTTGCAAAAACTAAATATGTGGAGAAAGCTGGAGATTGGTCAAGAGCAAACTAAATATTCTGGTCGCAGTAGGTTTCATTTTAGCCTTGTCTGCGGGTAATGTGCTTTCCAAGAGTCCTGTGCTTTTCCGTACAGATTCAAGGCGTTCTTTTTCTACTTTCCTGCTCTGAACTTGAGGCTTTTCCCAACTAACTTGTTATCTTTGTTCATTGTTCTCGCCTTCCCGGTGGATTTTGTTTCGGTCTCGTCCTCCCATTCCCTTCCTCCTGGAAATAGGAAGTGTCCCTCTCTTTACCGGCTCCTTCGAGGTGGAACGATCACTTCCAAATGCGATTTGGAAGAGTTTAAGATACGAAGTCGAGGAATTGCGGCCAAGCGGATTCATTTGGCACCTCTTTCCCATTCAGTAGCTGTTGGAAAGCCTGACCTCCAAGTGCCATTTGGGTCTAGGATAATATTTGCTTTTTTCTTCTTCCTGTATCAAGAGCCATATCAGAACAAGTCGGAGATAATGACCACTTCCTTTCCTTCCAACTTTCCCTAAAAGTTGAGTAGCAAATGCATCCGTTTCGTAAGAAAAGATTCCCAACGGCTTAGAGCATTATACAGCTGTGCCTATTTTGTGTAATTTTTGTGAAATGCGGTCTGCGTTCCATCCAGAAATCTCCCAGTTTCCTGCCGTGAAGATCAGCTTCTTTGAAAGGAATGGATTTGCGTCTCAAGATCGAAAAAGTGGTTTTTTCCCCCCCGGTTTAAACAATGCCGAATCAATGCAGACGGCTTTAATGCAATGTCCCTCCTTTGCATCTATGTTTTTTGAGAACTCTATCTGTAAACGGGAAAGGGTTGCGTCCACAAACGAGGCCACGTTTGAACACAAAACAAAGGTCTCTTAGGAGGAACGACACACCGTCCCAAATACATTTCTGTCGCCCAGCAAAAATTAGAACCACTTTGGACCTCCTTTCTGACCCCTTTCTTCTTGAGGATCAGAATGCTATTCTCTCAAGTCTTGTTGTGCAATCGCTACCTCTCCACACTCTTTGTTTCCTATTCCCCCACACCCTTGATTACCAATATCCATCTTCCGTTTTTACAGAAAAAGTGGGGTATTCCTCATAGTCCTCAAGTCATCCAAGGAACCGTTTCCCAACGAATGATGCTCCAAAACAGGGAGAGAAATGTCTGTCCCAAAGGTGTCTAAGTCTAGGCGTAGACATGTCTTCTAGCACCTGTTCTCCTGGGCCTCTTGCCTTTTAATACTTCTGATTCAAAGCCAAGAATCCTAGCAAACCCAGGTTTTATTTTGTTTATATATAAATAGCCTCTGCGATCCATCATTCTGGCCTGGTGTGAGATGTGAATGGCGTACATTTTAGCATTGAAGCAACTGCTCACTTGGAGATCCTTTCCAAAACACAACAACCAAGGCTTGATGTCTGATGTGCTATTCAGACACCCAAAAGCATCTTGAATGTATCCTCTTTTTATTCCCTAGCTGTCCTATTTATTACTACCCCCCATATCATTATATTTCCCCATCTTTTTATAGTCACCATCTGACATTATCTTTGAACGAAAACTTCACCGACGCACAACGCTGTTGGATTTCCTGTTGCCAATCTCCGATCGGTTCCATCCTTCTCTCGTTCATGGCTTCTTTCTTTGCTGGGATCTTGATTGGCAACACAGAATGCCGTTGGACTTCCTTTTGCTGATCACCGATCGGTTCCATCCTTTTCTCATTCACGGCTTCTCCCTTCGCGGGGATCTTAATTGGCAAACGCAGAATGCTGTTGGATTTTCTGTTGCTGATCTCTGCTCAGTTTCATCCTTTCCTCATTCACGGCTTCTTCCTTCACTGGGATTTTAATTGGCAAATGCAGAATGCCGTTGGATTTCTGTTGCCGATCTCTAGTAGGTTTCATCCTTCCTTCATTCTCGGTTTCTTCCTTAGCTGGGATCTTAATTGGCAAATGCAGAATGCCGTGGGATTTCCTGTTGCCGATCTCCGGTCAGTTTCATTCCTTCCTCATTCACGGCTTCTTCCTTTGCTGGGATCTTGATCGGCAACACAGAATGCCATTGGATTTCCTGTTGCCGAAATCCGATCAGTTTCATCCTTTCCTCATTCTCAGCTTCTTCCTTCACTGGGATTTTAATTGGCAAATGCAGAATGCCGTTGGATTTCTGTTGCCGATCTCTAATAGGTTTCATCCTTCCTTCATTCTCGGTTTCTTCCTTTGAAGGGATCTTAATTGGCAAATGCAGAATGCCGTTGGATTTCCTCTTGCCGATCTCTGATCGGTTTCATCCTTCCCTTGTTCTCGGTTTCTTCCTTCGCTGGGATTTTAATTGGCAACACAGAATGCCGTTGGATTTTCTCTTGCCGATCTCTGATCGGTTCCATCCCTTCCTCGCTGGGATCTTAATTGGCAAATGCCGAATGCCGTTGGATTTCCTCTTGCTGATCTCTGATCGGTTCCATCCCTTCCTCGTTCACGGCTTCTTCCTTCTCTGGGATCTTGAATTATTTTTACATTACTGTTGACAGTCCTAAAAAGCAGGGTGTACCCCTTTTGCCAATGTGTTGTATGTGTAATTGTGTGAATCGGGAGTGAGGACGAAGCCCTTCTACAACGAAACACCCCCAACTTGTGTGTCGCATTCGCTGTGAAACGAATGGCATCTTTTGGTTTTGGCAAAGGACAGCTTTGTGGAGTGAGTGCCCAGGAAAGGGGGAATCTGGCGTATCGGGTGGGTTCCTTTTTGGAGAGGATAAGAACACAAAGGGAAGGTTAGTTGGTGGCAGAATAAGTCCTCCAGTTTGTTTGAACCCATGGCTGCCATACCAAAAAGCAATCGAGAAGGATGAATGCCTTTGTGTGATACCAAGAAAGAGAAAAGATGTTTTCGTACCTTTAGAAACCCCTTTCCAAGTGAGTTCCCATTTCTTGCTTGCCAGAAGGAAGGAAGGAGAAAAGATGAGCCATTTTGGAAAGAAGGAAAGGGGAGAAAGGCTTTCCAGGAAAGTTTTGCCAACAACGAAGAAGAAAAAAATGGCCTTTGAGCCTCCGAAAGAATCCTTCCTTCTCTCCGCTTCTCTTTTTTGGGGGAGCCATGTTATCAAGAGAGATGGGAGAAAAGATGGAGTTTAAGTCTCCAAAACAGGCCTTTCCAGGCAAGTTTATACTTTTCACTCCTCATTTGTTTTGGCGAGTCGTTTGGGAAAAAATGTGGAAGCGGGGAGGAAAACTCCAGCATCCGAAATAATCCTTTCCAGGCAAGTTCCTTCCTTTTTTGAAGGGAACCGTCTTGTCAAAAGAGTGGAAGGAAGAGGGAAAGATGAGTTTTAGTATCCAAAAATCCCTTTCTGGATTTGCGCATTTGTTCTCCCCATTCCTCACTTTTTTGGTTGAGCCATATTGCCAAAAGATCGGAAGAAAACGCGGGCCTTTCGGCACCCAAATAACCCTTTCCAGGCGAGTTTGTTCCCTGCATTCCTTCCTTTTTTGGGAAGAGAGTGGAAGGAAGGGGGAAAGATTCGAGTTTTAGTATCCGAAAATGCCTTTCCGGATTTGCGCGTTCGTTCTCTCGGCTTCTCGCTTTTTTGGTGAGCCATATTGCCAAAAGAAAACGCTGGCATTTCGGCATCTGAATAACCTTTTCCAAGCGAACCCATCCTTTCCGAGTTGTGTTTCGTTGGACCTTACCGAAGAGCGGTCTCCAAAGGTGCGTCCGGTGAGCTCCTTATCCCAAAATTGCTATCATCCTCCGGAGCGTTTTCAAGGTTGGCTTTGGAGATCGCAATCCAGAAAACCCGAAAAACGTTCTTTTTTTCCTCCGAACGCGGATGAGCGTCGGCGGCGTCTCTTGTACGATAACAGATTGTCAGTATTCCGGTTCTTTCTTTCTTTCCGGTGCAAGACCTTACAACATAGCTCTCGTATATATATATATATAAATATATATATATAAATATATATATATAACCTGTATGAATTGTATAGATTGTGCATTTAATAAAAGAAGCTGTTGTCGGGAGGACGGGAGGAGGAGGAGGGCGGCTTTGGTTCAGGAGATTTGGAAAAAAGAAGACGATGAAAAGCCAGAGAAAAGAGAATCCTATGTAATATTTTGTTTGTAAGTATCCTTTGTATCCTCGCAAAGGAAAACGTTTAAAATAAATGAGCTGTAATAAAGTAAGTTTAGTAAGATGGTGGGTCGCCCTGGGTTTCTTAAAGGAGCTCGGTCGGGGCTTTCTCGGCCCTTTGTCTTCGCATTGAGTAGCCATTCAGCTTCAAGAYCTGGCTGCYTACTGCCTGGAGGAATCCTTTGTTGGGATTCAAGGGATCAAGGAACATGGGGTTTCTTAAAGGAGCTCGGTYGGGGCTTTCTCGGCCCTTTGTYTTCGCATTGAGTAGCCATTCAGCTTCGAGATCTGGCTGCTTACTGCCTGGAGGAATCCTTTGTTGGGGTTCAAGGGATCAAGGAACACGGAGTTTCTTAAAGGAGCTCGGTCGGGGCTTTCTCGGCCCTTTGTCTTCGCATTGAGTAGCCATTCAGCTTCAAGGTCTGGCTGCTTACTGCCTGGAGGAATCCTTTGTTGGGATTCAAGGGATCAAGGAACACAGAGTTTCTTAAAGGAGCTCGGTCGGGGCTTTCTCGGCCCTTTGTCTTCGCATTGAGTAGCCATTCAACTTCAAGGTCTGGCTGCTTACTGCCTGGAGGAATCCTTTGTTGGGATTCAAGGGATCAAGAAACACGGAGTTTCTTAAAGGAGCTCGGTCGGGGCTTTCTCGGCCATTTGTCTTCGCATTGAGTAGCCATTCAGCTTCAAGATCTGGCTGCTTACTGCCTGGAGGAATCCTTTGTTGGGATTCAAAGGATCAAGGAACATGGAGAGTAATTCAACCAGAGAAGTCAGCCATAGCAAACACTTGATGAACCAACCTGAACACGGCATATTATTTGGGAACACAGAAATGCTGAACCACTCTCACAACCACCATGTCAGGCGACGCAGAGGAGCCACTGAAATCCACACAAAGCACGTGGACAATTTCAACAGAAAATGAACAAAATCCAGCTAAACTTTAAAATCATAACAGTAAATAAAGAGCAATATTCAAAAATGGGAAAGCCAGACAAGAAACCATCCGGAACAGCTAATCACCCCAACAAAGGATTCCCCCAGGCGGTAAGAAGTCACACTACTAGGCCATTCAATGCTCATCAAGGTGGCCAATTGAAACATTCACACCTGCCTCCAACAGACAAGAGTTCTTTCTCCCACCCTGGACATCATTACACAGATACATACACAGTCCACTTGCCCAATTTCCAACAGAGCTCTATGCAGATGCCCTCACTCATCGACTTTGCAGCCTCAAGTTTACTCAATGCTAATCAAGCTGGCCAATTGCAACATTCCCACTTGCCTCCAACAGACAAGAGTTCCTTCTTCCACCCTGGACATGATTCCACAGATATAAAAACCCAATTTTCCTAGTTTCCAACAGACCTCACAACCTCTGAGGATGCCTGCCATAGAGGTGGGCAAAACGTCAGGAGAGAATGCTTCTGGAACATGGCCAGACATCCTGGAAAACGTACAGCAACCCAGATAATATATTAATATAAGATTTATTATTATTTATGGAGGTGTGTAGGGTTTCCTTGGGCAAAGAGAAGGCTGCCTGTTGGAAGCGCCTCAAGAAAGACTCCAAATTCCAGCTCTCATTAATATAATAATAATATAATGATAATTTAAATAATAATATACTAATATATTATATGAATAATAATATCTATTATTTATGGAGGTTTGTAGGGTTTCCTTGGGCAAAGAGAAGGCTGCCCATTGAAAGCACCTAAAGAAAGGCACCAAAAGCCAATTCTCATTCATATAATAATAATGATAATAATAATTTAAATAATATACTACTATATAATAATAATAATAATAATAATAATAATAATAATAATAATATCTATTATTATTTATGGAGGTGTGCAGGGTTTCCTTGGGAAAAGTGGAGGCTGCCTGTTGGAAGTGCCTAAAGGCAGCTCTCATTAATATAATAATGATAATTTAAATAATATTTATTTATTTATTTATTTAATGCACTTGTAGACCGCCGTTCTCAGCCCTAGGGCGACTCACGGAGGTGTACAACATATAAAAAACAAATTACAATATAGGCAATATCACAACAACAATAACAACATCACTGTCAATAATACAATTACACTAAATCATTCGCGACGTCTCATCGTAGAAGCACAATCCAATCTCGTTATCCATGTTCCGTTCCAGTCATCATTGCCAATTGTTGTAGCACTTAGTCAAACGCCTTCTCAAACAACCACGTCTTTAGTCTCTTGCGGAATGTCATAAGGGAGGGCGCCTGTCTGATGTCTACAGGGAGGGTGTTCCACAGCCGGGGGGCCACCACCGAGAAGGCCCTATCCCTCGTCCCCGCCAGGCGTGCCTGTGAGGCAGGCGGGATCGAGAGAAGGGCCTCCCCAGACGATCTCAAAGTCCTCGTGGGCTCATAGGCCGAGATGCGGTCAGACAGGTATTTTGGGCCGGAACCGTTTAGGGCTTTGTAGGCCAACACCAGCACCTTGAATTGGGCCCGGTAGCAGATCGGCAGCCAGTGGAGCTGGAACAACAAGGGCGTTGTATGCTCCCTGCGTCCTGCCCCTGTTAGTAACATGGCTGCCGCGCGCTGGACTAGCTGGAGCTTCCGGGCCGTCTTCAAGGGCAGCCCCACGTAGAGAGCGTTGCAGTAGTCAAGGCGGGATGTGACCAGAGCGTGTACCACCGTGGCCAAGTCAGACTTCCCGAGGTACGGGCGCAGCTGGCGCACGAGCCTAAGCTGTGCAAATGCTCCCCTGGTCACCGCCAAGACCTGGGGCTCCAGGCTCAGCGATGAATCCATGATCACACCCAAGCTGCGAACCTGCGCCTTCAAGGGGAGTGCGACCCCATCCAGCACAGGCTGTAACCCTATACCCTGTTCGGCCAATATATATGCCAATATATTAATAATAATAATATCTATTATTATTTATGGAAGTTTGTAGGGTTTCCTTGGGCAAAGAGAAGGCTGCCTGTTGGAAGGGCCTCAAGAAAGGCACCAAATGCCAGCTCTCATTAATAATAACAAATAATAATAATAATAATAATGGTAATTTAAATAATATACTAGTATATAATAATAATATCTATTATTATTTATGGAGGTGTGTAGGGTTTCCTTGGGCAAAGTGGAGGCTACCTGTTGGAAGCGCCTCAAGAAAGGCACCAAATGCCAGCTCTCATTAATATAATAATAATAATAATAATAATAATAATAATAATAATATCTATTATTATTTATGGAGGTGAGCAGGGTTTCCTTGGGCAAAGAGAAGGCCGCCCATTGGAAGTGCCTACAGAAAGGCACCAAATGCCAGCTCTCATTAATATAATAATATAATGATAATTTAAATAATGTTGTTCATTCGTTCAGTCGTCTCCGACTCTTCGTGACCTCATGGACCAGCCCATGCCAGAGCTCCCTGACGGCCGTCACCACCCCCAGCTCCTTCAAGGAAGGAGGAAAAGACAACTCCCAGAATCCCAGCAACTGCTAAAGGGTTGCTGCTTCCTGCCTGGGGGATCCTTTGTTGGGAGGTGTTAGCTGGCCCTGATTGTTTCCTGTCTGGAATTCCCTTGTTTTCTGAGTGTTGCCCTTTGTTTACTGTCCTGATATTTCCTGGAGGATGGACTGGTTGGATCTTCTCGCAGTCCAAGGCACTCTCAGACTTTCCTCCAACACCACAGCTCAAAAGCATCTCTCTTCCTTCGCTCAGCCTTCCCTAAGGTCCAGCTCTCACATCCGTAGGTGACTACAGGGAAGACCATGGCTTTGACTAGGCAATGGATCTTGGTTGCCAGTCTGATGTCTCTACTCTTTACTATTAAATAATATACTAATATAATAATAATAATAATAATAATAATAATAATAATAATAAAATCATATAAAACTATTCTCATGCACAGCGTTCCGTCTTTCAGAGTTCCATAGTTCTAATCCATTAATCATTTCCTAATCATCATCAAAGTTCTTTCTGCATCTGCCCGATTGTCTGAATGCCTGGTCCCAAATCCCATGTTTTCAGTTTTTTCCTGAAGGAAAAGAGCGATGTTGCTGATCTAATTTCCCCGGGGAGTGAATTCCACAGGTGAGGGGCCACCACCGAGAAGGCCCTGCTCCTCATCCCCGCCAATCTCACTTGTGGTAGAGGCGGGGTCGAGAGCAGGGCCTCCCCAGAAGATCTTAAACTTCGAGGTGGGACGTAGAGGGAGATCCGTTCGGACAGATACACTGGGCCGGAACCGTATAGGGTTTTGTAGGTCAAAACCAGCACTTTGAATTGTGCTCGGAATTGGATCGGCAGCCAGTGGATGACACAACAGAGGGGTGGTGTGCTCCCTGTATGACGCTCCGGTGAGCAATCTGGCTGCCTCCCGCTGGACTAGTTGGAGTTTCCGAGCAGTCTTCAAAGGCAACCCCACGTAGAGTGCGTTGCAGTAATCTAATCGGGATGTGACAAGAGCGTGGACCACCGTGGCTGGCGCACAAGTTTTAATTGTGCAAAAGCTCTCCCGGCCACCGCCGAGACCTGGCCTTCCAGGCTCAGCGATGAGTCCAGGATCCCTCCCTCCCAAGCTGCGAACCTGCATTGTCTTCAGGGGGAGTGGGACCCCTTCCATCCAACACAGGCTGTCACCCTATGCCCTGTTTGGCCTAAATAATGGATTTCAGACTGGTTTTGCCAGGCCTCCTCCGGTGTCCTTTAGAGGCCTGGCTTGTGTTGGGAGTTGTAGTCCCCCAAATGAATGGGTGTGATGGGGATTGCTGTCCAAGATTAAAGCAAGAGGGAAGAGGTTGCACTTTGGGGAGGCGCCAGCAGGAGGCGCGCGAGGACGCCTGGAGCTCTGGCAAGAGCGTCGCCGCCGCCGCCGCCGCCTTGGGAGGGCCCGGATGGGGGGACTGGAGGTTCCCTGGTCCCCTCCCGGCTGGGCCTCCTCCTCCTCCCGGCTCTTCCTCTTCGTCTTGCTCTGCAGCCTGGTCCCCGGAGAGGCAGCAGGGAAGGTAAACTCTCTGGAGGAAGGAAGGCCTCCAACACAGAACGAAGCTGAGGTTTCAGGGGGTGGTGGGGAATCCCTTCTTCTGGAGGACTGCAAAGCCCATTATCCGCCAACCCAGAGCTCTTTGGAAGAGATGGGCACCCTTTGGGAGGAGGAAAGGACAACTCCCAGAATCCCAACAGCTGCTAAAGGGTTGCTGCTTCCTGCCTGGGGGATCCTTTGTTGGGAGGTGTTAGCTGGCCCGGATTGTTTCCTGTCTGGAATTCCCTTGTCTTCTGAGTGTTGCTCTTTGTTTGCTGTCCTGATTTTTTTCATCAGAATCAATCAGGGCCAGCTAACACTTCCAAACAAAGGACCGCCCCCCCCCCAGGCAGGAAGCAGCCAGGCTTTGAAGCTGTAAGATCATTCAATGCTAATCAAGGTCCAGCATTTCTGTGTTATTAATTATATGCTGTGTGCAGGTTGGTTCATCAGAATCAATCAGGGCCAGCTAACACTTCCCAACAAAGGACTCCCCCCCCCCCCCAGGCAGGAAGCAGCCAGGCTTTGAAGCAGCAAGACCATTCGATGCTAATCAAGGTCCAGCATTTCTGTGTCCTCAAATCATATCCTGAGTCCAGGTTGGTTTATTAAAATCAATCAGGGCCAGCTAACACCTCCCAACAAAGGATCGCCCCCAGGCAGGAAGCAGCCAGGCTTTGAAGCTGCAAGACCATTCGATGCTAATCAAGGTCCAGCATTTCTGTGTCCTCAAATCACATCCTGAGTCCAGGTTGGTTCATCAGAATCAATCAGGGCCAACTAACACCTCCCAACAAAGGATTCCCCCAGGAAGGCAGCTAACACCTCCCAACAAAGGATTCCCCCAGGAAGGCAGCTCACTCCTCCCAACAAAGGATTCCCCCAGGAAGGCAGCTCACTCCTCTCAACAAAGGATTCCTCCAGGAAGGCAGCTCACTCCTCCCAACAAAGGATTCCCCCAGGAAGGCAGCTCACTCCTCTCAACAAAGGATTCCCCAGGAAGGCAGCTCACTCCTCCCAACAAAGGATTCCCCCAGGAAGGCAGCTCACTCCTCCCAACAAAGGATTCCCCCAGGAAGGCAGCTCACTCCTCCCAACAAAGGATTCCCCCAGGAAGGCAGCTCACTCCTCCCAACAAAGGATTCCCCCAGGAAGGCAGCTCACTCCTCTCAACAAAGGATTCCCCAGGAAGGCAGCTCACTCCTCCCAACAAAGGATTCCCCCAGGAAGGCAGCTCACTCCTCCCAACAAAGGATTCCCCCAGGAAGGCAGCTCACTCCTCCCAACAAAGGATTCCCCCAGGAAGGCAGCTCACTCCTCCCAACAAAGGATTCCCCCAGGAAGGCAGCTCACTCCTCCCAACAAAGGATTCCCCCAGGCAGGATGCAGTCAGGTTTTGAAGCTGCAAGGCCATTCAGTGCCATATGTTATTGCGTTGTTATTTTTGCGTTTTGTATTCATTCTATTGTAATTGTATTGTAAGCCGCCCCGAGTCCTCTTTGGGGAGATGGTGGCGGGGTATAAAAAAAGATGATGATGATGATGATGATGATGATTAATCACCTCTACCTCCAACAGACAAGAGTTCTTCTAGTGATTCCAGCCATGGAAGTCTTCAACAATACATTGCTAAAGGGTTATTGCAGCTATAATTGGGAGATAATGGGAATTATATATATATTATTGAATACATTGCTAAAGGGTTATTGCAGCTATAATTGGGAGATAATGGGAATTATATATATATTATTGTTATATAAGTAATTCAATATAATGTTGTCTCCCTCCAGACAGCAGTGCCTCTGAGCATGTGCAGAGTGCAGATTCCCCTACCAAGTTTAGGGAAGCAATCCATCGTTTTGAGCATGTTTTACAACTTTTAAAAGCGACTCCAAACAACACAGTGTTTCTCTTTTTCTTGCATTGTGTTGACGATGCAAAACCGCCCAAACTTGTGACAAAACACTCCAGCCTGGAGAATAAAACCCAGGCCGCTAGGAAAAGGACTTCAACCAGAAACAAAAATAAACCCTGTCCCTTTAAAAGATGCCCATGGATCAGAGGAGTGGGGCAAAGGCTTCTCCCCTATTGGCTCCTTGCTAGCAGCGTAGCTCCGCCCTCCTTTGTGGGAGCCAATGAGAAGCTGCCTAGCTGGCAGCCTTAAAGGGACCGCCTCTTCAACCCTTACAAAAGGGCAAACTATGCATTTGTCTCATTTGTTTTCCCTTCAGTGGCAGAAAATTTGGATTTTTTCCCCCACTGCTTATGATGGAACTTTATCTCCCATCACTCGGCACCAATGCCCCAATGGAAACTACAACTTCCGTCATGCTTCACCCTTGTGGCATTCTCTCCTGATGTTTCGTACCCCAAGGGTGAAGCATGACGGGAGTTGTAGTTTGCATGGAATGACCATTGTGATATAATAGGTTTTTCTCTAGATGATTGCAATATTTGATTGTGTTTCTCCTCCTTCCTGATTTCAGGAAAGCAAAGGGATTTCACTGGAATCGGAAAAAATCAATCGCTGGAACGTTTCCCCCAAAAGGTAAAAAATAAAACATGATTTTGGAGGATTTATATACAATACGTATGCATATACATACATACATACAAGCACACACACACACACATATATATACATATACACACACACACACATATACACTTATATATGTGTGTATATACACATATATACACATATATATGCGTGTGTGTATGTATGTATATATATATATATACACACACACATATATATCTGAATGACTACAATTCACACACATATATATACATATATATGTGTGTATACACATATATACATATATACACATATATGTGGTGTATGTGTGTGAAATGTAGTCATTCAGATATATGTGTGTGTATATATATATATACACACACATACATACACGCATATATATACACACACACACACACACATATATATATACATATATATGTGTGTATATATGTGTGTGTACATACACACACATACACACACATATCTGAATGACTACAATTCACATCCCTTGTGAGTGGATGATAGAAGTCGCAGTGCATTTTCTTACTCTTTTCCATAAGCAACCTTCAGTTTCTCTTGTGATTTTGGATGCCCAGGTCTCATAATATACAGCCATGTCCCTTATATATACAAATGGTAAAAGAAAGGTAATATTTGCTCGTATTTGTTCAGCTGTGGATGATGGGAATCTGTGGATATGGTGTGGGGGGGGGGGTGATTAGCTCTCCCTGATGGTTTCTTGTCTGGAGTCCCCCTGTCTTTATTTACTGTTATGATTTTAGAGTTTTTAAATACTGGTAGTATTCTCTCCTGACGTTTCGTGTGTGACTTCTTACTGCCTGGGGGAATCCTTTGTTAAGAGATGATTAGCTGTCCCTGATGGTTTCTTGTCTGGAGTTCCACATGCTGGAACATGGCCAGGCAGCCTGGAAAACTTACAGCAACCCAGTGATTCTGGCCTTGAAAGCCTTCGACAATACCATATGGGGAGAAAGACAGGATACAATTGATGATGATGATGATGATGATGATGATAATAGTAGTAATAATAATTTTCCTCTTTTATAGTGTGTCAACTTATGAGGACTTCGGTTTCCGCCGTCTTAAGGTAAGATGGAGGCCAAAACAAAAAGGCAAATAGTCCATTATTCCCTACCTAAGAATAGTAAATATTCCAATTGGCAGGAAGACTGGGAACCACAACAACAACAACTTGGGGACTGCCTGAAGACTTAGTGGAGACTAGAACAGCTTTCTTGTCACTGTCTTATTTATTGTTTTTAAATACTGGTAGTATTCTGGCGTTTCGCATGTGACTCCTTACTACCTGGGGCAATCCTTTGCTGAGAGGTGATTAGCTGTCCCTGATGGTTTCTTGTCTGGAGTTCCCCTGTTATGATTTCAGTGTTTTTAAATACTGGTAGTATTCTCTCCTGGCGTTTCGCATGTGACTCCTTACTGCCTGGGGCAATCCTTTGTTGAGAGGTGATTAGCTGTCCCTGATGGTTTCTTGTCTGGAGTTCCCCTGTTATGAGTTCTCCCATCAAAGGGTAGGACTGAGGGTATTTCTTCTTTCTAAACAGGTCTCGCAGAACCTATTTCGAACGAGACGCCACCGTCGGGGGGCCTCAAATTGGCCGAAGCGGCTTTTGGGGGGATTCGGACGTTTGACCAGTCCACCGGAGATGATGACGACTCCTCCCGTATCGAAGCCTGAGACCCCCATCTCGACCCCTGTCTCGACCCCGGAGGCCAGGCCAGGATGCCGGTGCCCAGAGGAGGCCAAAGCGCAGCAGGGGAAGGCAGGGGAGGTCATTCGGAAGGGGGTCCGCGTGCCGACACCTCGGACGGAGGAGGCCGCCTGGGCCGCCAGCGCCTTGACCTTCCTGCTGGTGGCGCTGACCCTGGCCGTCCTCTACACCCGCCTCCACCGCAAATGCCGCCGCGGGCGCAGCCTCTACTGGACGGTCAGCGGAGAGGAGGACCGCGAGACTGTGGCCGGTGAGTCCAGTTCAAACGCCTTCTTCCATGCAGGGAAAGCACAGTCAAAGCACCCCCAACAGATGGCCAACCAGCCATAACAATTTTTTATTATTATTATTATTATTATTATTATTATTATTATTATTGTTATTGATAATAAATAGTAATAAAGAGTTATTAATAAGGGTTTATATATTTGTGGAATAATGTCCAGGGTGGGAGAAAGAACTCTTGTCTCTTGGAGGCAAGTGCGACAGTTGCCATTGGCCACCTTAATTAGCATTTAATAGCTTTGCAGCTTCAAGGTCTGGCTGCTTACTGACATTATCTTTGGAAAAATATCCAGGGTGGGAGGAAGAACTCATGTCTGTTGGAGGTCGGTGTGAATGTTGCAATTTTAAACCTTGAAACCTTCAAAGCAAGGCTGCTTCCTGCCTGGGGGAATCCTTTGTTGGGAGCTGTTAACTGGTCCTGATTGTTTCCAGTCTGGAATTCCCCCTGTTGTTTGAGCATTCTTCTTTATTTACTGTCCTGATTATATATATCATGACATACATAATTATTATTTATATGATTATTAAATACGTCGATATACGGAGGACCCATATACCGGGTTTTGGTTCAAATTCACGGCCAAAAAAGGAACAAATATAGTGTTACGTAGTGTAATTATCATGGTCAGTAATGTATTATTATAAATAATAATGCATATTATTATATATTAATAATAATAACAGTAATATGCTGAAATGAGACTCAAAGCAGATCACGTTATAAATACAGTAGTCTCACTTATCCGACATGTCAGATAAGTGAAGGTTGGATAAGCAAGACTACTGTAATAGCAATAACGATTCGAAAAGTATGCTATGCAGAACGATGGGAGTTGCAATCCCAGGCCATGTTTTCCATCTCCTTCCTCTGCAGCGGTCATCAAGCGGCGGCTGTTGTCCTCGCAGATTCGGCGCAAGAAGCGTCCGCGGCCGAAGCAACAGGAAATCCCGGTCTCTACGTCCAGCGACAGTTCGGACTAAAACCCGGACCCTGCTTTGAGGGTCTTTGAACCTGGTTCAGCCTACCTAATAAGGGAAACACGTTGCCTTCGGAGGAGCCGGCTCCTCCGCGCTGTAATCCGCTTTTCCTACTATTTTTCCCCCTTGTTTTGCTACTCAATAAAGTATATTTTCCTAGGTAAACAACCCCTGAGCGTGATATCTGCGGGCGCGTACAGTGTGCCTGAGACCATCCTTTGTGAAGCAAAATCAACACATCGCGATCCGACCTTTCCGATGCTCACATCTCCGTTTTATTTACAAGACCAAAAAGGATTCCGGCGCAATGCTCGGACCCCAAGTCCATCGGTCAGTGGTCATTGACCCCAGTTTTCCCTCAGGGTAAACATAACAGGAAAGAGGGGGGAAAGATGGCCGGGCGGGTGGCGGGGGGAAATTGGAAGGTTTTGGGGGGAGTTAAGTCTTGGCAGCACCCTGAATTTTATTTTTTTCCAGTGTTAACACTATTGAGAGACGAGAGATAAATACAGTGCCTTGGTAATATATATGTATAGATCTATACATACATATATATATATAATGCACAGGAGGAGGGAGGTACACATACATACAGTTCCACGCACTATATATGGGGGAGCGAACGATTTGGGAGGGGGCTCCCTATCGCGAGTCCCGAAACTGCCCTAATTGGGGTCAGGTCCAAAGATGGAGCCCCACACAGCGCATTGTGTTATGGGGTATTTACATTATGTATTACTTCGCTTCGGCCCCACGGAGAAGGGATAGTGTCCCCCTGCCCCCCGATGAGCTGTCTGAAGGGTAAGGACACTTCCATTGGGGTCGCAGAGTCCAATGGATCGGTTAGAAGGGGGTCCGGGGAACGGGTTAGTGGGGTATTTACATAGCATGGGGCACCCCAAACCACAGCATATGGGGAGGGCTGCCCCCCAAACGACTCATTAGGGGTAATCCAGCCCTAATTGCAAGGACACTTCCATTGAGGCTCCCACAGAGAAGAAGGGGTGAAGGACACTTCCGATGGGGTCGCAGTGCCCCATAGAAAGAGATGTGGGGTACAGATAGAGAGTTCCCCCCTTGGGAACGTGGGTGGACGATCCCTTTGGGTCATGGATGACATAGAAGGAAATCCCCCTCCTGAGTTATGGGGTGTTTACGTGGCCAAACTATGGCGTAAGGGGTACATTTGGAAAGCTCCCCCCCCCCATACTCCTACTAACCCAACCCTGGGCAAAGGACACTTCCATTGAGATGTGGGGTAGAGGAAGAGAGCCCCCTTTCCTTGGGGTTACGGGGTATTTATTTACATTGCAGACCCATCAAGTATTGTGGCGGAACGGTCCTTGGATGAGCCATCCATCCCAGTGGTGTTGCCCATGGATATATTGGGGTACAGAATTGGAGCCCCTTTGGGTTGGGGGATATTTACACGGTCAACCCACCAAGTGTTGGTGAGGGGGCGGGGAAGCAATCCAGCCCTTTGAGTGAGCCAAGGACGGTCCCTTCGTGAGTCCCTTCGTGGTCGCCACATTCACAACAGGGGTCCCTTCGTAGTCGCCACATTCAAGCCGGGGTACGGGAGGGCACCCCTGCCTTCGGGTTATGGGGTATTTACATGGCCAAACCACGGGACACGTCGGGGACGGGTGTCCCCCATACTCACAAGGTGATCCAGACTCGCCGAGGATAGGTCGCGGGGTCAAGAGGGGCCTGGGGTACAGAACGAGTGTCCGCTCCCCCCGACCGGGCGCTTTCACTGCTTCTTCTCGCGGGTGGTGATGGTGACCAGTTGCTTGGCGGCCTTGGCGATGTCGTAGGCGCACTGGATGACCTGCTGGGTGAGGAGCTGATAGTCCACGGCCGCCCCCGGCTCGGGCGGCACCGTTTTGCGGCACTCGCTCTGCAGGCGGAAGGCGCTGGCGTTGAGCAGCCGCAGGGAGCTGCGGACCGTCTCTAGCGCCGGTTTCTGCGAAGGACGGAGAAGGTTGAGGAGCAGCTCAACGGAGAGCCAACATTTGGGATACGGAGGGGAGTACATATCATATATATATTCATATTATAGATTACTTATGCCATGTTTCTTTCCTACCTTGGGGAAGAGGGAGGCCATTTCCGTGACGGCGGCGTGGATCTTCTCCGAACAGGGAACGAAGCTGCTGGGGGGAGAGGGACAGAGTGAGGTCCAGAAAAGACACCTACGCCGATCAATAATTTACTTATAGACATTATTGTTGTTGCTTAGCATATATTATTATTATTGTTTTATCTATTCTAACTGTTGTGTTCCAGCTTGAACTGTGAGGTGAGGCAGGTAATAAATATGCATATCTGTATGTGTGTGTGTATATATGTATATGTATGTATATTTATATGTATATAACCTGTCCTCTGCCATGTGTTGCGGTTGCCCAGTCTGTCTATATGTGTTTTGTGTCTGTATATGTGTATATATATGTGTGTTTACATATGTGTGTATGTGTGTGTGTGTGTGTGTGTATATACACATACACACACACACACATATATATATACACACACACACTAGCTGTCCCCTGCCATGCGTTGCTGTGGCGCAATCTGTCGATATGTGTTTTGTGTCTGTATGTGTATATATGTGTGTTTGTGTGTGTGTATATATATATACACACACATACATACACACACACACTAGCTGTCCCCTGCCATGCGTTGCTGTGGCGCAATCTGTCTATATGTGTTTTGTGTGTGTATATGTGTATATATGTGTGTTTACATATGTGTGTGTGTATATATATACATATATACATACACACACATATATATATATACACTACACACACATATATTTAATTATATAGATTAGCCGTCCCCTGCCACGTGTTGCTGTGGCCCAGTCTGTCCATATGTGTTTTGTGTGTGTGTGTGTGTGTGTGTGTGTGTGTGTGTGTATGTGTGTGTGTGTGTGTATATATACACACACACACACACACATATATATATATATGCACACACACACACTAGCTGTCCCCTACTATGCGTTGCTGTGGCCCAGTCTGTCTATATGTGTTTTGTGTGTGTATATGTGTATATATGTGTGTTTGTGTGTGTGTGTGTATAACACACACACACACACATACATACACACACACTAGCTGTCCCCTGCCAAGTGTTGCTGTGGCCCAGTCTGTCTATATGTGTTTTGTGTGTGTGTGTGTATTTGTGTATATGTGTGTTTGCATCTGTGTGTGTGTGTATATATATATAGTTTTGCGCATGCGTTGTAATGTATTTTTTTTTGGTTTTTTGCTTTTTAAGTCCCTTCTGCTGTGTTTTTATGAGTGATGGTCACTCGTTGGCCTGAGAGGTGTCGTGTCCAAAATTGGTGTCACTTCATCCAGTAGTTTTTGAGTTATGTTAATCCCACAAACGAACATTACACTTTTATTTATATAGAAGATAACTCACGCACACACACACATACATGCCTCGTAGAGGCAGGTAATAAATAAATTTTATATTATTGTTGTTATATTTTTTGTTATTGTCATATTTGTGTGTGTGTGTGTAGCCATTAATGTGCAATCCACTAAAAATTTACTCTCTCTCTCTCTCTCTCTCTCTATATATATATATATATATATATATATATACCTATACACACACACACACACTATGAGCCATTGCAGGTAATAAATAAAATAGTTATTATTCTTATTTCTATTCTTATTTATCAATAATTGCCACAAAGGGGTGTGTGTGTGTGTGTGGTGTCCTGGGGGTGCTCCTGTGGCCCCCCCTCACTCCCCGTGCCCCCCCGACTCGGCCAAAGGGCTTCCTGACCTGTCGTGCTTGAACTCCTGGGCGGCGCGGAGGAGTTCCTGGATGTTCTTGGTCACTTGCTCCGTCTTGAGGATGACGTCCTCCGTGCTGGGCAGGCCCGGGTCCAGGTCTCCTTCCAGGGCGTCCGGCTCCGGGTGCAAATCCTCGTCTTTGGCCAGGTCCAGGAAGCGCTTCCCCTCCAGGCTGGGAGCCGGGAGGAAGGAAAGCAGTCAAAAGGGGGTGGGGCCATACTAAAAGGGGTGTGGGCACAGTTGAAAGGGTGGAGTCACAGTCGAAAGGGGTGGGCCACAGTCATGTGGGGCAGGGCCATCGTCAAAAGGGAAGGATCACAGTCAAAAGGGGTGGGTAGACTCAAAAGGGGCGGATCCACTGTACAGGGGGCAGGCACACAGTCGAAGGGGTGGGGCCATAGTCAAAAGGGGCGGTGTAGCAAAATTGCTACTCTATGTTAAATTTTTGGTGTATAGCTCTATGTTTACATATGGCAGATAGGGAAGAATAGGCACAGACAGGGTAGCAACAGCAGAGACAGGATTCATTTGCATATGGAAGCCGATTGGTCATATGCAGATTAGCGTAGGCCCAGGATTTGAAAAGGCTGCTAGTCCAAAATGACAGTTGGAGAGAGAGAGAGCTGAACATTTCAAAGGGGCGGAGCCAAAGTTTAAAAATAGGCAGTTAGAGAGACAAAAGAGTTAGTTAGGAATTGCTGTTTGTGAAGTGAGTTAGGGATTCCTGTTTGTGAGAGACAGTTAGGAAAGAGTTAGGAACTCCTGTTAGGAATAAGCAGTTATGAAGACGTGTTAAAGACTTCTGATATATAGAAGCAGTTAGTTAAATAGAGCTCAAGTTTTAGAAACATAAAGAAAGCCAGTGGTGCTTTAGTCAGAATATAATTTCCGTCAAGAGTGTGTAAAGCAAGTAACATGTTTGTGAATGTGAAACATTGAAAGTCTATTTCAGAAAAGTAAACCAAGCATATTATACTGACTGTAAGCCTCAAGACTGCAACAAAACACAAATGTAACCACAAGCGTTGGAGCCAGAAGTTATAAATAAACTGTGTTACTTCGTTATACAGAAGTGTGTCTCAGTGTCTGTACAAAGGTTAAACAGCACACAGAAAGTCCCAGCCAAGATAAAAGAAGAAACTGAATCATTATAAGAGTAAAGAGAGCTATAGTCAATAGGGACAGGGCCATACTTAAAAGAGGGCAGGGCCATCGTAAAAAAGGTGGAGCCCCAGTAAAAGGGGCGGGAGCACAGCCCAAAAGGGTGTGTGGCTACCATCAAAGAGGTGGGGTCACAGTCAAAAGGGGCGGGGCCATAGTCAACCTCCACAAGGATACCTCAAGGGCAGGTCCCCTCCTTGCGTGTTGTCGTAGTCGCTGTCCGTTCCGCTCCCGTGCCGATCCAGTTTTCCAGTCTGGAACGAAGAAGAGGAGAAAGGGGGAGGAGTCACAGGTGAATGTTTAGCCCCTCCCCTGGAATACACCCCCCCCCCCGAAAAAAACCTCACCATGTGCCGCCCTCCATCTGTGGGGCAGGAGACCAGCGGGGAAGACGGTGGGAAGGGCATCGAGGAGATGGAGCCGCCCTTCCGGATCTGAGCGGGGAGGTAAGAGGGGGAGTCAGACCCACAAGAGACCTGGGGTCGGGGGGGGGGGGCGCTACGAGGATTTGCCCTCCCCTTGAAAACATGGCGGAGATTATGACAACGACTCACCCGGTAAATGGAGGCCTGCGTGTGAACCGAGTACAGAGCATCGTCGTCCATCTCCTAAACGGCACAGAAATGAAGAATAAGCAGGTAGTACATTAGTAATAGTATTATTATTACTATTATTATTATTAAGAAGCAGGGAGAGGCAGGTAATAAATTAAGTATAATTATTATTACTGCTAGGGTTGTTGTTGAGCCTCAAGGAGAGGCAAGTAATAAATTTATTAATATTATCATTACTACTACTATTGTTGAGCCACAGGGAGAGGCAGGTAATAAATTCATTATTATTATTATTAATATTAATATTTTATTATTATTATTATTAATAATAATAATAATAATAATAATAATAATAATATATTATTATTATTATTATTATTATTATTATTATTATTCAGTTGCAGGGAAGGGCAGGTAATAAATGCATTATTGTTGTTGAGTTGCAGGGACAGGCAGGTTGTTGTTGTTATTATTATTATTGCAGTTGAGGTGCAAGAAGAGTGGGTAATAAATTCATTATGATTCTTATCATTATGGTGATTATTATTATTGAGCCACAGGGAAAGGTGGGTAGTTCATTACTATTATTGTTGTTGTTGTTGTTGAGCCACAGGGAGAGACAGGTAATAAATCTATTATTATTATTATTATTGCTACTAGTATTGAGTCATAGGGACAGGCAGGTAATAAATCCATTATTGTTATTACTACTATTGTAGTTCAGGCACAGAGAGAGGTGGTTAATCATTACTATTATTATCATTATTATCATTATTATTATTATTATTATTATTATGTCACAGGGAGAGATGGGCAATTCATTAAATTCATTACTCTTATTGTTGTGTTGTTGAGCCACAGAGAGAGGTGAGTAATTCATATTGTTATTGTTGAGCCACAGGGAGAGATAGGTAATCAATCTATTATTATTATTATTATTATTATTATTATTATTATTATTATTGAGTCATAGGGACAAGCAGGTAATAAATCCATTATTGTTATTACTACTACTATTGTAGTTGAGGCACAGAGAGAGGTGGTTAATCAATTCATTATTATTATTATTATTATCATTATTATTATTATTATGTCACAGGGAGAGATGGGCAATTCATTACTATTATTATTGTTGTTGTTGAGCCACAGGGAGAGGCAGGAAATAAATCCATTATTGTTATTATTATTATCATTATTATCATTATTACTATTATTATTATTTATTATGTCACAAGTAGAGGTGGGCAATTCATTACTATTATTATTGTTGCTGCTGAGACGCAGGGAGAGGCAGGAAATAAATCCATTATTATTATTATTATTACTATTATTATCATTATTATTATTGTTATTACTACTATTATAGTTGAGGCGCAGAAAGAGGTGGGCAATCATTACTATTATCACCATCATCATCGTTATTATTATTATTATTACTATGTGACAGGGAGAGATGGGCAATTCATTATTATTGTTGTTGTTGAGCTGCAGGGAGAGGCAGGAAATAAATCCATTATTATTATTATTATTATTATTATTATTACTATTGAGTCATAGGGACAGGCAGGTTATAAATCCATTATTGTTATTACTACTATTGTAGTTGAGGCACAGAGAGAGGTGGGCAATCATTACTATTATCATTATCATCATCATCATCATTATTATTATTATGTGACAGGGAGAGATGGGCAATTCATTACTATTATTGTTTTTGTTGTTGAGCCACAGGGAAAGGCATGAAAAAAACCATTATTATTATAATTATAATTATTATTATTATTACTACTATTGAGTCATAGGGACAGGCAGGTAATAAATCCATTATTGTTATTACTACTATTGTAGTTGAGGCGCAGAGAGAGGTGGGTAATCATTACTATTATTATTATTATTATTATTATTATTATTATCATTATTATTATTATTATGTCACAGGGAGAGATGGGCAATTCATTACTATTATTGTTGTTGAGCTGCAGGGAGAGGCAGGAAATAAATCCATTATTGTTATTACTACTATTGTAGTTGAGGTGCAGAAAGGGGTGGGCAATCATTACTATTATCATTATCATTATCATTATTATTATTGTGTCACAGGGAGAGATGGGCAATTCATTACTATTATTATTGTTGTTGAGCTTCAGCGAGAGACAGGAAATAAATCTATTATTATTACTACTACTACTACTACTACTACTACTATGTCAAAGGGAGAGTTGGGCAATTATTATTATTATTATTATTATTGCTACTATTGAGTCATAGGGACAGGCAGGTAATATATCCATTATTGTTATTACTAGTATTGTAGTTGAGGCGCAGAGAGAGGTGGGTAATCATTACTATTATTATCATTATTATTATTATGTGACAGGGAGAGATGGGCAATTCATTACTATTATTATTGTTGATGAGCTGCAGGGAGAGGCAGGAAATAAATCTATTATTGTTATTACTACTATTGTAGTTGAGGCGCAGAAAGGGGTGGGCAATCATTACTATTATTATCATTATCATTATCATTATCATTATTATTTCTTATGGAGCCGTAGGGAGAGGCGGGTAATCAATTCATGATGAGTGTGATAACTTGTCGTTCTCTAAAGCGACATTCCATGCCAGGCGGACCCTCCCCTGCGCTTGTGGACGATGGGAGTTGTAGTGCGGCCGTCCTCCCCATTGGCCCCCCACTCGGCCACTCACCCCCGGGTGGAAGGGCTGCAGGCGCCCCACCAGCTCCTCCATGGGTTGCTGCCCGAACGGCTTGAGGGCCCCGCCGGTGCCCGGCTCGTACATGGAGAAGGCGTGTCGGTCTCGGCGGTGGGGGGCCCCGAGGGGAGGGGCCACGCCGTGCCCGTGTTCCGGCCGCTCCGCCGCCACGGGGGCCACCGAGGCCGAGGCCGGGTGGACGTTCCCCGCCTGTTGCCGGATCTGCAGGTTCTCCGACTGCAGCTTGTGGATCTCCCTCTGGAGCCGCCGGAGCTCGTCGCTAAGGCTGTTGTTGACCTTCATGAGCTGCTGGACTTTGGCCTCGGAAGTGGAGAGGGCCTTCTTGACCTCCAGGAACTCCTGCAGCGAGATGGGGCCCTCCGACAGGTCCGAGGAGTCCATGCTCTGGGTTGGGGGGGGGGACACACAAAAGGCACGTCCGCACTGCTGAGTTAACCCACTTCAACCACCATGTTAACCCACTTTAACCACCTGGGAGTTGTGTGGGCTTTGGCCTTCTCTGCCAAAGAAGGTTGGTGCTAAGCTACAATTCCCATGGTTCTGAGAATCGCCCCAGAAGGAGAGAAAGAGGAGGAAAGAAAGGAGAGGAAAAAGAAGGTGAAGAGAAGAAAGGAAGAGTAGTAAGGGGAAGGAAGAGAAGGATGAGAAACAGAAGGGAAAGGAGAGGAAGAAGGGGAAGGAGATGGAGGAAGGAGGAGAAAGGGGAAGACGAAAAGGAAGTGGAAGAATGAGAGGAAGAAGAGAAAGGGAAGAAGGAGAAGAGAAGGATGAGAAACAGAAGACGAAGGAGAAGAGAAAGGAGAAGATGAAGAAGGGGAAGGAGATGGAGGAAAGAGGTGAAGGAAGTGGAAGGAGAGGAAGTGGAAGGAGAGAACGAAGGAGGAAGAAGGGAAAGGGAAGAAGGAGAAGAGAAGGATGAGAAACAGATGAAGAAGGAGAAGGGAAAGGAGAGGAAGATGGAGAAGGGGAAGGAGATGGAGGAAAGAGATGGAGGAAGTGGAAGGAGAGGAAGTGGGAGAGAAAGAAGGGGGAATAAGAGAAAGGGAAGAAGGAGAAGACAAGGATGAGAAACAGAAGTGAAAGAAGAGGAAGAAGAAGAAGAAGAAGAAGAAGAAGTGAAAGGAGAGGAAGAAGAAGAAGAAGAAGGGGAACGAGGAGGAAGAGGAAGGTGAAAACGAAGTGGAAGGAGGAGAAGAAGAGAAAGAAGAAAAAGAAAGGAGAGAAGGAGAAGGAAGTAAAGGAGAAAAGGAGAGAAAGAGATGAAAAGTGGAAGGAGAAATATGAATTGAGAAAGGAAGAATAAGAGAAAAGGATGAAGGAGAAGAACATGGAGGAAGAAAGAGAAAAGAAGGATGAGAAACAGAAGAGGAAGGAGAACAGGAAGGAGAGGAGGATGAAGAAGGGAAAGGAGATGGAGGAAGGAGGCGAAGGAGGAAGATGAAAAGGAAGTGGAAGGAGAGAAAGGGAAGAAGGAGATGAGCACGAAGAAAGAGAAAAGAAGAAAAGAATGGGAAATAGAAGAGGGAGGAGGAAAAGAAATGAAGGAGAGAAGAAAGAAAAGAGAGGAAGGAAAGGAAGAGGGGAGAAGGTAACGGAGGGGAAGTGGCTTTTGAACCCAAACCATGCGGGACGCCATCCGCCCCCCCCCCAAAACTCAGGGCCCGCCCCCCCTTCTCACTCGTGCGCGGTTGTTGCGCCCGGCGGCGTTGCTGGCGTTGCGCAGGGGCTCCTGGTCGGCGTCTTCGTCGGAAGCCACGCTGTCGTAGTCGTGCTGGTCGTCCAGGTCACTGGGGCCGCCGTGGAGGGAGGAAGAAGAGTCCAAGGGCTCTGAAGGGGAAGAAGGGAAGGAAGGAGAGAGGAAGGAGAGATGGAGGGAAGGAAGGAGGGAAGAGGGAAGAAGGAAGGAGGAGGAGGAAGAAGGAGGGAGGGAGTGAAGGAAGGAAGGAAAGAAAGGAGGAAGGAAGGAGAGGAAGGAAGGAGGGAGGGAGGGAGGGGGAAGGAGAAGGAAGGAAGGAAGGGAGGGAGGGAGAAAGAAGGAGGAGGAAGGGAGGGAGGAAGGAAGGAGAGAAGGAAGGAGGGTGGAAGGGAGGGAGGGAGGGAGGGAGGAGGAAGGAAGAAGGAGGAGGGAGGAAGAGGGAGAGAGAAGGAGAGAAGAAGGAGGAAGGGAGAGGAGGAGGGAGGGAGGAAGAAGGAAGGAAGAAAGGGAGGAGAGATGGGAGGAAAGGAAGGATGGAGGTAAAGAAAACGGGTAGGGGAGGAAGGATGAGAGATAGAGAAGGAGGGAATGAGGGAGGGGAGGGAGGAAGGAGAAGAGGAAGGAAGCAGAGAAGGAAAGAGAAAAGGAAGGATGAAAGGAGTGAAGAAAGGATGGAGAAAAATAAGGAAGGAAAGAAGGGAGGAAATAAAGAAGGAAGGAAGGAAGGAAGGAAAGGAAGGAAGGAAAGGAAAGAGGAAGGAAGGAAGGAAAAAGGAAGGAAGGAGGTAGAGAAAGAGGGGAGAGAAGGAGGGGAGATAGAGAAGGAAGGAATGAAGGAGAGGAGGAAACAGAGAAGGAAAGAGAAAAGGAAGGATGAAAGGAGTGAAGGAAGGAAGGAAAGGAGGGAGGGAGGAAAGAGAGAAGGAAGGAGGGAGGGAAAGAAAGAAGGAAGGAAAGAGAGAAGGAAGGAGGTAGAGAAAGAGGGAAGGAAAGAGAAGGAAGGAAGAAGAGGAGGGGGAAGGAAGGAAGGAGAGAAGGAGTGAGAAAAGAGGAGGAAAGAGGAATGAAGGAAGTATGGAGAGAAATAAATACAGACAGAAGGCAGGCAGGCAGGCAGGCAGGCAGGCAGGAAGGAAGGAAGGAAGGAAGGAGTGTGGGAAGGAAAGAGGGAAGGTAGGAAGGAAATAATATTATTAATAATAATAATAATAATAATATGATAATAATAATCGTATTATCTGCCTCTCTCTGTGGCTCAAGGAAGGAAGGAAGGAAGGAAGGAAGGAAGGAAGGAAGGAAGGAAGGAAGGAAGGAAGGAAGGAGGGTGTCCCCCGCTGACCTGTGGGGCTGGTGAGTCCCTTCCCTTGCTGCCGGCGCTTGGCCTCGCTCAGGATGTCGATGATGAGGGTGGCAAACTCCCGGGCGTTGAAGCGGGCCAGTTTCTGGCGGCCCTGCAAGAGAGGACAGCAAAAACAACAGAGCCTCTGAGCCCGTGCAGAGTTCAGGGCAGGGTCCAAGCCAAGTCTGGACTGCCACTCCCATGATCCCTCACCTGGTTGCGTGTCGCAGAATATTCTGGATTGACGGGGAGGAAGGGGACGGCGCTGCGTTCGGTCACCAAAGTGCTGTGGTTCTGCGTTGTGAGCCAGACTTTGGGAGAGAACGTGCCCGAGTATTATTATTATGATTGCGTTACAATATTGGACTAGATTGTTGTTGTTGTTATTTCCTCACCGGCATCGTTCTCCCGGCGGTCCACTTCGTCGTAGACGTCCATGGCGAGTTCCTCGAAGAGGCGGTTGCTGAGCTGGAAGAGAAACGAGCGAGAAACAGCCGTGAAATCCTTTCCGTCTCGAATTCGGACCCAAAGCCTTCAAGTCGTCCCGAGTTCGAATCTAAAGCGACTCACCGCCTGCAGCTTCTTCTTGGCCGCTTTGGCCAATTCGGAGAGGTCCAAGCTGGAAAAGGAAAAGGGAGATGACCGGTTAGGCGGATCTGCAGATGGACGAACGGAGAAAATGAAAACGAAGGAGAGAAAACGAAGGAAGGAAGAGAGTATCGTTCCCTTGGTGTTCGTTCCATTGGGATTAATGGTCCCATTGCACCAAAGATCGTACGTCAACAAGGATTGATCTTTGCATGAGAGATATCATGAAAAGATATTGCAACCACCCCTGAAATGGATAATAGGAATCCAGAATACTATGGCTGGGGCCCTTCAGAATCAATAACAATAATAATAATAATAATAATAATAATAATAATAATAATAAAAAGAGGAAAGTCAATATGTAACAATAATGATAAAATAATAATAAATATTTAATAATAATAATAATAATAAGTATTACTCTAAAAACTTAATAATAATAATAGTAATAATAATATAAGAGGAAAGTCATTATTTAACAATAATCATAAAATAATAATAAATATTTAATAATAAAATAATAAAAATAAATATTTAAAAATAAGGAAGCAGATATGTAATAATAATACTAATAATAATAATAAATATTTAAAAATAAGGAAGTAGATATGTAATAATAATACTAATAATAATAATAAATATTTGAAAATAAGGAAGTAGATATGTAATAATACTAATAATAATAATAAATATTTAAAAATAAGGAAGTAGATATGTAATAATACTAATAATAATAATAAATATTTGAAAATAAGGAAGTAGATATGTAATAATACTAATAATAATAATAAATATTTGAAAATAAGGAAGTAGATATGTAATAATAATACTAATAATAATAATAAATATTTAAAAATAAGGAAGTAGATATGTAATAATAATACTAATAATAATAATAAATATTTGAAAATAAGGAAGTAGATATGTAATAATAATACTAATAATAATAATAAATATTTGAAAATAAGGAAGTAGATATGTAATAATACTAATAATAATAATAAATATTTGAAAATAAGGAAGTAGATATGTAATAATAATACTAATAATAATAATAAATATTTGAAAATAAGGAAGTAGATATGTAATAATAATACTAATAATAATAATAAATATTTAAAAATAAGGAAGTAGATATGTAATAATAATACTAATAATAATAATAAATATTTGAAAATAAGGAAGTAGATATGTAATAATAATACTAATAATAATAATAAATATTTGAAAATAAGGAAGTAGATATTTAATAATAAAATAATAAAAATAATATTTAAATATAAGTGAGTAAATATTTAAAAATAGGTAAGTCAATATTTATTAATAATAATAATAATAATATAATAAATGTTTGAAAATAAGTAAGTAAATATTTAAAAGTAAGTTAATCAATATTTAATAATAGAATAATAAAAATAATATTTAAATAAAAGTGAGTAAATATTTAAAAATAGGTAATATTTTATATTTTTATATTTAATATTTAATAATAATAATATAATAATAAATGTTTGAAAATAAGTAAGTAAATATTTAAAAGTAAGTTAATCAATATTTAATAATAAAATATTAAAAATAATATTTAAATATAAGTGAGTAAATATTTTAAAAAAGGTGTCAATATTTAATAATAATACATGTTTGAAAATAAGTAAGTAAATATTTAAAAATAAGCCAATATTTAATAAAATAATGAAATAATATTTAAATATAAGTGAGTAAATATTTTAAAAATAGGTAAGTCAATATTTAATAATAATAATATAATAATAAATATTTTAAAATAAGTTAATCAATATTTAATAATAAAATAATAAAAATAATATTTAAATATAAGTGAGTGACTATTTAAAAATAGGTAAGTCAATATTTAATAATAATAAATGTTTGAAAATAAGTAAATATTTTAAAATAAGTCAATATTTAATAAAGTAATAAAATAATATTTAAATATAAGTGAGTAAATATTTTAAAAATAGGTAAGTCAATATTTAATAATAATAAATGTTTGAAAATAGGTAAGTAAATATTTAAAAATGAGTAAGTCAATATTTAATAATAAAATAATAAAAATAATATTTAAATATAAGTGAGTAAATACTTGAAAATAGGTAAGTAAATATTTAATGATAAAATAATAATAAATGTTTGAATATAAGGAAGTAAATACTTAAAGATAAATAAGTAAATATTTAATAATAAAATAATATTTAAATATAAGTGAGTAAATATTTAAAAATAGGTAATTAAATCTATTATTAATAATAAAATAATAAACATTTGAAAATAAGTAAGCAAATATTTCAAAATAAGTAAGCCAATATTCAATAATAAAATAATAAAAATAATAATTTAAAATAATAAATATTAAAAACTGGTAAATATTTAATAATAATTAATATTTAGGAAATAATAATATATATTTAAAAGCTAGATAAATAATAATAATAATAATAATAATAATAATAATAATATAATATAAGTAAATAAAATACAATAATTATCCACTTTATTTGGGCCCAACCAGGTCTTCCTCTCAAAAATATAAATTATATATATTATGACAAAATCCTGCTGAAACGGCGGCATGCAAACCCGACCTGAATTATCATAATACCTTTGCGACACGCACTTTGGGCGCACTCTGAGCTCCGGAAAAAATGCAGCAAAGGAGAGAAAAAGGACAAAAGGAGGAGGTTGAAAAGCCTGAAAAGGTCAGTTTGGATGGCCTCAAGGGACCCCCAGCGACTCATTGCTCCCATCCTATATTGTCTCTTATATTTCCATGTGTTTTCGACCTTCTAAAGAACTCAGACTACGGTAAGAGGTGGAAATATTCGTTATTTACATTTATTTTGGTTTTCTCCCACCTGAGCTCTTCCATGCAAGTTGCATATTGGCCACTGGGTGGCAGCACTGACTTCCTGCCCAATGCATATTCAATAGATATTTTGGGGTCTCCTCACCTGTCGGCCATCTGCGGGATGATGTAATGCCCGTTCTTGTGGTCTGCGCCAAAGAAAAGACAGGAGAAAAGATATATATATATATACACACATACACAGGTCATATGGGGACAATTTCATCCTAGATTGCATGTGTTTCCTCCACCACAGACATCCCAGTGTTCCCGACTCTCTCCATTGGTGTGGAACTTGAATGACCCACTCCCTCTCCCTCAACCCTTTCCTATTCTTTTCTACAGGCTTTAATACGGGGACAATTTCATCCTAGATGTTATGTGTTTCCTCCACCACAGACATCCCAGTGTTCCTGACTCTCTCCATTGGTGTGGAACTTGAATGACCCACTCCCTCTCCCTCAACCCTTTCCTATTCTTTTCTACAGGCTTTAATACGGGGACAATTTCATCCTAGATGTTATGTGTTTCCTCCACCACAGACATCCCAGTGTTCCTGACTCTCTCCATTGGTGTGGAACTTGAATGACCCACTGCCTCTCCCTCAACCCTTTCCTATTCTTTTCTACAAGCTTTAATACAGGGACAATTTCATCCTAGATGTTATGTGTTTCCTCCACCACAGACATCCCAGTGTTCCTGACTCTCTCCATTGGTGTGGAACTTGAATGACCCACTCCCTCTCCCTCAACCCTTTCCTATTCTTTTCTACAGGCTTTAATACGGGGACAATTTCATCCTAGATGTTATGTGTTTCCTCCACCACAGACATCCCAGTGTTCCTGACTCTCTCCATTGGTGTGGAACTTGAATGACCCCGCCCACTGCCTCTCCCTCAACCCTTTCCTATTCTTTTCTATGGCGCACAGCAAAAAGAGAAACTGATCAGCAACTGAACATACAAGAGAGGTTTGGAGAGAATTCACCTTGATTTATTGTTGGTCCTGGGATGTATAGTTCACCTGCAATCGAAGAGCACTCTGAACTCCACCAACGATGGATCTGGAACTAACTTGGGCACACAGAGCCCCCATGACCAACAAAAAATACTGGATGTATTTGGAGATTTGGGGGAGTTGTAGCTCACCTCCATCCAGAGCACACCAAACAATGATGGATCTGGACCAAACTTGGCATACATAACCAATATGCCCAAATTTGAATACTGGTGGGTTTGGAGGGAAATTGGCCTGGACATGTTGGAGTGGTAGTTACTGGGTCAACCAGGGTGATAAAATAATAATAATAGTAATAGTAGTAATAATAATAATAATAATAATCCAATCCTCTGCTGACCTGGCTTCCGTCCACACAGGTAGAAGGCCAACCTATCGGTCAGTTCATATTGGCACTCTACTAGCCGCTCGGCCAGTTCGTGTTGGTTGGCTTGCCTGTTTGGAGAAGGAGGTTGACAATAATAACAATAGTAATAATAGTCATTGTGCAATAATAATAATAGTAATAATAGTAATAATAATAAATAGTAGTTGCAGAAAAAAATAATAATAATAGTACAAGAATAATGACCAGTAGCATTAATATTTAAATAGTAGTAGTAGTAAAATAAGATTAATGGTAATAAATTAATAACAGTAGTAATAACACTTGTAAAGTAATTTTGGTATTAGTAAATAATAATAAAAATAGTAATAATTATAAATAGTAGTTGTAGTAAAATATTAAAGAGTACAAGAATAATGACCAGTAGCATTAATAGTTAATTAGTAGTAGTAGTAGTAGTAGTAGTGAAATAAGAAAAATAATAGTAATAAACGAGTAACAGTAGTAATAACAGTTGTAAAATAATAATATTAGTATTAGTAAATAATAATAAAAATAGCAATAATAATGAATAGTTGCAGTAAAATAATAATAATAGTACTAGAATAATGACCAGTAGCATTATTGGTAGTAGTAGTAAAATAGTAAAATAGTAGTAGTAGTAGTAGTAGTAAAATAAGAATAATAATAGTAATAAACGAGTAACAGTAGTAATAACAGTTGGGAAATAATACCATTAGTATTAGTTAATAATAATAATAATAATAATAATAATAATAATAGTAGTTGCAGCAAAATAATAATAATAGTACAAGAATAATGACCAGTAGCATTAATAGTTAATTAGTAGTAGCAGTAAAATAAGAATAATAATAGTAATAAATTAATAACAGTAGTAATAATAGTTTGAAAATATTATTAGTATAATAATAAATACTGCTAGTAGTACAATAATAGTAATAAGATAGCAGTAAGATAATAACAGCAATACTATTAAAATGGTAATAATACTAGTAAAATAATTACAGTGGTAAAGTAGTAGTAGTAAATAGTAATAGCAGTCGTAAAGTAGTAGTAAAAGAGTAGTACTAGTAATAGCAATAAAATAATAATAATAATAATAATAATAATAATAATAATGGAAAGAAGGGGGTTAGATTTTGGCCCTTCCCACTTGGCTCAGGTCAAATCAAACTGCAGAAGCAAGTTGGACAGGATTCGAACTCGGTTTCCAAAACTCAGACCTAATCCCTGCATCACACGACAGTGCAGGATGCGGGCCCTCACCTGGCATAGTCAATGGGGGTCCGTCCATTGACGTCGGGGGCCCCAGGGTCGGCCCCGTAGACCACCAGCAGCTCGGCTTGGAGGATCTGACCCGCTTTGGCTGCGACGTGCAACGGAGTGGTCCCTTTCTCCTGTACACGTGAAAGGAAATGGGTTCCTCTGTGATGCTGACTCACACAAACCCTGCTGCCCGGGGCCACCGTGCAGCCCTGAAAATTGGGGTTTCCTACCGGGTGGAAGAAGTTGGCCTGGGCCCCGAGAGAGAGAAGGCGCAAACAGGTCTCCAGGTTTCCGGTCCGGACGCTGGAATGCAGTTGCTAAAGAGAAAAATCAGAAAGCATGAGACTCTAGGATTCTACCATTATTATTATTACTATCATCATCATCATCTGTTAGGAGGGTTCTGATTGTGTTGTCCTGCTTGGCAAAATGGGGCTGGAGTGGATGGCCTTTTGGGGTCCTTTCCAACTCTAAGATTCTATGAATAATAAACTGAGTAATACTACCCGTAGTAAAATACTACTAGTAGTAAAATAATAGCAGTGTTAGAAATAAAATAGTAGTAGTAAAGTAATGATAATAGATAGTAAAATAATAGTAATAGTAGTAAAATAATAACAGCAACAACGGGCTGGAGAGTCATCTGTCAGGTGGGTTTGGATTGTGTCGTCCTGCCTGGCAAAATGGGGTTGGGGTGGATGTTCTTTTAAAAATTCTATGATTCTATGAATAATAAGCCAAGTAATAGTAGTAGTAAAATAGTAGTAAAATGTGACTAGGAGTAAAATAGTAGTATTGGTAATGTAACTGTAGAAGTAAAGTAATAATGATAGGCAGTCAAATAATAGCAGTAATTGTAGTAAAATACTATTAGCAAAATAGTATTGGTAATAAAATTGTAGCAGTAAAATACTAGTAATAGTAATGTAATAGTAGAAGTGAAGTAATAATGATAGGCAATAAAATAATAGTATCAGTATAGTAAAATACTACTAGTAGTAAAATAGTAGTATTGGTAATAAAATTGTAGCAGTAAAATACTAGTAATAGTAATATAATAGTAGAAGTAAAGTAATAATGATAGGCAATAAAATAATAGCAGTAGTTATACTAAATACTACTACTAGTAAAATAGTATTTGTAATAAAATAGTAGCAGTTAAATATTAGTTTTAGTAATATAATAGAAGTAAAGTAATAATGATTGGCAATAAAATAATAGTAGTAGTTGTTATAGTAAAATACTACTAGTAGTAAAATAGTATTAGTAATAAATAGTAGTAGTAAAATAATAGTATTAGTAATACAATAGTAGTAGAAGAAAAGTAATAGATAGGCAATAAAATAATAACAGTAGCAGTAGTTATAGTAAAATACTACTACTAGTAGTAAAATACTAGTATTAGTAATAAAATAGTAGTAGTAAAATAGTATTAGTAATATAATTAGTAATATAACTCCTGGTCAGTCGCAAGGCCGAACAGGGCATAGGGTTACAGCCTGTGTTGGATGGGGTCGCACTCCCCCTGAAGACGCAGGTTCGCAGCTTGGGTGTGATCCTGGACTCATCGCTGAGCCTGGAACCCCAGGTTTCGGCGGTGACCAGGGGAGCATTTGCACAGCTAAAGCTTGTGCGCCAGCTGCGCCCGTACCTTGGGAAGTCTGACTTGGCCACGGTAGTCCACGCTCTGGTTACATCCCGTTTAGACTACTGCAACGCTCTCTACGTGGGGTTGCCTTTGAAGACAGCTCGGAAGCTCCAACTAGTCCAACGCTCGGTAGCCATGATTTTAACAGGAGTGGAGCGCAGGGAGCATACAACCCCCCTGTTGCGCCAACTCCACTGGCTACCGATCTGCTACCGGGTTGAATTCAAAGTGCTGGCGTTGGCCTTTAAAGCCCTAAACGGTTCCGGCCCAAGCTACCTATCTGACCGCATCTCTGCTTATGAACCCACCAGGACTTTGAGATCTTCCGGGGAGACCCTGCTCTCGATCCCGCCTGCTTCTCAAGCTCGGCTGGCGGGGACGAGAGATAGGGCCTTCTCGGTGGTGGCTCCTCGGCTGTGGAACGCCCTTCCTACGGACATTAGACTAGCACCATCGCTAATGGTATTCCGCAAAAAGGTGAAGACCTGGATGTTTGTGCAGGCGTTTGAGTAATTTAGTGCAATCTGGTAATGGAACATAGGAATGGAACAATGGACGACGAACCTGGACTACGCTTGGATGATGAGAAGATTGGGTACGGTTGTTTTTTGTAATAATTGTGCATTGTAACTGCTTATTGGTAATTTATGGATAATGTGTTAAGTCAATTGTTATATGTTGTATGGAACCACTGCTGTTTCTACTGTTTTTACTGTTTGTGAACCGCTGTGAGTCGCCTTCGGGCTTGAGATACAGCGGTATATAAGCAAAGTAAATAAATAAATAAATAATAGTAGTGGAAGAAAAGTAATAATGATAGGTAGTGAAATAATAGTAGCAGAAGTTGTAGTAAAATACTACTAGTAGTAAAATAAAAATGACAACATTAACAACAACGGGAAGGGAGTTAGATTTCGTCCCTTCCCAGTCAGGTCAGGTAAAAGCAAACTTTAGCACTGACTTGGACCTGAATCCCCCAATTCTATAACAATAATAACAACAACAACAACAACAATAGTTTGACCCCAAGCTCCTTACCTTGCTGAGGTCCTTGGCAGTCACTCCGTCGTCGTCACGGCACGGGAGTTTGTGCACAAAGGCCAGCATCTGGTACTTGGCGCGGATGAATTCGGACTTGGTGGGGCTGCGGAAACACCAAAATGGGTCAGAAACCTCTGCATAAAGGGGGGGGGGACCCCGAAGCCAAGCCCGTTATGTGCGCCCAAGGGATACTACTCACTGGACTTTGTCCTGGGGGTTGGCCTTGCGCCTCCCGCTCTGGACCTGCGCCGGGTCCAGCAGCGAATGCTCCCAGATGGAGTTGGCTCCGTTGCTGGCCAGCGTGTGGACCATCTGGAGACCGAAAAGGGAGAGCAAAGGATGGCACACTAGTAGTAAAATAATAGTATTAGTAATAAAATAGCAGTTAAATACTAATATTAGTAATATAATAGTAGAAGTAAAGTAATAATGATAGGCAATAAAACAATAATAGTAGTAGTAGTTATAGTAACATACTACTAGTAGTAAAATAGTAGTATTAATAGTAAAATAGTAGTATTAGTAATAGAACAGTAGTAGAAGAAAAGTAATGATAGGTAGTGAAATAATAGTAGCAGAAGTTGTAGTAAAATACTACTAGTAGTAAAATAACAATGACAACATTAACTTTGGCACCCAATCCCTTCCTTACCTGCAAGAGCGTGGCGGACCAAGGGCTGTGCCGCAGGTGCTTCACGATGGAGATGTGGCGCCCGAGGCTGCGGTGGACGCTGCAGCATTCGTCGCAGACCAGGACCCCGCGGTTGATGGAGGCCCAGCCGGGGTCTGGAGAGGGAGACAGGGAGCGGGGACCCTTGAGTCCATCCATCCAACCCACCCTCCCTTCTGCTTGCTCTCCTCTGCCATCTAGTGCTCAGCCCTGCCATTGCAGGCTGCACATCACAACATCTCCCCTGCATTTCCTGGTGACGTCATCGACACTCGGCCAATCATAGCGCGGGAAAACATTAAATAAGAATTCTAAAAATAATTGCACACTGCGATTAGCAAACGAATCAAGGATTCTATCTCTGGCCATTTCTCGCTTTCTCTTTAGTTATATATATATAACTGTGTGGATATATATATATATATATCCACACACACATATATATGTATGTGTATATATGTATATATACGTATACATATGCATGTGTGTATATGTTTGTATATATATACACACACATACAAATATATGTATGTATATGTGCATATATACACACACCCATATATATGTATTTGTATATGTATGTGTGTGTATATATATATACTCAGACACACACATATATTTGTATGTGTATATATGTATATATATGTATACATATGCATACAAATATATGTATACAAATATATACAAATATATGTATGTATATGTGCATATATATACACACCCATATATATGTATTTTTATATGTATGTGTGTGTATATATATACACACAGACACACACATATATTTGTATGTGTATATATACGTATACATATGGATGTGTGTATATGTACGTATATATACACACACATACAAATATATATATGTATATGTGCATATATATATACACACCCATATATATGTATTTGTATATGTGTGTATATATATATACACACATACACACTTATTTATATATACATATATATGTATGTGTATTTTGATATAATAATAATAAATTAATTGTATATCCTATTTTACATGTAATATTACTACTAATACTGCAGTATAGTGATATAGGACAATATAGGAATGTATAATACTAAGACTATGCTATGCTCATAATATATGGTATAGACATATATGATAATGTTGTAATGTAATGTAATACAATATAATAATATAGTAATACTAATGTGTTAAATATGATTACTACTGATAATATATGCCAGCAGGACTGAAGACCGACAGGTCCAGGGAGAGCGCAGGTGAGCTCCCTCTGTCAGCTCCAGCTCCCCATTGCGGGGTCATGAGAGAAACCTCCCACAAGGATTGTCAAACATAAAAACATCCGACAGGTCAGAGGTTCGAATCCGGGGAGAGAGCGAGTGAGCTCCCTCTGTCAGCTCCAGCTCCCTGTGCAAAGGGGACATGAGAGAAGCCTCCTACAAGAATGTTCAAACATCAAAACATCCAACAGGTCAGGGATTCGAATCCAGGGAGAGCCTGGGTGAGCTCCCTCTGTCAGCTACAGCTCCCCGTTGCGGGGTCATGAGAGAAGCCTCCCACAAAGATGGTCAAACATCAAAACATCCAACAAGTTGGAAGTTCAAATCTGGGGAGAGCGTGGGTGAGCTCCCTCGGTCAGCTCCAGCTCCCCATTGCGGGGACACGAGATAAGCCTCCCACAAGGATGGTCAAACATCCGACAGGTCGGAGGTTCGAATCCAGGGAGAGAGTGGGTGAGCCCCCTCTGTTAGCCCCAGCTCCCCGCGCAAAGGGGACATGAGAGAAGCCTCCCACAAGGATGGTAAAACATCTGACGGGTTGGAGGTTTGAATCCGGGGAGAGAGCGGGTGAGCTCCGTCTGTCAGCTTCAGCTCCCCATTGTGGGGACACACAAGGATGTTCAAACATCTGACAGGTCGGAGGTTTGAATCCGGGGAGAGAGCGGGTGAGCTCCCTTTGTCAGCTTCAGCTCCCCATTGCGGGGACACACAAGGATGTTCAAACATCTGACAGGTTGGAGGTTTGAATCCGGGGAGAGAGTGGGTGAGCTCCGTCTGTCAGCTTCAGCTCCCCATTGCAGGGACACACAAGGATGTTCAAACATCTGACAGGTCGGAGGTTCGAATCCAGGGAAAGAGCGGGTGAGCTCCCTCTGTCAGCTCCAGCTTCTCCCTCTTGCAGGAGATGTAAAGCAGCTCCCAATGTTGGTTTCAATGCAACGTACACATATTATTAAAATAGAATTAAATATTCAGGTCGATTATATTCATTATATTCATTTGAAATAATCAACTCCCCAATCTCCCCAAACAAGACCCATTGGGGGACATTGAGAACCCCACTTCCCCCCAAAAATATATCTCCAATGCCTATGGACATTGAGAACCCCACTTCCCCCCTGTGGATTGTACATAGGAATGATTGTGGATGGAAAAAGAAGAAGAATCCGCCGCGCAACCTTTCCAAGAATGCTTCCTTGGCCCGCCTCCGAAGCCACACTGTGGCCCTTTGTCCCTTCTGGAGCCCCAAACAAAGGGCCCCTTGAGCCTGGGCAAAGGGCAGCGTGGGGCTGATGCCAACCCAAAAGGGCACTGGGGGCCTCCAAAGGGCATCCATCGGGGCCTCAATGGAGGGGCGGCCTGGCCCAAAGCAGGGCAAGGATATCGTTGTTGTTGTTGTTGTTGTTCCCTTGCTTTTGCTCCCCAACAAAGAGGACTAGCATCAAAAGTGTGATCTCAATGCATTGGAGGGAGGGGGAAATGGGCTCCCAATGCACGGAGTGGCATTCCTCTCTGAGCAAACAATGAGTTTTGACAGGATGCGGATGGACGGACGGATGGAAAAACCCCGCTCAGGCTTCCTCTCCATTTTGGCGCAAACAGAATGGGCTCCGGCCAAAGGGAAAGAAGGGATCTGGACTCTAAATATACACAAATATATACATACATATGTATACGTATATATACATATATACCCATACGTATACACACAAATATATAGGTATATATAAATATGTATACGTATATATACGTATATACCCATAAATATGCACACAAATATATAGGTATATATAAATATGTATACGTATATATACGTATATACCCATAAATATGCACACAAATATATAGGTATATATAAATATGTATATGTATACATATACACACACATATATATGTGGATGCGCTCAAGAGTGCTGGGCCCATAACCTATGTGGATGCGTGTGAGTGAGAGGATGATTTTACCATCCTAGCAGTTGTTCTCTAGGGTACACAAATCCCCCCCAAATACACATACACATATATCTCCAACAATATATATACACATATACGCATACACACAAATATATGTGTGTGTGTGTGTGTATATATATATATATATATATATATGGGTGTATATATATACACATATACATATACACACATATATGTATGTGTGTGTGTGTGTGTGTGTGTGTGTGTGTGTATATATATATATATATATATATATATATATATATATATACACGTACATATACACACATGCATATGTATTCGGAAATATACACACATACGCATACATATACATACATATATATGTATTTCTATAAATATGTATATATACACACACACATATGCATACATATACATATACATATATATGGGTGTATATATATAAACATATACATATACACACATTTCTATATACATATGTATGTGTATGTATGTGTGTATATATAAACATATATATATACACATGCATATGTATTCGTATATATACGTATATACACATACATATACATACCTAAATATGTATATATATATATATATGTATATATATACACAACACAAATACGCATACATATACAAGTACATATATATGGGTGTATATATATACACATACATACATATACACACACATATATATGTATATGTATGTATGTGTGTATATAGACACATCTACACATGTGTATGTGTGGATATATATGTACATATACACACATACATATGTATTCCTATATATATACATATATACACATACATGTATATATAAATATGCACATACATACACACATATACATATAAATGGGTGTATATATATACACATACATATACACACATATCTATATGTATGTGTATATGTACGTGTATGTATATGTATACATACACACACACACATGTAGATATACAAAACATATCTATATCTATAATAAAAGTGAACATATGTGTGTGTGTGTAGCTGGAGTGCCAACTTTCACAGACAGCCTCCCACTTGCACCAACAGCTATGATCCCCCCCATGAGGAGCCACCAGAGGCCCTCCCTCCAATGACATTGCAGGTTATTGTGAGCACTGTGAAGATGTACAATCCCTGCCCATGTCCTCCACCAACACCACCACACTGTCCACCACCCATACAGGGACCATTTCATCCTAGATTGTATGTGTTTCCTCCACCACAGACACCCCAGTGTTTCTGACTCTCTCCATTGGTGTGGAATTTGCATGACACCGCCCACTGCCTCTCCCTTAACCTTTTCCTATTCTTTTCTATGGCACACAGCAAAGAGAGGAACTGATCAGCAACTGAAGACGCTACTTTGATTTATAGGAGTGGTAGTACTGGGATGTATAGTTCACCTGCAATCTAAGAGCACTCTGAACTCCACCAGTGATGGACCTAGAACTCACTTGGCACACAGAACCTTCATGACCAACAAAACACACGAAGTCTTTGGAAGGATTTATAGGAGTTGTAGTTCACCTACATCCAGAGCGCACTATGAACCCAAACAATGAGGGATCTGGACCAAACTCGGCACACATACCCGATGTGCCCAAACTTGAATACTGGTGGGTTTGGAGGGGAATTGGCCTGGATATTTTGGAGTTGTAGGTACTGGGATTTATAGTTCACTTGCAATCCAAGAGCACTCTGAACTCCACCAAGGATGGAATGGGACCAAACTTGGCACACCGAGCCCCCATGAACAGCAAAAAATTATTGGATGTCTTTGGGGATAATTCGTCTTGATTTGGGGGAGTTGTAGTTCACCTACACCCAGAGCGCACTATGAACCCAAACAATGAGGGATCTGGACCAAACTTGGCATGCACACCCAATGTGCCCAAACTTGAATACTGGTGGGTCTGGAGGGGAAATGGCCTGGATATTTTGGAGTTATAGGTCCTGGAATTTATAGTTCACCTGCAATCAAAGAGCACTCTGAACCCCACCTCTGATGGACCTGAACCTAAATTGGCACACAGAACCCTGGTGACCAACAGAACATACTTTGGGGGGGGGGGGTTTGAGGGGGACTGACCTTTGACCCCAGGATTTATAGTTCACCCTGCATCCAGATTTATAGTTCACCCTGCATCCAGATTTATAGTTCACCCTGCATCCAGATTTATAGTTCACCCTGCATCCAGATTTATAGTTCACCCTGCATCCAGATTTATAGTTCACCCTGCATCCAGATTTATAGTTCACCCTGCATCCAGATTTATAGTTCACCCTGCATCCAGATTTCTAGTTCACCCTGCATCCAGAGAGCACTGAACTCGGCGACAACAAATCTTGGCACACAGACCCAACATGGCCAACTTTAAATACTGACAGGATTTGGGGGTGATGGCCCACAATTTCTGGAAATTGTAGTTCCCCCACATCCTTATGTATTTTCTAATAGGAGCATTCATTAAAAAACCAACAACAAAGACTGACTTTTGTCTAATCAATAGCATTACGCATTGCCAAATTGGTATTACCAAACTTCCCAAAACAAACAATCGTCGGGTCCCCAAGCTTTATTATTTATATATATATATATATATATATATATATATATATGTGTGTGTGTGTGTGTGTGTGTGTGTGTGTGTGTGTGTATGTATATATATATATATGTGTGTGTGTGTGTGTGTGTGTATATATATATATATAACACACACCCGCTGAGCAAGAAGCATCACAACAACACAACAACACCGCTATTGCGATCCTAAACAACCCTGGAGGCATCCGAAAACAACAACAACAACATAATAATAATCATCATCATCATCATCATCATTTATATTGGCATTATATTATTATTGTTAATTACATTATGATTTATTATTATATTATTCATAATAATTACATGTATTGTTATGATGTATTATAAGCTCCCAGATACTAATAGTAATAATAATAATACATTGATAATTAGGTATAATAATGCGTATTTAGTATTATAAACATTATGACATTCCCGTATAATAATAGTACTGATAATACATTAGTATGGAGGCATAATAATGTATATTATTATTATACCTTAACATTATGGCATTCCCATATAATAATAGCAATACTACATTAATATGGAGGTATAATAATGTATATTATTATTATTATTATTATTATTACTATTATACCTTAACATTTGGCATTCTCATATAATAATAGTACTAATACATTAGTATGGAGGCATAATAATGTATATTATTATTATACCTTAACATTATGTCATTCCCATATAGTAATAGTAATAATACATTAATATGGACGTATAATAATGTATATTATTATTATACCTTAACATTATGAAGTTCCCATATAATAATAGTAATAATACATTAGTATGGACGTATAATAATGTATATTACTGTTATATGAAGTTCCCATAAAATAATAGTAATAGTACATTAGACACATAATAATGTATATTATTGTTATATGAAGCTCCCATATAATAATAGTAATAGTACATTAGTATAGACGTATAATAATGTATATTATTATTATTATTATACCTTAACATTATGAAGCTCCCATATAATAATAGTAACAATACATTAGTATGGATGTATAATAATGTATATTATTGTTATACCTGAATATTATCAAGTTCCCATATAATAATAGTAATAATACATTAGTATGCATGTGTAATAATGTATATTATTGTTCATAATAACAATATTATATGGGAACTTCATAATAATGGTAATAGTACATTAGTATAGATGTATAATCATGTATATTATTATTACTATTATACCTGAATATTATCAAGTTCCCATATAATAATAGTAATAATAATACATTAGTATAGATGTATAATCATGTATATTATGATTATGATTATTATGCCTTAACATTATGACATTCCCATATAATAATAGCAATAATACATCCGTATGGACGTATTATAATGTATATTATTGTTATACCTGAATATTATCAAGTTCCCATATAATAATAGTAGTAATACATTAGTATGGATGTATAATAATGTATATTATTATTATTATTATTATTATGAAGTTCCCATATAATAATAGTAGTAATACATTAGTAGGGGTGTATAATAATGCATATTACTACTATTATTTTACATGGATATGATTCTGCTTCTATAGAATAATAATAATAATAATAATAATAATAATAATAATAATAATGCCTTGATATGAATTGTAATCCCATTTAAAATCAAAGCAGAGTCACTCAGGAGGGGTGTCTCCACCCGCTCATCTGGGAAGGAAAGGAGGAAGGAGAGTCCTGCATATTGATGTGTAATAAATAATAATGATGGTAATTACAGATTATTATACATTAATAATGTATAAGGGAGGGGAGAGAGGTGCAGATGGGAAGGAAGGAAGGATACGAATGGAGGAAGGGAAGGGAAGGAAGGAAGGGGAGGGAAGAAGGGAGGAAAGGAATGGAGGGAAGGAAGGAAGGAAGGAGAAGGAGGGAAGTATTGGAAGGAAGGCAGGAAAATGAATGGAGGGATGGAAGGGAAGGAAAGAAGGAAAAGAAATGGAGGGAAGGAAAGAAGGGAAGTATTGGAAGGAAGAATGGAAGGATAGGACAGAAGGGATAGAAGGAAAGGAAGGAAGGAAAGGAATGGAGGGAAGGAAGAGAAAAAAGGAGGAAAAGGAGAAGAGGAGGGAAAAGGAGAGAGAGGGATGGAAGGAAAGGAGAAAGATGGAAGGAGGGAGAGAGAGTGGGAAGGAGGGAGGGGAGGGAAGGAGAAAGGAGGAAGGGAGGGAAGGAAGGAATGGAAGGAAAGGAAAGAAGGAGAGAGAGAAATGGGAAGGGAAAGAAGGGAGAGGGAGAGAGAGAAGGAGGAAGAGAAAAGGAGGAGAAAGGGGGAGAGGATGGAAGGAAGGAGGAAGGAGAAGAGAGGGGAAGAAGGAAGGAGAGAGAAAAGGAGAGGAAGGAGGGAAGGAAGGGAGAGAGGAGAGAGAGAGGAAGGAGGAAGGAAGGAAGGAAGAGAAGGAAGAGGAAGGAAGAAGAAGAAGGAAGGAAGGGAAGGAAGAAGGGAGAGAGAGGGAGGGAGAGAAGGGGAAGAGGAAGGAAGGAAGGAAGGAAGGAAGGAAGGAAGGAAAGGAGGGAAGGAAGGAAGGAAGGAAGGAAGGAAGGAAGGAAGGAAGGGAGAGAGGGACTGGAAGGAAGGGCAGGGAAGGAAGGAGGGAGGCGTGTTGTGTGGGCCCCGGGTGTCCCTTCCTGGCCCACTTCCTGCCCAAAGGAGGGAGGGAGGGAGGGAGGGAGGGGTCCCCGCCCCATTCCCCCTTCCCTGCCGAGGCCTCAGTACCTGCCTGGAAAGGAAAGGAAAGAAGGGAGGAAAGGAGGAGAGAGGCTCACCTGGGGCGCTGCAGTCGGCGCAGACCTCGGCCCGGGGCACCTTCCGCGACATCCTGCGCCGCAGCCAGGAAGGGAAGAGAGGAAGAGGAGGAAGGGGAAGAGGAAGAGGAAGAGGAGGAGGAGGAGAAGGCCCACCTCCCTCCTCCCCCTGAAAAGCAAGGGAAGGGAAGAAGGGAAGGATGCAGAGAGGGGAAGCCCTGGGCCGGCCCTCGGAGAAGAAGAGGAGGAGCGGAGAAGGGAAGGAAAAGGAGGAGGAGGAGGAAAAGGAGGAGGAGAGGGAGGAGAGCGCGACCTCGGCGTCGGGCGGAGCCAAAAGAGGGGCGGCCTCTGCTGCAGGGCAGGATCAGGACCGCCCCTTCCCCCTCCTCCCCTCCCCTCCCTCCTTCCCTCCTTCCCTCCTTCCTTCCTTCCTTCCTTCCTTCCTTCAATCCCTGCCTCCTCCAACCAGGACATTCTCTTCCTTGCTACTTCCTAGCTCTCCTCTGGCTACTGTTACCCATCGCCATGCCCAGATCCGATTTGCAGGCAGGGTGTATTCTCATTCCTTTGGCACACATTGGAATACTGGTGGGATTTGGGGGGTGGGGGTGGGATGTATAGTTCACCTGCAATCAACGCACATTCTGAACCCCACCGATGATAGAATTGGGCCAGACTTCCCACACAGAAGGCCCCTAACCTGAAGGGACTCCCCTCCCTCCAGCCTGGCACGCTCTCCCTCGCCCCACACAAGGACACCTGCCCCCCCCCCTTGGAGTCTCCCCTTCCATCCATCCATCCCTTCCTTCCCTCCCTCCTTTCCTTCCTTCCTTCCTTCCCCTTGGAGTCTCCCCTTCCTTCTTTCCTTTCCTTCCTTCCTTCCCCTTGGAATTTCCCTTTCCATCGCTTCCATCCTTCCTGCCATCCCTTCCTTCCTTCCCCTTGGACTCTCCCCTTCCTTCCATCCCTTCCTTCCTTCCCTCCTTTCCTTTCCTTCCTTCTCTCCTTCCTTCCTTCCTTCCCCTTGGAGTCTCCCCTTCCTTCTTTCCTTTCCTTCCTTCCTTCCCCTTGGAATTTCCCTTCCCCTTGGAATTTCCCTTTCCATCGCTTCCATCCTTCCTGCCATCCCTTCCTTCCTTCCCCTTGGACTCTCCCCTTCCTTCCATTCCTTCCTTCCTTCTTTCCATCCCTTCCTTCCTTCCCCTTGGAGTCTCCCTTTCCATTCCTCCCTCCCTCCCTCCCTTCCTTCCTTTCTCTTCTCCCTCCTTCCTTCCTTCTTCCTTCCTTCCTTCCCTTCCTTCCTTCTTCCTTCCTTCCTTCCTTCCCCTTTCTCCCTTCCATTCCTCCCTCCCTCCCTTCCCTTCCCTCCCTCCCTTCCTTCCTTTTCCTTCCTTCCTTCCTTCCTTCCTTCCTTCCTTCCTTCTTCCTCTTCCCTCCCCCTTCCATCCCTTCCTTCCTTCCCTCCTTTCCTTTCCTTCCTTCTCCCTCTTTCCCTTCTTCCTTCCCCTTGGAGTCTCCCCTTCCTTCTTTCCTTTCCTTCCTTCCTTCCCCTTGGAATTTCCCTTCCCCTTGGAATTTCCCTTTCCATCGCTTCCATCCTTCCTGCCATCCCTTCCTTCCTTCCCCTTGGACTCTCCCCTTCCTTCCATTCCTTCCTTCCTTCTTTCCATCCCTTCCTTCCTTCCCCTTGGAGTCTCCCTTTCCATTCCTCCCTTCCTCTTTCCTTTTCCTTCCTCTTCTTCCTCTTCTCCTTCCTCTCCTCTTCCTTCCTTCTTCTTCCTTTCCTTTTCCTCTTCCTCTTCCTTCCTCCTCTTCCCCTTCCTCTCCTTCTCCTTCCTCCTTCCTTCTTTCTCCCTTCCCCCTTCCCTTCCTTCCTTCCCTTCCTTCTCCTTTCCTTCCTTCCTTCCTTCTTCCTTCCTTCCTTCCTTCCTTCCTTCCTTCCTTCCCCTTACCCCCTTTCCATCCCTTCCTTCCTTCCTTCCATCCTCCATCCCTTTCTTCCTTCCCCTTGGAGTCTCCCCTTCCTTCCTTCCCTCCTGTCCTTTCCTTCCTTCTCTCCCTCCCTCCTTCCTTCCCTTCCTTCCTTCCCCTTGGAGTCTCCCCTTTTCCTCTCCTCCCTCCCTCCCTCCCCTTCCTTCCTTCCCTTCCTTCCTTCCCCTTCCTCCCCTTCCATCCTCCCTCCCTTTCTCCCTTCCTTCCTTCCCTTCTTCCTTCCCCTTCTCCATCCCTCCCTTTCCTTCCCCTTCCTTCCTTCCTTCCTTCCTTCCCTCCCTTCCTTCCTTCCTTCCTTCCTTCCTTCCTTCCTTCCTTCCTTCCTTCCCCTTGGAGTCCCCCTTTCCATCCCTTCCTTCCTTCCTTCCATCCATCCATCCCTTTCTTCCTTCCCCTTGGAGTCTCCCCTTCCTTCCTTCCCTCCTGTCCTTTCCCTCCCTTCCCCTTCCTTCCTTCCCTTCCTTCCTTCCCCTTGGAGTCTCCCCTTCCATCCCTCCCTCCCTTCCCTTCCCCTTCCTTCCTTCCCTTCCTTCCTTCCCCTTGGAGTCTCCCCTTCCATCCCTCCCTCCCTTCCCCTTCCTTCCTTCCTTCCTTCCTTCCCTCCTTCCCTTCCTCCTCCCTCCCTTCCCCTTCCTTCCTTCTTCCTTCCTTCCTCCCTCCCTTCCTTCCTTCTTCCTTCCTCCTTCCTTCCTCCTTCCTTCCCTTTCCCTTTCCATCTTCCTTCCTTCCTTCCTTCCATCCATCCCTTCTTCCTTCCCTTATCTCCCCTTCCTTCCTTCCCTCCTGTCCTTTCCTTCCTTCTCTCCCTCCCTCCTTCCTTCCCTTCCTTCCTTCCCCTTGGAGTCTCCCCTTCCATCCCTCCCTTCCCTTCCCCTTCCTTCCTTCCTTCCTTCCTTCCCCTTGGAGTCTCCCTTCCATCCCTTCCCTCCCTCCCTTCCCCTTCCTTCCTTCCCTTCCTTCCTTCCCCTTGGAGTCTCCCCTTCCATCCCTCCCTTCCCTTCCCCTTCCTTCCTTCCTTCCTTCCTTCCTTCCGTCCGTCCGTCCGTCCTCCCTTCCCCTTGGAGTCTCTCCTTCCATGCTTTCCTTCCTTCCCCTTTGGAGACTCAGATGCAGCCCTCCCAGGCCAGACTAGATGCCCTTCAGGGTTCCCTCTCAGGACCCATTCCTTTCCAATGGGGCGATCTTAGGCCTAGGTGACCCTCGTCACTCCAAGCCTTGTTGCAGGGAGACAGAGAGAGGAGTCAGGGATGCTCCAGAGATGGAGAGCCTTCCTCTTTCTTCCTTCCTTTCCTTCCTTACATCTCCACTAAAGCTTGGACAGGATCCTTTTAGAGGAAGCAGGCCAGACTAGATGCCCTTTAGGGTTCCCTCTCGGGACCCTTTCCTTTCCAATGGGGCGAGCTTAGGCCTAGATGACCCTCGTCACTCCAACCTCTTTTGCAGAGAGATGGACGAGAGAGGAGCTGAGGATTTGCCAGAGATGGAGAGCCTTCCTCTTTCTTTCCTTCCTTACAGCTCCTAAACCTGGTTGGGAACCTTTCAGGGGAAGCATGTCAGTCTAGATGCCCTTTGTGGTTCCCTCTCAAGACCCTTTCCTTTCACCTAGCTTGGTCCTAGATGACCCTCTTCACTCCAAGTCCTTTTTTGCAGAGAGATGGGAGGAGAGAGGAGTCAGGGGTGCTCCAGGGATGGAGAACCTTCCCCTTTCCCTCCTTTTAGAAAAAGAAAGCCAGACTAGATGCCCTTTAGGGTTCCCTCTCAAGATGTTTCCTTTCCAATGGGGTGAGCTTGAGCCTACATGACCCTCTTCAAAACTTTTGGCAGAGAGATGAAGAAGAGGAGCTCATTGTACCCATTCGGCTACAGTTACAAAGCTTGGGTAGGAACCTTTCAGAGGAATCAGGAAAGAGTAGATGCCCTTTAGGGCTCCCTCTCATGGTGTTTCCTTCTCAAACCTTTTTGCAGAGAGACAGAGAGAGGAGTCGGGGATGCTCCGTGGATGGAGAGCCTTCCTCTTTCTTTCCTTCCTTACATCTCCACCAAAACTTGGACAAGATCCTTTTAGAGGAAGCAGGATAGACTAGACACCCTTTAGGGTTCCCTCTCATTGTGCTTCCTTTCCAAGGGGGTGGGCTTGTCATGCCTGTTTTAGAGGAAGCAGGCCAGACTAGATGCCCTTTAGGGTTCCCTCCCATGGTGGTTCCAATAGGGTGGGCTTGAGCCTAAATGCCCCTCTTCACTCCAAGCTTTGTTGCAGAGAGATGGAAGAGAGAGGAGTCAGGAATGCTTTAGAGATGGAGAGCCTTACCCTCTCTTTCCTTCCTTCCTTCCATCTCCACCACAGATTGGATGTGAATGAAGCAGGCTAGACTAGATACCCTTTGGGGTTCCCTCTCACGGTGTTTCCAAGGATGGAGAGCCTTCCTCTCTCTTTCTTTCTTTCCTTCCTTCCTTCCATCTCCTCCAAAGCTTGGATGAGAACCTTTTGAAGGTCGCATGTCAATCTAGATGCCCTTTGGGGTTCCCTCCCATGGTGTTTCCTTTCCAATGGGGTGGGCTTGGGACTACATGCCAGTCTTCACTCCAAGCCTTGTTGCAGAGAGATGGAGGAGAGACCAGAGATGGAGAGCCTTCCTCTTTCTTTCTTTCTTTTCTTTCTTTCTTTCCTTACATCCCCACCAAAATCTGGATGGGAACCTTTAAGAGGAAGCAGGCCGGATTAGATGTCCTTTGGGGTTCCCTCTTATGGCGTTTCCTTTCCCAGAGGGTGGGCTTGGGCCTAAATGCCCCTCTTCACTCCAAGCCTTGTTTGCGAAGAGATAGAGGACTCAGGGATGTTCCAGAGATGGATAGATAGCCTCCCTTCTTCCCTTCCTTCCTTCTCCACCAAAGCTTGGATGAGAACTAGTAAGCCAGACTAGTTGTCCTTTAGGGTTTCCTCTCATGGTGTTTCCTTTCCAAGGGGGTGGGCTTGGGCCTAATTGCCCCTCTTCACTCCAAGCCTTGTTGCAGAGAGATGGAGGAGAGAGGAGTCAAGGATGCTTTAGAGATGGAGAGCCTTCCTCTCTCTTTCCTTCCATGCATTTCCACCAAAGTCTCGATGGGAACCTTTCAGAGGAAGCATGTCAGTCTAGATGCCCTTTGTGGTTCCCTCTCAGGACCCTTTCCTTTCACCTAGCTTGGGCCTAGGTGCCCCTCTTCACTCCAAGCCCTTTTTTGTAGAGAGATGGGAGGAGAGAGGAGTCAGGGATGCTCCAGGCATGGAGAGCCTTCCCCTTTCCCTCCTTTCAGATAAAGCAGGCCAGACTAGATGCCCTTTAGGGTTCCCTCTCACGGTGTTTCCCAGATAGTGGGCTTGGGCCTAAATATCCCTCTTCAGTCCAAGCCTTGATGCAGAGAAATGGAGGAGAGAGGAGTCAGGGATGATTTAGAGATGGAGAGCCTCCTTCTTTCTTTCTTTCTGTCTTTCCTTCCTTCCTTCCATCTCCACCAAATCTTGGATGTGAATGAAGCAGGCCAGACTACATGCCCTTTGGGGTTCCCTCTCATGGTGTTTCCCTTCCAAGGGGGTGGGCTTGGGACTAAATGCCCCCCTTCACTCCAAGCCTTGTTGCAGAGAGATGGAGGAGAGAGGAGTCAAAGATGCTTTAGAGATGGAGAGCCTTCTTCTTTCTTTCTATCCTTCCTTCCTTCCATCCATCCATCCATCTCCACCAAAGCTTGGATGTGAATAAAGCAGGCCAGACTAGTTGCCCTGCTTCATTCACATCCACCAAAGCTTGGATGTGAATGAAGCAGGCCAGACTAGATGCCCTTTGGGGTTCCCTCTCATGGTGTTCCCTTTCCAAAGGGGTGGGCTTGGGACTAAGTGCCCCTCTTCACTCCAAGCCTTGCTGCAGAGAGATGGAGGAGAAAGCAGAGATGGAGAGCCTTCCTCTTTCCTTCCTTCCTTCCATTCATCCATCCATCTCCACCAAAGCTTGGATGTGAATAAAGCAGGCCAGACTAGTTGCCCTTTAGGGTTCCCTCTCATGGTGTTTCCTTTCCAAGGGGGTGGGCTTGGGACTAAATGCCCCCCTTCACCCCAAGCCTTGTTGCAGGGAGATGCAGGAGAGAGGAGTCAAGGATGCTTTAGAGATGGAGAGCCTTCTTCTTTCTCTCTCTCTCTCTTTCTTTCCTTCCTTCCTTCCATCTCCACCAAAGCTTGGATATGAATAGGCAGTCCAGACTAGATGCCCTTTGGGGTTCCCTCTCATGGTGTTTCCTTTCCAAAGGGGTGGGCTTGGGACTAAGTGCCCCCCTTCACTCCAAGCCTTGTTGCAGAGAGAGATAGAGAGGAGTCAGGGATACTCCAGAGATGGAGACCCCTCCTTCCTTCCTTCCTTCCTTCTTTCCTTCCTTCCTTCCTTCCTTCCATCCATCCATCCATCCATCCATCCATCCATCCATCTCCACCAAAGCTTGGATATGAATAGGCAGTCCAGACTAGATGCCCTTTGGGGTTCCCTCTCACGGTGTTTCCTTTCCAAAGGGGTGGGCTTGGGACTAAATGCCCCCCTTCACTCCAAGCCTTGTTGCAGAGAGATGGAGGAGAGAGGAATGCTTTAAGAGATGGATAGATAGCCTTCCTCTCTCTTTCTGTTCCTTCCTTCCTTCTGCTTGGGAGGGACTACAACTCCCATGATGCCCCTCTGCTGCTGGGGCTGGCCCTCCCCCCCCCCTTTGGAGCCTGCATTGTGTGCGTGTTTGTGCCAAAGAGAGAGAGAGAAAGAGAAAGAGAGAGGGAGGGAGGGGGGTTTCCCCTCTTTGCGCCTTGGGCTTCTCTCCCAGGGCGCATTCATTGTGAGCTTCGCCTCCTCCTCTCTTCCTCCCTTCCTTCCTTGCTAACTTCTCTCCTCCTTCCTTCCTCCTCTTCCTCCCGGGGGCGTCCATGCGTGTGCAGCCCCCTCCTCGGCCTCGCCCCGCCGCCGGGGAAGCCGCGATGCTGGCCTCCGAGGAAGGAGGCTCCCCTTCTTCTCCTTCTTCCCCCCCGAGCCTCCCCATCCTCATCTCCCCCTCCGCCGAGAGCCGCTTCCCCATCCATGCCTTGGTTTGGCACGACCGGCCCCAGGAGCTGGAGGAGATGCTCAGCGCCCAGCAGGTGGGGGGCATGCCTAGAGGGGGGTCCCCTTTACAAGAGGGCGGGGGCTCACCTGGGTGGGGGAAACAAAGCGGGGGGGGGAGAAGCCCCTTCTCAATGCGCCCTATACCCGTGCGCCTTTTACGCACCGCCTTTGGAGAGGCCGAGGGGACCCCTTTTGTGTGCTCTGCATCTCTCTCTGGGTGGGGTCTTGGGGGGCAAAGAAAAGGCCCAGGTTGGGGGGAGACCCTGAGGAGGAAAAGGGAAAACAAGAGAGGATTCCAATGGGGTTCAAAGATGGCTTTGGTGGGATGGAAAGATGGAGAGGTAGGTGGATGCTGCCTAGCTCTGCTCTCCAAGAAAAGGAACTCTGCCAGTCTCTCATCCATCTCTTTTGGGGGTGACAACTCTCAGTGTTGCTCCCCAAACCAAAAGGGTTTAAGGGTGATAGGTCTCAGGATTGCCATCATGGGGGAGTTGGGGTGACAGGGCTCAGTTTGGACCCCCAAATCAAAGGGTTTCAGAGGTGATGGTTTCCATAGTCACCCTGAAATCAAGGCAATTTGGGGAGATGGGGTTCAGCCTTTCAAACCAAACCCAAAAGCTTAGAGTCAGATCTATTCTCATGTTTTGTTTTGGGGTGCTGCTAGTATCCCCCACCTTCCAAAATCATGATGGGGTTCAGCATCGATTCCCCCCAAATCCTGAGTGATAAGGTCTTCAAAGGTGTTTCATGAGTGCAAAGGTCTCCGAAATCAGGGGTTAATTGGGGTGATAGGTTTTAATGTTGCCCCCCAAATCAAAGGGGGAGATCTATTCCCAATAGCGTCCCCACAAATCATGGTTCCTTGGGGAGTGATGGGCCTCAGAGTGTTTATTTAATCTATTCTCAGTGTTCTCCCCCCCCCCCCAAATGCAGGGTTTTTGGGGGTGTTAGGTCTCAGTATTGACCCTGAAATCGGGGGTTAATTGGGGTGATAGGTTTTAATGTTGCCCCCCAAATCAAAGGGGGAGATCCATTCCCAATAGCATCCCCGCAAATCATGGTTCTTTGGGGAGCGATGAGCCTCAGTATTGTCCCCCCAATCAAAGAGTGTTTACTCAGATCTATTCTCAGTATATCCCCCTCAAATCCAAGTGTTTTGGGGGGGGGGGGGTTGGGTCTCAGTATTGTCCCCCAAATCAAAGAGTGTTTACTCAGCTGTATTCTCAGTATTTTTCCCCAAAATGTAGGGTTTTTTTTTTGGGGGGGGGGGTGTTAGGTCTCAGTATTGTTGCCAAAATCAGGGGTTAATTGGGGTGATAGGTCCCAATAGTGTCATTGCAAATCATGTTTTTTGGGGAGTGATGGGCCTCAGTATTGTCCCCCGAAATCAAAGAATGTTTGCTCAGATCTATTCTCAGTATTTCCCCCCAAAATGCAGGGTTTTTGGGGTGCATTAGCTCTCAGTATTGTCACCGAAATCAGGGGTTAATTGGGGTGATAGGTTTTTAAGTTGCCCCCCAAAATCAAAGAGTGTTTACTCAGACCTATTCCCAATAGTGTCACCGCAAATCATGTTTTTTTGGGGGGTGTTGGGCCTCAGTATTGCCCCCCAAACCAAATAGTGTTTACTCAGCTCTATTCTCAGTATTTTCCCCCCAAATAAGGTTTTTTTTTGGGTGCATTAGGTCTCAGTATTGTCCTTGAAATCAGGGGTTAATTGGGGTGATAGATTTTAATATTGCCCCCAAATCAAAGGGTGTTGACTCAGATCTATTCCCAACAGTGTCCCCACAAATCATGGCTCTTTGCGGAGTGATGGGCCTCAGTATTGTCCCCGAAATCAAAGAGTGTTTACTCAGATCTATTCTCAGTGTTCTCCCTCCAAATGTAAGGTTATTTTTGGGGGTCTCAGGTCTCAGTATTGTCCCCCGAAGCAATGAGTGTTTACTCAGATCTATTTTCAGTGTTCTCCCCACAAATGCAGGGTTTTTGGGTGCCTTAGGTCTCAGTATTGTCCCCCAAATCAATGAGTGTTTACTCAGATATATTCCCAGTATTTCCCCCCAAAATCCAAGGTTTTTTGGGGGTGTTAGGTCCCAGTATTTTTCCTGAATCAAAAAGTGTTTACTCAGAGCTATTCTCAGTATTTTCCCCCAAATACGGGGTTTTGGGGGTGTTAGGTCCCAGTATTTTCCCTGAATCAAAGAGTGTTTACTCAGAGCTATACTCAATATTTCCCCCCCAAATACGGGGTTTTGGGGGGGCGTTAGGTCCCAGTATTTTCCCTGAATCAAAGAGTGTTTACTCAGAGCTATTCTCAGTATTTTCCCCCAAATACGGGGTTTTGGGGGGCGTTAGGTCCCAGTATTTTCCCTGAATCAAAGAGTGTTTACTCAGATCTATTCTCAGTATTTCCTCACCAAACACCCTTTGATTTTGGGGAGCAACTTGTAAACCTATCACCCCAATTAACCCCTGATTTCAGGCACAATACCGAGACCTAACCTCCCCCCCACTCCCAAACCTTGGGGGCAGGGGGGGAGAGGGGATGTTAGGTCTCAGTATTGTGCCTGAAATTAGGGGTTAATTGGGGTGATAGGTTTTCAAGTTGCTCCCCAAAATCAAAGGGTGTTTACTCACATCTATTCCCCGCAAATCGTGGTTCTTTGGGGAGTGATGGGCCTCAGTATTGTCCCCCGAAATCAGAATGTTTACTCAGATCTATTCTCAGTATTCCCCCCAAAAATGCAGGGTTTTTTGGGGGTGCTAGGTCTCAATGTCCCCCAAATCCAAAGGTGTGATCACAATCAAAAGGGTTTTTATTTACTCAGGTCTGTTTTCAGTATTGTCCTCCAAATCCGGGGGATTTTGGGGTGCGGTGCCTCAGCATGGCACCCCAAAAAGGTGAAATGCAGCCGGGAGGATATGGAGAATGAAGGTCCCATAGGACCTTGGTATTTTGGGGACTAGAATAAAGACCTGGCATGAAGGTGTGGGGTGGAAAGGAAGGGGATTTTGGGGGGGATGAGAGAATCCACTTGGCACCACATGAGGATCTCCCTTTGGTTTGGCACCGGCCTCAGCGGTTTGGTGTCTGGTTTTGGCACAAAAGCCAAGGCTTCCTCTGGCAGAAGAGAAGGAGGGTTGGGTTGCTTTTGGTCAGGTCTATTTTTATTCTCCTTATTAGTATTATTATCTTCAAGAGGACCCTTGAGCATGTGCAGAAAGTATTCCCCCCCCCCCCAAAAAAGCTCCCAATTTGGGCCGAATCGCAGGTTAGGAAGTCTCCGACCCAACTCTGTGACATGCCATAGAATCGCCTCGAGGACTTAGATCAATGTTTCTCAACCTTCCCAATGCCGCTCCTCCTGTTGTGGTGAACCCCAACCATAACATTATTTCCATTTTATTTATTTGTCGTATCAGGGCAACCAGTCAATTGTATTACATTTCTAACAGAACAAAACAAACAAACAGACAAAACACAACATTTGCAAGTTTGGTAGTGGATTAGATGTCCTTTGACCAGTATCTGGCCACTTGGAGTGCCTCTGGTGTTGCCTCAAGGAGGTCCTCCCTTGTGCATCATGTGGCAGGGCTCAGGGTGCATTGCAGCAGGTGGTCAGTGGTTTGCTCTTCTCCGCACTCGCATGTCGTGGACTCCACTTTGTGGCCCCATTTCTTGAGGTTGGCTCTGCATCTCGTGGTGCCAAAGTGCCTTCCAAGTCGCCCAGTCTTCTGTGCCCAGGGGGGAGTCTCTCATTTGGTATCAGCCATTGGTTGAGGTTCTGGGTTTGAGCCTGCCACTTTTGGACTCTCGCTTGCTGAGATGTTCCAGCGAGTGTCTCTGTAGATTTTAGAAAACTATTTCTTGATTTAAGTCGTTGACGTGCTGGCTGATACCCAAACAGGGGATGAGCTGGAGATGTCTCTGCCTTGGTCCTTTCACTATTGGCTGCTACTTCCCGGCGGATGTCAGGTGGTGCAATACCGGCTAAGCAGTGTAATTTCTCCAGTTTAGTGATAGCCTTTGGTGACCCTTCCAACACCTTCCGCTGACCTAGAAACTTATAATAATAATAATAATAATAATAATAATAATAATAATAATAATAATAGAAAGTGAAACCACGACTATAGAACTCCTGAGGAATTGCCGCCTTCACAATCCCAAATTGGAGGTCTGATGAAAGGACTGCAAACCCTATCATCCCCCACTTTAATGCCCTGCTCATGGACATTGTGATCCAACTGAAGGCAGAAGAATGAAGGGTCTAGAAAATGGTCAGTTTCCTGATTCCGGGAGGGAATATATGACTTTGCTCTATGGTGTTGACTCTTCTTTTCAAATTCTGTTTTTCTGCCACGCCTGCCTTTCTTTTGTGGAGCCATTTGGCAAGAAAATGGAAAATGTAAACAAGGAAGATCCGGCCCCACATGGCAATATTTCATTATATTTTGAGGGGTTCACAAAGGAAGGCATTGCAACCAAGGATGGAAGGGCAGTTGGGACTAAAATATATTATTTGGCACAGACAGTGGGCCCTTTGTTGCGGTATTATTATTATTATTATTATTATTAGATTATTATTGTATTCATTATTAATAATGATACGTTATTATAGTTGTTTACAGATATTACGATTATTAATAATGATACGTTATTACAGTTGTTTACAGATATTATATCTTGTTGTTGTTGTTGTTGTTGTTGTTGTTGTTGTTATGTTACCACGAAACATTCAGCAATTTTGCCTCCTTTCCTACCTCCAACTACCTTGGCCTAGTAGATAAATATATATATGAAACTGGATGGTAATTATACAATTTCCCTGATATGGTTGTACTACAAATCCCATCATCCCTACTCAGCCAGGTAAGGAATGACGGGAATTTTAGTTTAATAGAAACTAGCAATAACGGTACAGGGATCTAGATGGTATTTACATGATTTCCCCAATATGGTTGTACTACAAATCCCATCATCCCTACTCAGCCGGGTAAGGAATGATGGGAGTTGCAGTTCAATAGAAACTAGCAGTAACGGTACAGGGGTCTAGATGGTATTTACACGATTTCCCCAATATGGTTGCACTACAAATCCCATCATCCCTACTCAGCCAGATAAGGAATGATAGAAGTTGTCGCTCAAAAGAAACTAGCAGTAATGGTACAGGGGTCTAGGTGGTATTTACACGATTTCCCCAATATGGTTGTACTACAAATCCCATCATCCCTACTCAGCCAGGTAAGGAATGATGGGAGTTGTAGTTCAATAGAAACTAGCAGTAACGGTACAGGGGTCTAGATGGTATTTACATGATTTCCCCAATATGGTTGTACTACAAATCCCATCATCCCTACTCAGCCAGGTAAGGAATGATGGGAGTTGTAGTTCAGTAGAAACTAGCAATAACGGTACAGGGTTAATATAATTTCCCCCATATGGTTGGACTCAAATCCCCTATTTGTGCTGAGGAATGATGGGAGCTGCAGTCCCTATCAAGCCTGTTGGAGGGGCAAAAGTGGTGTCAAACCCCATTAATCTGTCAGTGCAGATGGAGGCAAATCCTTGGGAGGACTGCAACACCCACGATCCCCCATATTGATCCATTCTGTACTCCAAATAGGTGGACATCGAACAACTGGACCCGAGGGGGCGCACCCCTCTGCATCTGGCCACCACCTTGGGCCACCTGGAATGCGCCCGTGTTTTGCTGCGCCACGGCGCTGACGTGGCCAAAGAGAACCAGAGCGGATGGACGGGTACGTACGTACTGACCGTTAGGCCTCGTACCTGCCCAGAAGTGGACATAGTGTGCTGTCCTAGGTGAGGTCTGGCCAAAGCAGAATGCAGCAGCGTTGTGGCATCCCTCAATTGGGAGACTTGCATTGCTGTTTGGATGCGGAATCGTATTGGCCTTGTTTGCTGCAGCATCACATGCGTTGCTGTTCAGATACAAAATACGAAGGAACACAACCCTCAAGGCACTGTGGTTGCTTTGAGATGCCTTCCCCTGATTCTGGGGACAGATCAAAACCTATTCCCAATCTTCCATATAATATAATACAATTTCATAATAAGAATATAATATAATGCAATATTATTAATATATTGGAGCCCCTAGTGTTGCAGCAGATTAAACTGCTGAGCTACTGAACTTGCTGACCGAAAGGTCAGTGGTCCGGATCAGGGGAGTGGGTTGAGCTCTTGTTGTTAGCCTGTCAGGAGTCAATGTCTGGCGGCATGCAGACATCACAAATTCCCTCCGTGACATCCTGACTGAATCCTCCTGGCTGCCTCAATTTGGAAAACCTTGTATTGGAACTTGTGAAGCAACAAGCTCTAAGAAGGAAACTGAGAAGAGGGGGCAGTTGGGCAGGAAAGGTGTATAAAAGGAAGTGGTGGTGGGAAAAAAGTCAGTCGTGTCTTTCTTTGCTGCAGAGATACAAGCAATATATCCATTTCAAAGCAGAACCGGCTTGTGAGTGGTCATTTAATATTGCTATATAAAACCTACAGTCTTACATAGCCCCAGCTTCTGCCAACCTAGTAAAAGTAAAGGTAAAGGATTTCCCTAACATGAGGTCCAGTTGTGTCCAACTCTGGGGGTTGGTGCTCATCTCCATTTCTAAGCTGAAGAGCCGGTGTTGTCCATAGACACCTCCAAGGTCATGTGGCCAGCATGGAGCGCCATTTCCTTCCCGCTGGAGCGGTACCTATTGATCTACTCACATTTGCATGTTTTCAAACTGCTAGGTTAGCAGAAGCTGGGGCTAACAGCAGGAGCTCACCCCGCTTCTTGGATTCAGACCACCAACCTTTTGGCCAACAAGTTCAGCAGCCAGCGGTTTAACCTGCTGTGCCACCAGGGGCCCTATTATTAATGATATTATACATTTGCATGTTTTCGAACTGCTAGGTTGGCAGAAGCTGGGGCTGACAGCAGGAGCTTACCCGGCTCCCCGGATTTGAACCGCCAACCTTTTGGTCAGCAAGTTCAGCACCTCAGCAGTATAACCAACTGCATCACTAGGGGGTCCTATTATTAATGATATTATACCTTTGCATGTTTTCGAACTGCTAGGTTGGCAGAAGCTGGACCTAACAGCAGGAGCTCACCCTTGTTTCCCAGATTCGAACCGCTGACCTATTGGTCAGCAAGTTCAGCATCTCAGAGGTTTAACCCGCTGTGCCACCAGGGGCTTTCTTCAAAAACAAACAATGCCTTTTTCCAATTATTCGCAAGCTAGTAATATAATATAATACAATATAATATCCATAATATATAACATAATATCCACCAAATTAATATAATACAATACAATATAATATAATATAATATAATATAATAAATACATAATATAATGTAATGTAATATAATATGATATCATATAATACAATATAATATAATATAATATAATACAAAATATAATATGATATAATACAATACATAATATAATATAATAAATACATAATGTAATGTAATATGATATAATATGATATAATATATAATATAATACAATACATAATATAATATAATAAATACGTAATGTAATATGATATTATATAATNAATACGATATAATATAATATATAATATAATATAATAAATACATAATGTAATTAATGTAATGTTATGTAATATGATATAATATATAATACAATACATAATATAATATAATATAATAAGTACATAATATAATTAATGTAATGTAATATAATATGATATAATATAATACAACATAATACAAAATATAATATAATATAATACATAATATAATATATTATATACATAATGTGATGTAATGTAATATAATATGATATGATATAATATAATACAAAATATAATATAATATAATATAATAAATACATAATATGATGTGATGTGATGTGATGTGATATGATATAATAGGCACAGTGTTGTCCCAGGTCAGGTCCAGCCAAAGCAGAATCTAGCGGCGTCACTCCGTCCCTCAAATCGGGACCCTTCTATTGCTGTTTGGTTCAGAACTGTGTTGGCCATGTTGGCCACCACATGACACACGCGTGTTCCCCCAGTGCTGCAGGAGGCGGTCAGCACGCGGGACCTGGAGCTGGTGCAACTGGTGCTGCGCTACCGCGACTACCAGCGGGCCCTCAAGCGCCTGGCCGGCATCCCCACTTTGCTGGAGAAACTGCACAAGGTAACGGCTTCGAAACATCTCCTTGAAAACGTCAACTTGGAGTATTTTGCACGCTGGGGAGAGAATGATTACCTCCTTTGACTCTCATCGTCTCCCCTCCTTTCTTGCAGGCACAAGATTTCTACGTGGAGATGAAGTGGGAGTTTACCAGTTGGGGTACGTTTCGGCACGTCAGCAGTTTGGGGGAATGTGAGACGACGGTAACAGTGTTGGGTCTCAACCTACGTCATTCCTGCTCTTTCTCCAGTGCCCTTGGTCTCCAAGATCTGCCCCAGCGACACCTACAAGGTCTGGAAATGTGGGCAAAACCTCCGCGTGGACACCACTCTCCTGGGCTTTGACCACATGACCTGGCAGCGCGGGAACCGCAGCTTCATCTTCCGCGGACAAGGTCGGCGGGAGACCTTTTTTTGAGCAACAAGTGCTTTCCCACTCGTCTCGCTGTTTTTCAAGTGTCCCGGTTTCCCTTCCCTCCTCCTTCCACCTTCGTCCTCAGCTTGCTGCAAATGGAGGGCGAAGTAATTCGAACTTCTTTAATTCACCAGGAACAGACCCCACAAGTGCGTTCCCACTGGTCCTGCTACTTTACAAGTGTCCCAGTTTCCCTTCCCTTTCCTCCTTCCACCTTTGTCCTCAGCTTGCTGCAAACGGAAGGCAAAGTAATTCAAACTTGTTTAACTCACCAGGAACAGACCCCACAAGTGCATTCCCACTCGTCCCGCTGCTTTTCAAGTGTCCCGGTTTCCCTTCCCTCCTTCTTCCACCTTCATCCTCAGCTTGCTGCAAACGGAGGGCGAAGTTATTCGAACTTGTTTAACTCACCAGCTGGGAGAGGAGGGGGTCCAGATTATGCCTTTCCTGACCACTCAAAGCAACCATTTCCTTACACTGAAGGCTACTCACTTTGGCCTCGTACCCATTCACCGTCTCCGTGAGTGAGCAAGTGAGCGCGGCAAGGGCAGTGGCGGCATCAGGAGCAGGATCCTGGCCACCTCTTCCAGGCTCCAGCTTCTGCTGCTGCTTTCGCCTTTGCAGCCCTCCCTCCCTCCCTCGCTCACTCACTCACCCGTCCTCCCTCACTCACTCACGATTCACCAAGCCGAGTCCTGGTTCTGCCACAGGGACCTGGCCCGATGAGTAGCAAGTGAGCAAGGAAGGACAGGTGGGTGAGTGAGGGAGAGCCGCAAAGGCAGAAGCAGCGGCAGAAGCAGGAGTCTGGAAAAGGTGGCCAGGCTCCTGCTGTCACTGCTGCTTTTACCACGCTCGCTCGCTCACTCACCCGCCCTCCCTTACTTGCTCATTCACCAGGCCAGGTCCCGGAAAACCGCGAAACAGTGAGTCCGCAAAAAGTGAACCGCGAAGTAATGAAGGAGCACTGTATATCGTGAGCGAGGGAGGGCCACAAAGGCAGAAGCAGCGGCAGAAGCAGGAGCCTTGGAAAGGTGGCCAGTTTCCTGCTTCTGCTACCACTGCTGCCCTTGCTGTGCTCTCTCACTCACTCATCCGTCCTCCCTCACTTGCTCACTCACCAGGCCAGGTCCCGAAAAACCTCGAAACAGTGAGTCCGCAAAAAGCGAACCGCGAAGTAATGAGGGAGCACTGTATATCGTGAGTGAGGGAGGGCCGCAAAGGCAGAAGCAGCGGAAGAAGCTTGGAAAGGTGGCCAGGCTCCTGCTTCTGCCACCACTGCTGCCCTTGCCATGCTCGCGCACTCACTCACCCGCCCTCCCTCGCTTGCTCACTCACCAGGCCGGGTCCCGGAGAACCGCAAAACAGGGAGTCCGCGAGAAGCGAACAGTGAAGTAATGAGGGAGCACTGTATATTGTTCCCCGCTCCTCACGCCTTCCTTCCTCCTCAGATACGACCGCAGTGGTGATGGAGATCGACCACGACCGGAGGGTGGTTTACTCCGAAACGCTGGCCTTGGCGTCCCAGGACCAGGAGGGTATCCTGGCAGCGGTTCAGCCCACGGAAGAGCAGGTCATGGGACGCCTCATGGCCCCGGTGGTCACCACGCAGCTGGACACCAGGAACATTGCCTTCGAGAGGTATGTATTCTTTTGTTGGCTAGTTTCCTGCACTCTCAATGTGTTGCTGCGGCAAAAAAAGCCAATATGACTCGACCTGGAGGCACCTTCAGTCCATAGGAAGATATGACTCAACCCAGAGACACCTTCAGTCCATAGGAAGCGAGGTTCTAGACTGGGGGAAGATATATCCTTGTGGAAATACACTTTTCAATGCTATTCCATCATTTGTCTGTTCATTTCCACCTTTGCTGCTCGTTTCCAGGAACAAGTCAGGCATTTTGGGCTGGAAGAGCGAGAAGACGGAGACGGTGAACGGGTACGAGGCCAAGGTGAGGTCTCTACGGGGGGGGCTTCAGAGTAAGGAAAGGGGTGCTTTGGGTGGAAAGGGCACTATATGCACCCACTCCTCTCCCTGCTGCTGAGTTAAACAAGCTCGAATTACTTCGCCTTCCGTTTGCAGCAAGCTGAGGATGAAGGTGGAAGGAGGAGGGAAGGGAAACCAGGACACTTGAAAAGGAGCGGGACCAGTGGGAATGCACTTGTGGGGTCTGTTCCTGCTAACAGGTTTCTCCCTTCCTTGTATAGGTCTATGGGGCTTCCAATGTCGAACTCATCACCCGGACGCGGACAGAGCACCTTTCTGAACAGCACAAAAGCAAGACCAAAGGTAAGCGGTCGTTTGCGGCTTATAGTTCAGTAGGCCAGTGGATTGGTAGGTAGATAGACAGGTGTGTAAATGATAGGTAGGTAGATAAGTTTGGCAGGTAGATGGGTAGATAGATGGATAGGTATGTATGTATGTATGTATGTATGTATGTATGTATGTAGATATATAGGTAGACAGACAGGTTAGACAGATAAGTAGGTAGATAGGTTGGTAGGTAGAGAGATAGATAGCCTATGTAGATAGACAGGTAGGCTAGATGGATAGATGGATAGATGGATAGATGGATGGATGGATAGATAGATAGATAGATAGATAGATAGATAGATAGATAGATAGATAGATAGATAGATAGATTGATTGATTGATAGATAGACAGACAGATAGATAGCTGGATGGATGGATGGATGGATGGATGGATGGATGGATGGATGGATGGATGAAATACAGGTATAGGGGATAGATGGATGGATGGATGGATGGCTAGGTAGGTAGGTAGGTAGGTGGATAGACAGATAGACAGACTGACAGACAGACAGATGAAAGTGAGGTATAGGGGGTGGGTGGGTGGGTGGATGGAAGGACGGATGGATGGACAGACAGACAGATAGATAGAAGGATGGGTGGGTGGGTGGATGGATGAATAGATGAATGGATGGATGGATGGATGGATGGATGGATGGATGGATGGAAGAGAGGTATAGGGGATGGGTGGATGGATAGACAGACAGACAGAAGGATGGATGGATGGATGGATAGATGGATGGATGGATGAGAGGTATAGGGGATGGGTGGATGGACGGACGGACAGACAGACAGATAGAAGGATGGGTGGGTGGGTGGGTGGGTGGATGGATGGATGGATGAGAAGTATAGGGGATGGGTGGATGGATAGACAGACAGACAGATAGATAGATAGAAGGATGGGTGGGTGGATGGATAGACGAATGGATGGATGGAAGAGAGGTATAGGGGGTGGGTGAATGGACAGACAGACAGACAGATAGATAGATAGGTGGATGGATAGACAGACAGGATAGATAGATAGATAGATAAATAGATAGATAGATAGATAGATAGATAGATAGATAGATAGATAGGATAGATAGATAGATAGATAGATAGATAAGGTAAGCAGACAGATAGGTATTACATAAGCCAAAGGAGCCTGCGTCTGCTGCCTGCCTGTTTCTGAATTGGAAATACCTGGGCCCTTTTCCGCTCCTGTAGGTGGCAAGACCCCCCTCCAGTCCTTCTTGGGCATTGCCGAACAACATGTGGGTCCCAACAATGGGGTGAGTAATCAAGGGGAGTGGGATAATGGGCTGGCCTATGTGCCCCAAAGGGAGAGGTGCCTCTGTTGCCTTGGCGGGGCTGCCAGGATCGGCTCTGGTCTCCCCACAGGCCCTGGTCACGCAGACGCTCAGCCGCGCCAACCCCACCGCCATCACGCCGGAGGAGTACTTCGACCCCAGCTTCGAGCTCGGCAGCCGGGACATGGGCCGACCCATCGAGCTGACCACCAAGACCCAGAAGTGAGGACCGGGGCCATTATGGGGCAGATGAGGAGACCATTATCTCATATATTGCAATCTGATTCCAATCCCCCCACCCCGTCTTTATTTCTGTCAGGTTCAAAGCCAAGCTCTGGCTCTGTGAAGACCACCCGCTCTCTCTGTCCGAACAAGTCGGGCCGATCATCGACCTGATGGCCGTCAGCAACGCCCTTTTTGCCAAATTACGGGACTTCATCACCCTCCGCTTGCCGCCAGGCTTCCCCGTTAAGATCGGTAATAATATCCATTGATTACGGCGTTACTTGCCTTTTGTTCCGGGGAATCCCATCCCTGTCTCTTCCACGCCAGTCTTACAAGGCGGACTAGAAGTAAAACAGTCGCGATGTTGATGCAAGGTTCTATTTATTTACTTATTTAAAGTATTTATATTCCGCCCTTCTCACCTCAAAGGGGACTTAGGGCGGATCACAATGCACACATACATGGCAAACATGCAATGCCATTTTTGGACATACAAGACAGATAGATAGAGGTATTTCGGCATTTTCCAACTTCGGCGCCTGGAGGTTATGCTCAATACAGTCCACAGGGGGGTGCTGTCGCTCCATCTGCTATGACGACGAGCCCTTGTGATTGTCCAAATTTCCATCCTTTGTTCTTTGATTGCCGGCATTTTTATGCTGTTGTAAAATACCTCCCCACTAAGCGGTACCTAATTTCTCTACTCACAGCGGTACCCAATTTCTCTCCTCAAACTGCTTAGGTGGACAATGAGTCGGGCACCAAATCCGACTCGTGCTTTGAACTTGCCACCTTCCGGTTGGTAGTGATCTATTGCTGCTGGCGATTAACCTTAGCTGTGCTACACTTCTGCTTTCCCTCTTTTCCTAGAAATCCCCATCTTCCATATCCTGAACGCCCGCATCACCTTCGGAAACCTCAATGGCTGCGACGAGGCAGTCGCCTCGATCCGGGGTTCGGGGAGTTCGGGGAGTCCCAGTAGCGATGTCCCTTCGCCCGGAAGCGATCGCTCTAGCATCAGCAGCGCCAGCTCCGTCGGTACGTCAAGGATTGGGGGTAAAGCTTCAGTGGAGACCCCTTTCCCCAGGATAATGACTCTTCCAGGAGTGGATTTCCCTTCCTTCCGAGGGGAAGATTTCTCTCACTGTTGCAACTCAGAGTAAGCTTCACCTTGCTTCCAAACACCATGACACAAGAGCTGTAGTTTTATGGTTTATTGAGGAAAAAATCCAAGTCAAAAATAAAGAACAAGCATTGCAAAGTTCCAAAGATTTAGGTTAAATGCAGAATATAGTTCCAAAGATCTTCAGGTAAAAACAAGAGGCACAATCCTAGAGACAAGGTTCACAACAGAGTCCAAGGTACAAGCAATAAAACAATTGCCCCAAGAATCACAATGTAAGAAGTCCCAAGCGTGCTGCTTTCCAGGCTAAGGCTATTCCATGAAGCTTTCAGGCTAATAAGCTACGTTGAACTCATGCTTTCTCTTGGTTTGCAAGAAGCCTAAATACCTTTCTAACATGAAAACATTATGCTCTCACCAGCATAAAAGCATTGCGATGACCTTTCACCGAGCTGGCTTCTCGTCTGCCGGCCAGGCGAGAACTCCGCCTGACCCGCAAATCAAGACGAGCTTGCCGAGTCAGGTCACTATCAAGGCTTTCTGCACTTTCAGAATCAGTGTGGGAAGGCACCTGTTCACTATCTCCTTCGTTAAAATTCTTTTCTGCTGAGAACCGCTGTGTTGACTCTGCACTGTCTGTGGGAGCCTCAGAAGCAGGCCCAGAGATCTGAGGCACAGACAAAGACCCAGGAGGCACAGACAAAGAGCCAGGAATCTGAATCCCATCATCCTCATCATCAAGAAACATCTCAGCCACAACACTCACTTCCTGTTGTCTCACCCCGTTCTTGACTTGGAGTCGTTTGTAAGTCGGATGTTTGTAGCTCGGGGACTGATAGGTATTCATTCTTGCTCCCTCGAATCTCTCCCAGGTTCCTGCCGGTGTTACGAGATGGACCCCTTGCTCTTTGAAGCCCCCCGAGGTTACAGCGTTGTCGGCAGCCACCCGGAGCCCCTCAGGGAAGATGACGATGACCTTTTGCAGTTCGCCATCCAACAGAGTTTGCTTGAAGCCGGGACCGAGTACGACCAGGTGGGAGGCAAATCCTTGCACTTTAGGGGCCGGCAAAGCCATCGGCGGCCAGACAATTGTTGGTACAATCACGGGTACCTCGTAACTTGGGGACTGTCTGTATTCGATTGTCCCAAAACAAGGAGGATTCTGGGAGTTCTCGCAATGACATTTCCTTATCCTTGCAGGTAACTATATGGGAAGCCTTGACCAACAGCAAACCAGGGACGATCCCCGTGTCGCAAGAGCGGCGCCGGGTCAACAGGTGAGTTGAATGGACAAGTGGGACCACGAGGCCTAGGCTAGTGGTGCCACTGACCATCTAAGATGGATTGTTTTGGAAAGATTTCATCCAAATTAGTCCCTGTTTTTCCCCAACAGCCTTCTAGATCAGTGTTTCTCAACCTTCCTGATGCCGTGACCCCTTAATATAGTTCTTCATGTTGTGTTGACCCCCAACCATAACATTATTTTCGTTGCTACTTCATAACTATCATTTTGCTCCTGTTATGAATCGTCATGTAAATATCTGACATACAGGGTGGATTTTCACTCACTGGACCACATTTGGCACAAATACCGCATACGCCCAAGTTTGAGTACTGGTGGGGTTGGGGGAATTTATTTTGTCATTTGGGAGTTGTAGTTGCTGGGATTTATAGTCCACCTAAAATCAAAGAGCATTCTCATCTCCGTCAACGATGGAATTGAACCAAACTTTGCACACAGAACTCCCATGACCAACATGAAATACAGGAAGGGTTTGGTGGGCATTGACCTTGAATTTGGGAGTTTTAGTTCGCCTATATCCAGAGAGCACTGTGGGCTCAAACAGTGATGGATCTGGACCAAACCTGGCACGGATACTCAATATGGACAAATGTGAACACTGGCAGAGTTTGGGGGAAACAGACCTCAATATTTGGGAGTTGTAGTTGCTGGGATTTATAGTTCAACTACAATCCAAGAGCATTCTGAACCCTACCAATGATAGTATTGGTGTAAATTTCCCTCACAGAGACCCCATGACCAACAGAAAAGACTGGAGTTTGGGGATAACAGTCCTTGCCATTTGGGAGTTGTAGTTGCTGGGATTTATAGTTCACCTACAATCCAAGAGCATTCTGAACCCTACCAATGATAGCATTGGTCCAAACCTCCCACACGGAGACCCCCATGACCAACAGGAAAGACTGGAGGGATTTGGGATGAATTGACAGTGATTGAGGGGAGATGTAGTTCACCTCCACCCGGAGAGTCCTGTGAACCCAAATGACTATGCCAAAGGGATTCCTAAGTTGTAGGTGCTGGGATTTATAGTTCATCTACAATCCAAGAGCATTCTGAACCCCACCAAACATGGAATTGGGCCAAACTTCCCACACGGAGACCGCCATGGCCAACAGAAAAGACTGGAGGGATTTGGGATGAATTGACAGTGATTGAGGGGAGATGTAGTTCACCTCCATCCGGAGAGCCCTGTGAACCCAACAGACTATGCCAAAGGGATTCCTAAGTTGTAGTTGCTGGGATTTATAGTTCACCTTCAATCCAAGAGCATTCTGAACCCCACCAAAGATGGAATTGGGCCAAACTTCTCACACAGAACTCACATGACTTGTGTTTTCTTTCGGTCTTTGGCGAACCCTCATGACCCCCCTCCCCAGGGGTCTGACCCCCAGATTGAGAAACACTGTTCTAGAGGCATGGGAGGACTCTGGGTCCCACCATCCCCGTTTAAGAAGGATTTTTTGATGGGAAATGATGCTGAGGAGGCTCACTCCGGCACCTCTCCTTGGGTTTCCTAGGACGCCACAGCACACGCCGCCGACGCCGCGCCCGTCGACCCCGCAGCGGTCCTCCCCCTCGGCGGTCAAGCCCTCCGGCCGCCCGCTGCCCAGTTACGCCGAACAGCTCCGCCTGGCCATGGCGCTGTCGGCGAAGGAGCAGGAGGAAGCGGAGCGGCGCTCGCGGCAGGAGGAGGAGGAATTCGCCCGCATCCTGCGCCTCTCGCTCACCGAACAATAAGCCGTGTTTCGGGGGACGGTATTGGGGAGGGGGGCACTCCTGCACAAGACCCTGGTCCAGAAGCGGATCGGACAGAAGCGCCTTCCCGAAACCGCACTAATCCAGGACTTCGTTGGCGGACGATTTTGGGGGGACTTTAGGGCACAATTCGGGGAGACTCCGTCCCCAAAGCTGAGCCATTCGAACCCTCCGTTCCCCCAAGAGGTAAGTCTTCGACGGAGAAGCCAAATTTGGGGTGGGCTTCCTTCCTTCTTCCTGCACACTCCTGGGGCCAAGGACTAGGCAAGGGTTCAAATCCAATCTTCCTTTTACACATCTGAAAATTATCTGAATCTGGATTGGCGCTCCAGTGCATCTACACTGGAGAGTGAATGCAGTTTAACACCACTTTGTTGTGGCTCAATGGAACGCCAGGGTTTGGAGTTCTGGGTGCTTCTAGGCTGCTACAATTAACCCACTTTCAATGAGAGTTGTCGTTTGGAACCATCGTGAGAGACTACAACTCCCAGCATTTCCGTTGCCCTCAAAGCGGCACCAAACTGTGTTAATTTGACAGTGTAGATGCACCTTGGATTGAGACGATCTGAATCCAGGCGGCGGCCCTTCGCTCCGGTTTAACCAAGCACAGATCTGTAAGGCACAATAGACAAAACACAACTCCGGGCGGAAGTCGGGCACAATCCTTCATCCAAGAGGATCTTAATTCAGATCCGTCCAACCGGTACAAGATGGGTTGAATCCCAATCTTGGGAGGCAGGGTTTCATTCTGGATCAACAGGACATTGGGCTTTCTTTTGGGCGACAACTTCCAAAAGCACTCGGCCGGTGGCTTCAAGGTTTTGCGCATTCACTCTGGGGTCCCTCGGCCAGTCGGTACCCTCTTCTTATGGGGCACTAAGTGCACTTAACACCCCTTCCACCCCAAGAAAGCCGTAGTTCTTCATGCTCTTTCGCTTGGCCTTGTTGACCGGTTGCCTGCAAGTGAGACGTAGCCTCCTCCGAGTCCCAAGAAAGTGGGGAACATTGGTCACTCCTGCCCAAGGAGGGCACAAAGGACACCACACCCACGTGCCATGGATGGGCCACCGGGAGCTGCACCCAGCTGCCCTTGTTGGCTTATAGGAAGCTCAAGCAAGAAGCCACCATTGACTTCTTGGCGCAGGAACCAGATGCCATTGTTGGCTTATTAGAAGCAGCACTCAAGTGCCATCTTTGGTTGAATAGGAGCTGGGCCCAGGTGCCGTAGTTGGCTTACGGGATACAGCATTCTGAAACCATGGTTGGCTTCTTGGGAGCTGGACCAAGATGCCATTGTTGGCTTATTGGAAGCTGTACCGAAGTGTCACCGTTGGCTTACTGGGTGCTGGGCCAAAACGCCATCGTTGGCTTATTGGGAGGTGCACTAAGGTGACATCGTTGGCTTATGGGAAAATGTTCCCAGTTGTCACCATTGGCTCATTGGAAGCTGAATGAAGGTGCCATTGTTGGCTTATTGGGAACTGTACCCAGTTGTCACCATTGGCTCATTGAGAGCTCCTTGAAGGTGCCATCATTGACTTATGGGAAACTGCACCCAGTTGCCACCATTGGCTCATTGGAAGCTGAATAAAGATGCTATCATTGGCTTATAGGGAACTGCACCTAGGTGCCACCATTGGCTTATGGGAAACTGTCACCAGTTGCCACTATTGCCTCATTGGGAGCTCAATGAAGGTGCCATAATTGCTTTATGGGAAACTCTACCTAGTTGCAACCATTGGCTCATTGGGAGTTGAACGAAGGCGCCATCGTTGGCTTATGGGAAACTGTACCTAGTAGCCACCATTGGCTCATTGGGAGCTGAATGAAGGTGCCATCATTGGCTTATAGGGAACTGCACCCAGGTGCCACCGTGGGCTGATTGGGAGCTCCTTGAAGGTGCCATTGTTGGCTTATGGGAAACTGTACCCAGTTGTCACCACTGGCTCATTGGGAGCTCACTGAATGGCTTATGGAAACTGTACCCAGTTGCCACCGCTGGCTCATTGGGAGCTCAATGAAGGTGCCATCATTGCTTTATGGGGAACTGTACCTAGTTGCAACCATTGGCTCATTGGGGGCTGAATGAAGGTGCCATCCTTGGCTTATGGGAAATTGTTCCCAGTTGTCACCGTTGGCTCATTGGGAGCTGATTGAAGGTGCCGTTGTTGGCTTATGGGAAACGGTACCCAGTTGCCACCATTGGCTCATTGGGGGCTGAACAAAGGTGCCAGCTTTGGCTTATTGGGAACTGTAACCCGTTGCCACCATTGGCTCATTGGGAGCTGAACAAATGGCTTATGGGAAACTGTACCCAGTTGCCACTGTTGGCTCATAAGAAGGCGCCATCATTGTCTTATGGGAAACTGTACTTAGTGGCCACCATTGGCTCATTGGGAGTTGACTAAAGGTGCCATCCTTGGCTTATAGGGGACTGCACCCAGGTGACACCATGGGCTGATTGGGAGCTTCTTGAAGGTGCCACCATTGGCTTATTGGAAACTGTACCCAGTTGCCATCATTGGCTCATTGGGAGCTGACTGAATGGCTTATGGGAATCTGTACCCAGTTGCCACCATTGGCTCATTGGAGGCTGACTGTAGATGCCATTGTTGGCTTATGGGAAACGGTACCTAGTGGCCACCATTGGCTCATTGGGAGCTGAATAAACAGGTGCCACCGTGGGCTGAATGGGAGCTCCTTGAAGGTGCCATCATTGGCTTATTGGAAACTGTACCCAGTTGCCACTGTTGCCTCATTGGGAGCTGACTGAATGGCTTATGGAAACTGTACCCAGTTGCCACTGCTGACTCATTGGGAACTCAATGAAGGTGCCATCATTGCTTTATGGGGAACTGTACCTAGTTGCAACCATTGGCTCATTGGGGGCTGAATGAAGGTGCCATCCTTGGCTTATGGGAAATTGTTCCCAGTTGTCACCGTTGGCTCATTGGGAGCTGATTGAAGGTGCCRTTGTTGGCTTATGGGAAACGGTACCCAGTTGCCACCATTGGCTCATTGGGGGCTGAACAAAGGTGCCAGCTTTGGCTTATTGRGAACTGTAACCCGTTGCCACCATTGGCTCATTGGGAGCTGAACAAATGGCTTATGGGAAACTGTACCCAGTTGCCACTGTTGGCTCATAAGAAGGCGCCATCATTGTCTTATGGGAAACTGTACTTAGTGGCCACCATTGGTTCATTGGGAGTTGAATAAAGGTGCCATCCTTGGCTTATAGGGGACTGCACCCAGGTGACACCATGGGCTGATTGGGAGCTCCTTGAAGGTGCCACCATTGGCTTATTGGAAACTGTACCCAGTTGCCACTATTGCCTCATTGGGAGCTGACTGAATGGCTTATGGAAACTGTACCCAGTTGCCACCATTGCCTCATTGGGAGCTGACTGAATGGCTTATGGGAAATTGTTCCCAGTTGTCACCATTGGCTCATTGGGGGCTGAATGAAGGTGCCATTGTTGGCTTATGGGAAATTGTTCCCAGTTGTCACCATTGGCTCATTGGGAGTTGAATGATGGTGCCATTATTAGCTTATTGAGAGCTGTACCCAGTTGCCACCGTTGGCTCACTGGGAACTGAACAAAAGTGCCGTGGTTGGCTTATGGGAAATTGTCCCCAGTTGTCACTGTTGGTTCATTGGAAGCTGAATGAAGGTGCCATCATTGGCTTATGAGAAACGGTACCCAGTTGCCACCATTGGCTCATTGGGGTCAGAACGAAGGTGCCAGCTTTGGCTTATTGAGAACTGTAACCCGTTGCCACCATTGGCTCATTGGGAGCTGAACAAATGGCTTATGGGAAACTGTACTCAGTCGCCACCATTGGCTCATAGGAAGTAGAACGAAGGCACCATTGTTGGCTTATAGGAAACTGTACCTAGTGGCCACCACTGGCTCATTGGGGGCTGAACGAAGGTGCCATCGTTGGCTTGTTGAGAACTGTAACCCGTTGCCACCATTGGCTCATTGGGAGCTGAACAAATGGATTATGGGAAACTGTACTCAGTCGCCACCATTGGCTCATAGGAAGTAGAACGAAGGCGCCATCATTGGCTTATGGGAAATTGTACCTAGTGGCCACCATAGGCTGTTTGGGAGCTGAATGACGGTGCCATTGTTGGCTTATGGGAAACTGTACTTAGTGGCCAACATTGACTTGTTGGGAGCTGAATGAAGGTGCCATCATTGGCGTATGGGAAACAGTACCGAGTTGCCACCATTGGCTCATTGGGGGCTGAACTAAGGTGCCATCGTTGGCTTATGGAAACTGTACCCAATTGCCACCGTTGCCTCATTGGGAGCTGAATGAAAATGCCATCATTGGGACCATTCTTGAGAACTGTACCCAGGTGCCATCGTTGGTTTGGTCCCCCAGTTGTTTTAGACTTCAACTCCCAAGACTCCCAGCCATCTTACTATCTGTTAGGAATTGTGGGAGCCGAAGTCCAAAACACCTGGAGGACCCAAGGTTGGATGCATCCAAGTGCCGGCGCAGGGACTCCTCAAAAGAGTTGCTCCAAACAGATTTGGGCGAGACGGAGGGGAGGGGAGAAGAAAGGCTCCTCCCTTCCAACCCGTGCCCACCTTGGTACCCGTTTCCCTGAACGACAGCCCTCCTTGGTGCCAACGCTGCCATCTACTTCGCCCACGACTTGCTCTGCCTCCTCGCACCCCCCGAAATCATTGCCACCCTGCCGTTCAATGGTGCTAACCTCCACAAAAGCCTCCCCTCTTCCGAATATTTTGCCAAGCTGCACAGAGGCACAAACGGGGGGCCGAGGCGAGTCCCCCACGACTCCTCCACTCCTTTGCATCAAAAAGGAGTGTATCTTTCACCATTTTTAGAGGGGGATCGAAGGGCCGGGAGGGAGCTGGAGGGTGGCTTGGGACGTCTTCCGCCTCCCCAAAACAACCTACAATATATATTTATTGGAGTGGGAAAGGGTGTGGTTTTGCAAAGGGGGGGGGGGGGTGAGGGAGGCCGCCACAACCAGTTGGCTCAGGTGTGTTACCTGCACAGAGACACCAATGAAAACCTCATGAACCTTTGTGGCCTCCTGTCTCATTTGTGTGTGGTTTGCGTACGTACTTACCTGCGCCTTTTGGGATCATTTCCCTCCCTCTCTAGATCTCCAAATATCTCTTGAAATCCCTCCACTTTTGCAGAATGGAAAAGTGAATTAATAATAATAATATGAATATGAATATCATTCTACTGCATCCTGATTGTGGGGAGAACAGATCTCGCTCGCCTGCAGCAGCTGCTGCCCAATGAAGAAGGATTTAGGGAATTGTTTACATTCTGAACCATGGATTCCCCCAGGCAGGAATCAGCCAGGACTTGAAGATGCAAGGCTTTGCAATGCTAATCAAGGTGATTAATTGCAACATCCACACTTGCCTCCAACAGATGGGAGTTCTTTTTCCCACCCTGAATTAATAATAATAATAATAATAATAATAATAATAATAATAATAATAATCTGCTGCATCCTGATTGAGGGGAGAACAGAACTCGCTCGCCTGCAGCAGCTGCTGCCCAATGAAGAAGGATTTAGGGAATTGTTTACATTCTGAATAATGAATTCCCCCAGGCAGGAATCAGCCAGGACTTGAAGCTGCAAGGCTTTGCAATGGTAATCAAGGTGATTAATTGCAACATTCACACTTGCCTTCAACAGACAGGGGTTCTTTCTCCCACCCTGGAATTAATAATAATAATAATAATAATAATAATAATAATAATAATAATAATAGTAATAATAATAATAATAATAATATTCTGCTGCATCCTGATTGAGGGGAGAACAGAGCTCACTCACCTGCAGCAGCTGCAATGAAGAAGGATTTAGGGAATTGTTTACATTCTGAACAATGGATTCCCCCAGGCAGGAATCAGCAAGGACTTGAAGCTGCAAGGCTTTGCAATGTTAATCAAGGTGATTAATTGCAACATTCACACCTCCAACAGACCGGAGTTTTTTCTCCCACCCTGGAGATTATTCCACAGATATACAAGTGCCACTTGCCTAGTTTCCAACTGACCTCACAACCTCTGAGGATGCCTGCCATAGATGTGGGCGAAACGTCAGGAGAGATTACTTCTAGAATATGGCCATAAAACCCAGAAAATTTATAGTAACCCATGAAAGCCTTCGACATCACATAGAATTATTATTGTTGTTATTATTATTAATATATGAATATCATTCTGCTGCATCCCGACTGAAGGGAGAACAGAGCTCGCTCACCTGCAGCAGCTGCTGCCCAACGAAGAAGGATTTAGGGAATTGTTTACAATTTGAACAATGCCATCATGATGAATATGTATGGACTGTGAATATGAATAAGTTACGGGTGCGTATCAATCAATCAATCAACCTACCTACCTATAAAACTACAGGTCATGCACCTGTAACTGTATGCATGAATTCCAGCCACTATTCTCATGGCTTCATATAGGTTTGAATCCAGATTTTCACAATCATAGTCATGCCACTATCTAGACTACATATGGGTTGTGAATATGAATCGGTTATGGACGTGTAACTATAAATTAAAGGTAAAGGTTTCCCCTTGACATTAAGTCTATTTGTGTCCGACTCTGGTGCTCATCTCCATTTCTAAGCTGAAGAGCTGGCGTTGTCCGTAGACAACTCCAAGGTCATGTGGCCAGCATGACTTATTGGAGCACCGCAGAAGTATTACCTATTGATCTACTCACATTTGCATGCTTTCGAACTGCTAGGTTGGCAGGAGCTGGGCCTAACAGTGGAAGCTCATCCTACGCCCCGGATTCGAACTGTCAACCTTCTGGTCAGCAAGTTCAGCATCTCAGCGGTTTAACCTGCTGTACCACCAGAGGCCTTCTGTATAATCACACGTATACAGTATACATATAACTCTAGGTTTTGCATCCATAACTGCGATCATGAATTCCAACTGTTATTTCGATGTCTTTGTATATAGATTCGGATGCATAACCACCCAGGTTTGACGCAGAGGGATGGGAGGAGCCATTTTTAAATGCATGAATATTTTAATCAGCCTATGCAAATGAGCATTCTGTAACCCCCCCCCCCTCCCAAAAAGCTCCATAGAGGTGACAAGCTTGAAAGGGTCATGTGAGGACAATGCACTCCGCTGAACCCTTTACGCTCCAAACCTTGGCCCAAATAGGGGAACTTACCGTGGTTGGGGGAACCAGACTATTATTATTATTATGAGCTCTTTCCCCATAGAGAGCGGCCATATTTCCTCTTCCAATGCCTTCTCCTTCGACCAATACCTCTTGCATAGAACAATATATAGTTTGGACACAGGAGTGCTTGGTGAGAGCCATCCCATACTACCCCATGTCTTTTCACCACTCGCTTCCCAACCAAAGGGGAGAATGCTGCTAGATCCGTCCCATAATACTCTCCACCAACCCGTGTTTCCCCCGCCTGCAGGGTCAAACAATGCCACGTTAACAACAAAGCCCCCTCTTTCCAGAAATGACTCCCAAAACACACCAACTCCCCATTGTAGGAGTTGGAGTTCCTCCCACCCGAAAGAGAACATATTGCTTTTTCCAAAGATGACATGACTTTGCCAACTGCAAACATGCCAAACAATCCACACACAAAAACAATCGGTGAATCCACCGCTTTCCCTCGGATTTGGGGAAGGAAAGAAGTAGAGGGACGCCCGAAGCATGGCTTCTCCCCAAATCCGCCGAACCATGGAGACGTTAACAAGCAGAAATGGAAGAAGGAAAAGAGGTGCCGGTAAGATCCGAATCTGGGGCTCCGGAGGGGAGGAGCGCATCCGTGGCGGCCACGGGAGGGACGCGGGGAAAGGACGGGTTAATCCGTCCCATTGGTGAACTGGCAGAGTTTGTTTTCCAGGTCGGAAATGCGTTTTTCGTGGGCTTGGACAGTCTGTCGCAGGGACTTGATCTCCTCCAGGAGATCCTCGAATGCGGAGCGCTGCGGGGCGAGGAAAGGCAAGCGGAAGTGGGGAGAGCAAGAGAGAGGGGGTTAGAGGAGGAGACAAAGCCCGAAAAATCCCCATTGTTCGTGCGTAATTCACGGATTTGGTGGAAATGAATCTCTAGGTCCTCCAAGACGTATGCGCAATATGCATACATCCAAAAATGGCACTTAGAGGTCCACCTTTTAGTTGATTCACAACTTAGGAAAGTATCACACGATACTGTCAAATCTTATAGAAAACTAGGATTTATAGTTTAGGGAGGGGTTGTTAAAATTCTCTAAACTCCAGAGGAGGCAGCCATAGGATTTAAAGGGCAATAGTAGCACTTTAATGGCACTGTGTGATAATGTCCTCACAGTGTCACAAAAAGTAGTCTCAGGATGTCACAAGAAGCAGCCATAGGATTTAAAGGCCATTAGCAGCGCTTTAATGGTGCTGTGTGATAATGTCCTCAGGATGTCACAGGAAGCAGCCATAAGATTTAAAGGGCATTGGCAGCGCTTTAATGGCGCTGTGTGATAATGTCCTCACAGTGTCACAACAAGCAGCCATAGGATTTAATGTGCATTAGCAGTGCTATAATGGCACTGTGTGATAATGTCCTCAGGATGTCAAAACAAGCAGCCATAGGATTTAAAGGGCATTAGCAGTAATTTAATGGCGCTGTGTTATAATGTCCTCAGGATGTCACAAGAAGCAGCCATAGGATTTAAAGGGCACTGGCAACGCTTTAATGGCGCTGTGTGATAATGTCATCAGGATGTCACAAGAAGCAGCCATAGGATTTAAAGGGCATTAGCAGTGCTTTAATGGCACTGTGTGATAATGTCCTCAGGATGTCACAAGCAGCCATAGGATTTAAAGCAGTGCTTTAATGGCGCTGTGTGATAATGACCTCAGAAGCAGCCATAGGGTTCAAAGGGCAATAGCAGCATTTTAATGGCACTGTGTGATATTGTCCTCAGGATGTCACAACAAGGAGCCATAGGATTTAAAGGGCATTAGCAGTGCTTTAATGGCGCTGTGTGATAATGTCCTCAGGATGTCACAAGAAGCAGCCATAGGATTTAAAGGGCATTAGCAGTGCTTTAATGGTGCCGTGTGATAATGTCCTCAGGATGTCACAAGAAGCAGCCTTAGGATAAAAAGGGCAATAGCAGCACTTTAATGGCACTATGTGATAATGTCCTCAGGATGTCACAGCAAGCAGCCATAAGATTTAAAGGGCATTGGCAGCGCTTTAATGGCGCTGTGTGATAATGTCCTCACAGTGTCACAACAAGCAGCCATAGGATTTAAAGGGCAATAGCTGCACATTAACGTCGTGTGATAATTTCTTCAATACAGACAGTCTCTGAGTTACAAACATCCAACTTATTTCTGACTCATAGTTAAGAATAGGGGGGTGGGACAACAGGAAGTGAGAGAAATCCCACTCTTGGAAGGGGAATTCAGTCCTGAAAGTCGTTATCATGAGGAAAAGGTGTCTCCACTGAAGCTTTATCCCCAATCCTTGTTTCCACAACCAAGTCAAATTTTTCAAAATCCAATTCTCATTGGGACAGAAAGTGAGGTGAAATCTTCTGAAGAGGGGCATAGAGAGCAAAACAGACCCACAGGGGTGTTAACCCTTCCCTATGCAATCCAACACTAACATTTGGCTGGAGTTACACTTAAAAATATACCGACTTGCATACAAATACTACTTAAGAACAAACCTACAGAACTTATCTTCTTCGAAACTTGGGGAATGCCTATATATGACAAAAAGCAGCCTTTAACAGCATCGTGTGATAATCTCCTCAACATGTTTTTAGCTGTTTTAAAGGATCAACGAGGAAACTACCAACATATAACTTGGAGTAACTATAGTTTTCGCTGCCAAGGAAACGGAAACCGACTCACCGAGAAGTTGGTGTCGCAGGTGGACTGGCTTCGCCGGGGTCCAATGGGGGGTCTGCTGTCCAGGATGTTCTTCTTGGTGACCTTCAGCTCCCGGTTCTTGACGGGGACGTATCCGTCCCGCAACGAGATCAGGACGGGCTCGGCGTCTTTCCCAGAGAGCCACTCGTCTGCCTCCAAAGCCGGCTCCGGACCCGGCGTGTCAGGATAAAGATCGTCCTGGAAGAGGTCGGACTGCCGGAAAGAACCAGAAACCAATAGGACCTTAATACAGTGTTCCCTTGCTACTTCGCGGTTCGCTTTTAGCAGACTTACTGTTTCGCGGGTTTTTGAAAATATTAATAAAAAGTATTAAACCCACCTTTCGTGGCACCGTCATTGTGATGGGCTCGCACTTGCGTTCGTGCAACTTGTAGAACCTACGTTTGGGGGAAAGAGAGAAGGAAAATAGGAGGACGTGTTCAGCCAAATGAGTCACCTTCCTGGCTTCCTCCTTCCATGTTTTCCCGATGCGAACTCAAGACGTTTGAGGCTCACCTGGCGATTTCGCATTTGCTGACGTCCAGCCCTCTCTTGGGCATATATCCCATGCCGCGTTGGGGTTCCTTGCTGCTATAAGTGCTCAAATAGTGGACATAAGGGGCTTCGTCCGTGATTTCAAAGTAACGGATGCTGCTGTCTCCCTACGCAGAAATTGAAAAGGAACGGCACATATTTCTGGAATTATTTGCAATGGCTCTCGGTCACAATCTATGTTTCTATCAATGTTTAACATTGACACAAATGACCAGCCACTTCCAGAAGGGACAGAGTTTCATCTATGCTGATGATAGTGCCATCACCACCCAAGCAGGGAGCTTTGTAATAATTGAACAGAAGCTCTCCAAAGCTTGAGGTGCTCTTACTGCCTATGACAGGGGAAACCAGCTGATTCCTAATCCATCTAAGTTTCATCTATGCTGATGATCGTGCCATCACTGCTCAAGTAGGGAGCTTTGAAATGGTTGAACAGAAGCTCCCCAAAGCTGTAGGTACTCTTACTGCCTATGACAGGGGAAACCAGCTGATTCCTAATCCATCTAAGTTTCATCTATGCTGACGATCATGTCATCACCATCCAAGCAAAGAGCTTTGAAATGGTTGAACAGAAGCTCCCCAAAGCTGTAGGTGCTCTTACTGCCTATGACAGGGGAAACCAGCTGATTTTTAATCCATCTAAGTTTCATCTATGCTGACGATCGTGCCATCACCACCCAAGAAGAGAGCAGCTTTGAAACGGTTGAACAGAAGCTCTCTGAAGCTTGAGGTGCTCTTACTGCCCATTACAGGGGAAACCAGCTGATTCCTAATCTGTCTAAATTTAATCTATGCAGGTGATTGCACCATCACCACCAAAGCAGGGAGCTTTGAAACGGTTGAACAGAAGTTCTCCAAAGCTTTAGGTGAAATATAAATACTGTAAAAAATTGTAAATAAATAAATTAGGTGCTCTTACTGCCCATTACAGGGAAAACCAGATGATTTCTAATCCATCTAAGTTTCATCTATGCTGACGATCGTGCCATCACCGCCCAAGCAGGGAGCTTTGAAACGGTTGAACAGAATCTCTCCAAAGCTTTAGGTGAAATATAAATACTGTAAATAAATAATGTAAATAAATAAATTAGGTGCTCTTCTTGCCCATTACAGGTAAAACCAGCTGATTCCTAATCCATCTAAAATGTGAACGTGTGCTTTCCATCTTAAGAACAGACAAGAATTTCGAGCTCTGAGGATGACCTGGGAAGGAATCCCACTGGAGCATCGCTGCACACCCAAATCCCTGGGAGTTACCCTGGACCATGCTCTGGCATACAAGAAGCACTGCTTGAACATCAAGCAAAAAGTAGGTGCTAGGAATAATATCATACGAAAGCCGACTGGCACAACCTGGGGATCACAACCAGACACAGTGAAGGCACCTGCCCTTGCGCTATGCTACTCTGCTGCTGAGTACACATGCCTGGTGTGGAACACATCTCACCACACTAAAACAGTGGTCATGGGTCTTAATGAGGCATGCCACATCATCACACGATGTCTACGCCCGACACCACTGGAGAAATTATATTGTTTAGCTGGTATCGCACAACCTGACATCTGTCGGAAGTAGCAGCCAATAGTGAAAGGACCAAGGCAGTGACATCTCCGGCCCATCCTCTGTTTGGATATCAGAAAGCATGCCAATGCCCTAAATCAAGAAATAGCTTCCTGAGATCTACAAGAACACCTCAGCAAGCAAGAGTCCAAAAGTGGCAGGCTAAAACTAAGGACATGCACCATTGTGCATGTCCTTAGTTTTAGCCTGCCACTTTTGGATTCTTGCTTGCTGAGGTGTTCCTGTAGATCTCAGGACCTTCTTATAGCAACACCAGAGGGACTCCAAGTGGCCAATTCTGGTTTATTATAACTGTATTCTCAATTTGTTTCTGACACGATAAATAAATAAATACGTTTCTATGCTACAGAAAAGGAGGTGCGAATTTTGCAAGGAATGACCTCGCCATTAAGAGCAACAACTGGCTTTGGAAGATCCTCTTGCGGCAGATCTCTTACCTTGCCGCACAGGTAGACGATGCTGGAATCGGGGTCATAGAACGGGAGCAGGACCCCGTTGCTGGTGTCCATTTCCTGGAGGGCGATGGGCTCCTCGAAATTTTTCTGTCAATGAGAAAGGAAAGGGTTCAAGGCAATCCCTGCCACCTTGGAATGCAGGGCCTTAGTTGCATCGGCCCCTCGCACTGCAATTTCACTTCCAAAGAAAGAAACGACGTGCTGCTGAGTTCTTCCCAATTCATAAACCAGTTCAAAGGGCACGCAATATTCCCAGCATGCATTGCTATCCCTTCCCCTGCACACGCACACATTTGCACACTCGTTCGTGAAAATCCACAGCACTCTGGGACACCTGGGAACAGGGCATTGTGTGTTTCGATACACAAGAAAGGGGTTTAGAACTATTACAGAGAATACAGTAATCCGGACTCAATGGGAGATGTAGTTCTAATTCAAGTCTGAAGGACTAAGTTGCCCAGTGAACACCGGGCACTACGACATTACTGTATTTCTCGTAATAGAAGGGGGAAAGGATATGGATGCAACTCCAATGGTGTAAATAGCCCCATCTATTTGTGGCCCACGAGGCGTGGACTGTCAGTGGCCTTGCTGTGCCACGTCTCCCAAGGGTGGTGGGGTCACGGCACACCATGCGTCTCCGCTACCGGATCCCAGAGGCCCAGTTCACGCTGGCTCATGCGGGTGAAGCCCGTGGTGAAGATGAGTCCGTCGTGGGTGAAGACGGCCCGCATGGGCCTCATCCCTTCGTGGGGGGCAAGCTTCTCCTGGTCGAGGGGGGAGAGAAACAGTTTAAGGGTGCGGAGAAAGAAGGAGGGAGGGAGGGAGGGAAGGAAGGAAGGAAGGGAGAAGAAAAGAAGACAGGGAGGAAGGGGAGGAAGGGAGAAGGAAAGGTGGGAGAGAGGGAGGGAGAGAAGGAAGGAAGGAAGGGAAGGAGAAGAAAGAGAGGGAGGAAGGAAAGGAAGGAAGGAAGGACAGAAGGAGGAAAAGGAAGGAAGGAGAAGGGGAGAAGGAGAGGGGAGGAGGGAAGAAGGAGGGAGGGGAAAAGGAAGAAAGGAGGAAAAGGCAGGAAGGAAGGAAGGAAAGGAAGGGAGGGAGGAGGGGGAAGGAAAAGAGGGAGAGAGGGAGGGAAGGAAGAGAAAGAAGGAAGAAGAAGGAAAGGGGGAAGGGAGGGAGAAAGGAGAGGGAGGGAAGGAAGGAAAGGAAGGAAAGAAAGAAGAAAGAAAAGAAAGAAAGAAAGAAAGAAGAAAGAAGGAAGAAAGGAGGAAAAGGCAAGGAAGAAGGAAAGGGAGAGGAGGGGAAGGAAAGGGAGAGGAGGAAGGAAGGAAGGAAGGAAGGAAAGGAAGGGGGGAGGGAAGGAAGGAAAAAAGGAAGGAAGGAAGGAAGGAGAGGGAAGGGAAAGGAAGGAAAGGAGGGGAGGGAAGGAAGAAGGATGAGGAAGGAAGGAAAAAGGAAGGAAGAAGGAAGGAGGAAGGAAGGAAGGAAGGAAGGAAGGAGGAAAGGAGAAAGGAAGGAATGAAAGGAAGGAAGGAAGGAAGGAGGAAGGAAGAAGGAAGGGAGGAGGAGGGAGGGGGAAGGAAAGGAGGAGAGAGGGAGGAGGAGAAGGAAGGAGGAGGAGAGGGAAGGGAGAAGGAAGGAAGAAGGGAGGGAAAGGAGGGAGGGAAGGAAGGAAGGAGGAAGGAAGGAAGGGAAAAAGGGAGGAAGGAAGGACGGAAGAAGGGAGGAAAGGAAGGAAGATGGGAGGACAAAGGGGAAGGAAGGGAAGGAAGGAAGGAAGGAAGGAAGGAAGGAAGGAAAGGAAAGGAAGAGAGGGAGGGAGAAGGAAAGGAGGGAGAGAGGGAGGAAAGGAAAAAGGAAGAAGGGAAAGAAGGGAAGGAAGGAAGGAAGGAAGGAAGAAGAGAAGGAAGGAGAGAAGGAGGAGAAGGAAGGAAGAAAGGGAGGAAGGAAGGAGAAGAAGGAAGGAAAAGAAGAAGGAAGAAGGAGGAAGGGAGGAGGAAGGAAGGAAAGAAGGGAGGAAAGAAGGAAGGAAGGAGGAGGAAGGAAGGAGAAGAAAAGGAAAGGAAGGATGAAGGAAGGAAGGAAGGAAAATAAGGGATGGAAGGAGAGAAGGAAGGAACTATTAGGGAGGGACAGAGGGAGAGGTAGAAGGAAAAGAAGAAAAGAAAAAGAGGGTGGGTGGGAAGAAGGAGGGAAGGAGAAAGAGGAAAGAAAGAAAAGAAGAAGGAAGGGAAGGAGAAGGAGGAAAGAGAAAGGGATAGATAGAAAGTAAGAGAGGGAGGGGAGAAGGGGGGAAGAGGAGAGGGAATGGAAGGAAGGCAAATGGAAAGAACTGCAAACGGAAAACAGAAGGAAAAGAATGGCAATGTGGGGAACTTGCCCTGTTATTCCTTCCTGGTGACCTGTCAGTTGAGGTGGAATCAACTGACCAATAAGAGTGGTAAGGCCCCCCAAGTGACCCCTGGCCCTACCTAGAAGCAAGGTGGGGGGACCGGGACACGGATTGGGATTTGGACAGAAACACGGGACCGACACAGACACGCGACACAGACGCACCGTGTGAACCGGGCACCCGGGAGGCCTACCAAGTCCCAAAGGGCCAGTTGCCGCTCGCTCATCTTGCTGAAGCCGGTGGTGAAGACTTTGCCGTCGGCCAGGAAGATGGCGCGGACCGGGCGGGACCCTTCGTGCGGACGGGATTTCTCCTGGGTTAGCGGGTTAGGACAGAGACGGGCACAGAGGGACATAGGCGAGGACACGGTTAGTAGGCGGTCAGTGACATGACGGCAAGGGAGAAGGCGTGCATGGGCAAACTTTGGCCCTCCGGGTGTTTTGGACTTCAACTCCCACCATTCCTATCAGCCTACCGGCTGTTAGGAATGGTGGGAGTTCAAGTCCAAAACACCCGTAGGGCCAAAGTTTGCCTACGCCTAGTCTATGGGGAAGGACGAGCGGGGTGACACAATCGCGGTGATCACTCACCGCAACCACGAGGCGCTTCCGGGGGTCAATGATCCTCAGGCGTTTGTCCTTGCAAGTGGTGACCAAGAGGCTCCCGTTAGAGTTCCAGCAGACGTTATAGATGAGGTCGGAGTGGAGGTCGTCGAGGGTCAAGAGGGCTTCGCCCGTGCCCACGTTCCACAAGATGAGCACGTTGTCACCCCCTGGAAGAGAGGAAGGGGACAGGTCTTCGGTAGATTTAGCCTGACCACCATCCAAGTGAAGGCTTTCATTTGGGGACAATTCCATCCTAGATTATATGTGTTTCCTCCACCACAGACACCCCACTGAGCAGGAGACACCATGTTCCTCCCTCCACTGACATTGCAGGTTATGCCCACCACCCAAGGGAAGGCTTTAATATGGGGACAATTCCACCCTAGATTGTATGTGTTTCCTCCACCACAGACACCCCACTGAGCAGGAGACACCCATGTTCCTCCCTCCACTGACAGTGCAGGTTATAGTGAGCGCCATGAACATATCCTCCACCCAAGGGAAGGCTTTAATATAGGGACAATTCCATCCTAGGTTGTATGTGTTTCCTCCACCACAGACACCCCAGTGAGCAGGAGACACCCATGTTCCTCCCTCCACTGACAGTGCAGGTTATAGTGAGCGCCATGAACATATCCTCCACCCAAGGGAAGGCTTTAATATAGGGACAATTCCATCCTAGGTTGTATGTGTTTCCTCCACCACAGACACCCCAGTGAGCAGGAGACACCCATGTTCCTCCCTCCACTGACAGTGCAGGTTATAGTGAGCGCCATGAACATATCCTCCACCCAAGGGAAGGCTTTAATATAGGGACAATTCCATCCTAGGTTGTATGTGTTTCCTCCACCACAGACACCCCAGTGAGCAGGAGACACCCATGTTCCTCCCTCCACTAACATTACAGATTATAGTGAGCGCCATGAACATGTCTTCCATCAACACCACACTGCCCACCACCCAAGGGAAGGCTTTAATATGGGGACAATTCCATCCTAGATTGTATGTGTTTCCTCCACCACAGACACCCCAGTGAGCAGGAGACACCCATGTCCCTCCCTCCACTGACACTACCCACCCAAGGGAAGGCTTTAAAATGGGGACAATTCCATCCTAGATTGCATGTGTTTCATCCACCACAGACACCCCACTGAGCAGGAGACACCCATGTTCCTCCCTCCACTGACATTGCAGGTTATAGTGAGCGACTCCATCAACGCCACACTGCCCACCCAAGGGAAGGCTTTAATATGGGGACAATTCCATCCTAGATTATATGTGTTTCCTCCACCACAGACACCCCAGTGAGCAGGAAACACTCGTGTTCCTCCTTCCACTGACATTCCAGATTATAGTGAGCATCATGAACACGTGCAAGAGCCCTGCCTATGTCCTCCACCAACACCACACGGCCTACCACCCAAGTGAAGGCTTTCATTTGGGGACAATTCCATCCTAGATTTTATGTGATTCCTCCACCACAGGCATCCCAGTGTTTCTGACTCTTCATTGCTGTGGAATTTGCATGACCCACCCACCGCCTCTCCCTTAACTCTTTCCTGTTCTTTTATATAGCTTTGGTCTATAGCTTTCATTTGGGGACAATTCCATCCTAGATTGTATGTTTCCTCCACCACAGACACCCCAGTGAGCAGGAGACTCCCATATCCCTCCCTTCCCTGACATCGCAGGTTATAGTGAGGGCCATGAACATGTCCAAAAGACCTGCCCATGTCCTCCACCAACACCACATGGCCCACCACCCAAGTGAAGACTTTCATTTGGGGACAATTCCATCCTAGATTTTATGTGTTTCCTCCACCACAGACATCCCAGTGTTTCTGACTCTCCATTGCTGTGGAATTTGCATGACCCCACCCCCGCCTCTCCCTTCACCCTTTCCTATTCTTTTCTATAGCTTTGGTCTGCCCACCACCCAAGTGAAGGCCTTCATACAAGGATAATTCCATCTTAGATTTTATGTGTTTCCTCCACCACAGACATCCCATTGGTGTGGAATTTGCATGACCCACCCCCTGCCTCTCCCTTAACCCTTTCCTATTCTTTTCTATAGCTTTGGTCTGCCCACCACCCAAGTGAAGGCTTTCATACACGGACAACTCCTTCCTAGATTTCATGTGTTTCCTCCACCAAAGGCATCCCAGTGTTTCTGACTCTTCATTGGTGTGGAATTTGCATGACCCCACCGCCTGCCTCTCCCTTCACCCTTTCCTATTCTTTTCTATAGCTTTGGTCTGCCCACCACCCAAGTGAAGGCCTTCATACAAGGATAATTCCATCTTAGATTTTATGTGTTTCCTCCACCACAGACATCCCACTGGTGTGGAATTTGCATGACCCCACCCCCTGCCTCTCCCTTAACCCTTCCCTATTCTTTTCTATAGCTTTGGTCTGCCCACCAAAGTGAAGGCTTTCATACACGGACAACTCCTCCCTAGATTTTATGTGATTCCTCAACCAAAGGCATCCCAGTGTTTCTGACTCTTAATCGGTGTGGAGTTTGTTGGCACACAACAAACAGAGAAATTGATCAGCAACTGAACATACTAGAGAGGTTTGGGGAGAATTCACCGCGATTTGTAAGAGTTGGAGGTCCTGGGATGTATAGTTCACCGGCAATCAAAGAACTCCACCAACGATGCCCACAGAAGACCCATGGCCAACAAATCATACTGGAGGCCTTTGGAGGGATTTCTAATCTTATGGTGATAACAGTAATAGTAACGGGAAGTTCTGACCTGCGCTGAGGAGGATGTTGCGTGCCGTGGGGTGCCAGGTGAGAATCCCGACCCGCTTGGAATGTCCTTCCAGGGTGACCACCGGCTCCGTCATGTTGCGGGTCGGGATGTAATCCGGGATTTGCCAGACCTGCGGGAACAACGCAGCGCCCGTTTCAAGACAGCCAGGAAGAGAAGTGTGCACGCAGGGCTCAAAAAAAAATTGACACAAATGACCAGCCACGGCCAGAAGGGACAGAGAGATTCATCTATGCTGACGATCGCGCCATCACCACCCAAGCAGGGAACTTTGAAATGGTGGAACAGAAGCTCTCCAAAGATCTAAATGCTCTTATCGACTATTACTGGGGAAACCAGTTCATTCCTAATCCATCTAAGTTTCATCTATGCTGACGATCGTGCCATCACTGCTCAAGCAAGGAGTTTTCAAATGGCTGAACAGAAGCTCTCCAAAGCTTTAGATGCTTTAATTGACTATTACAGGGGAAACCAGCTGATTCCTAATACATTGAAGTTTAATCTATGCTGATGACTGCATCATCACCGCTCAAGCAGGGAGCTTTGAAATGGTTGAACCGCAGCTCCCTGAAGCTTGAGATACTCTTACTGCCTATTACAGGGGAAACCAGCTAATTCCTAATCCATCTGAAATGCAGAAGTGTGCTTTTCACCTTCAGAACAGACAAACATCTTGAGCTCTGAGGAAACAATCTATGCTGACGATCACGCCATCACTGCTCAAGCAAGGAACTCTGAAATGGTTGAACAGAAGCTCTCCAAAGTTTTAGGTGCTCTTATTGACTATTACAGGGAAAACCAGCTGGTTTCTAATCTATCTAAGTTTCATCTTTGCTGACGATCGTGCCATCACCACTCATACAGTGAGCTTTGGAATGGTTGAAGAGACACTCTCCAATGCTTGAGGTGCTCTTACTGCCTATTACAGGGAAAACCAGCTCATTCGTAATCCATCCAAAATGTGGAAGTGTGCCTTTCACCTTCAGAACAGACAAACATCTCGAGCTCTGAGTAAACTATCTATGCTGACGATAACGTCAGCATTGCTCAAGCAGGGAGCTTTGAAATGGTTGAACAGAAGTTCTCCAAAGCTTTAGGTGCTCTTACTGCCATTACAGGGAAAACCAGCTCATTTCTAATCCATCTAAAATGCAGAAGTGTGCTTTTCACCTTCAGAACAAACAAACATCTTGAGCTCTAAGGAAACAATCTATGCTGACGATCACGCCATCACCGCTCAAGCAGGGAACTTTGAAATGGCGGAACAGACGCTCTCCAAAGCTTTAGGTGCCCTAACTGCCTATTACAGGGAAAAACAGCTGATTTCTAATCTAAGTTTCATCTATGCTGATGATCATGCCATCACTGCTCAAGCAGGGAGCTTTGAAATGTCCAAACAGAAGCTCTCCAAAGCTTCAGGTGCTCTTACTGCCTATTACAGGGAAAACCAGCTGGTTCCTAATCCATCTAAAACACAGAAGTGTGCTTTTCACCTTCAGAACAGACAAACATCTCAAGCTCTGAGGAAACTATCTATGCTGACGATCACGTCATCATTGCTCAAGCAGGGAGCTTTGAAATGGTTGAACAGAAGCTCTCTGAAGCTTTAGGTGCTTTTATTGCCTATTACAGGGAAAACCAGCTGATTCCTAATCCATCTAAAACACAGACGTGTATCCCGAGCTCTGAGCATTACACCTGGGAAGGAATCCCACTGGAGCATCGCAGCACACCCAAACACCTGGGATTTACTCTGGACCGTGCTCTGATTTATAATAAGCACTGCTTGACTACCAAGCAAAAAGTGGGTGTGAGAAAGAATATCATATGAAAGCTGACTGGCACAACCTGGGCTTCATGACCAGACACAATGAAGGCATCTGCACTTGTGCTTTTGTATTGGATCACACATTGGACCCTTCCCAAGTGTCTAGGACTGTGTGATGCATTGGCAAATAATGCATCCGGGTGGCCTTTTGCAGCTGACAGATGGTAATTTTGTCAGCGCCGATTGTTTTTAAGTGCAGGCCAAGGTTTTGAAGCACTGCACCCAGTGTGCCGATCACCACTGGCACCACCTTGACTGATTTTGTAGTGCAATCGTGTCATATCAACTTTCACAGTTGCTTCTCATCTATTATTATTATTATTTATTATTATTATTATGACGCAAGGGGAGCAAAGTGGGAAGGACAAGGATGGAGGAGCTCTGTGGCGAGATTCTGGGATTTGTAGTCCCCAAACCCTCACCTTTTCCTGCCTGAGATGGGAAAAGGCCTTCTAATGGACCTTTTGGCAGCGTTTGGAAAGGAAGGAAACCTCCCGCGGTGGCTATTCTTAGGTGCTGAGTGGTGGTGGGTGGAGTATTTTTAGCCACAGAAAAAGAAAACGCTGCCTCATGCCTTTGTGGGGTGGGAACTTTCCTTCTCCAGTGGACGGAGAGACTTGGAACTACATGGAGAGCGTTTCCATTGTCCACGTTCTGTTTGTTGACATGTTTTGGCTGTATCCAAAAGGAGGAGGGCTGGAGTTGTGGTTTCCCAAGATCTTTGGCTTGTCCCTTGGCAAACTACAACTCCCAGGAGCGCTCACCATGACGGTGGTGTCCTCGGAGGCGCTGGCAATGACGTTGTCGTTGTGGGGGCACCAGTCGATGTCCAGCACCGGAGCCGTGTGGCCCGTGACCAAAGGGATGTTCTTGTCCACGCGGCCAGTCTGCAGAAAAGAGCAAAGAACACGCCTTAAACGTGGCCATAAAACTTCCACCAAAGGCCCTCCCAGTTTATAGCAAGCACCACAAACATGTCCAAAAGCCCTGTCAACGTCCTCCACAAGCACCACACTGCCCACCACCCAAGAGAAGGCTTTCATACAGGGACCATTTCATCCTAAATTGTATGTGTTTCCTCCACCACACGCACCCCAGTGTTCCTGACTCTCTCCATTGGTGTGGAATTTTCCTCCACAAGCACCATACTACCCACCACCCAGGGGAAGGCGTTCATACAGGGACCATTTCATCCTAGATTGTATGTGTTTCCTCCACCGCAGGCACCCCAGTGTTCCTGACTCTCTCATTGGTGTGGAATTTTCCTCCGCATGCACCATACTGCCCACCACCCAAGGGAAGGCTTTCATACGGGGACTATTTCATCCCCGATTGTATGTGTTTCCTCCACCACAGGCACCCCAGTGTTCCTGACTCTCTCCATTGGTGTGGAATTTTCCTCCACAAGCACCTTACTGCCCACCACCCAAGGGAAGGCCATTTCATCCTAGATTGTATGTGTTTCCTCCACCACAGGCAGCCCAGTGTTCCTGACTCTCTCCAGTGATGTGGAATTTTCCTCCACAAGCACCATACTGCCCACCACCCAAATGAAGGCTTACATACAGGGACAATTCTATCCTAGATTGTACATGTTTCTTCCACCACAGACATCTCAGTGTTCCTGACTCTCTCCATTGGTGTGGAATTTTCCTCCACAAGCACCATACTGCCCACCACCCGATGATGGACCTGGACCAAACTTGGCACACTTCTGGGATTTGTAGTTCACCCACATCAAGAAAAACTGTGACCTCCACTGATGATGCACCTTGACCAAACTTGGCTCACTTCTGGGATTTGTAGTTCACCCACAACAAGAGAAACTGTGACCTCCACTGATGATGCACCTTGACCAAACTTGGCACACTTCTGGGATATGTAGTTCACCCACAACAACAGAAACTGTGACCTCCACTGATGATGTATCTTGACCAAACTTGGCACACTTCTTGAATTTGTAGTTCACCCACAACAACAGAATCTGTGACCTCCACTGATGATGGACCTGGACCAAACTTGGCACACTTCTGGGATTTGTAGTTCACCCACAACAAGAAAAACTGTGACCTCCACCAATGACAGACCTGGAACAAACTCATCACACAGAATCCCCATGACTCACTCAACCTACTGCAGGAGTTTGAGGGGACTGACGCACCATAGTGGGAGTTGTAGTTTACCCTACAGCCAGGGAGCACTGGTACTGGGATGTATAGTTCACCTGCAATCAAAGAGCACTCTGAACCCCACCAGCGATGGACCTGGAACTAACTTGGCACACAGATCCCCCATGACCAACAAACATACTGCAGGCCTTTGCGGGGATTTATAGGAGTTGTAGTTCACCTGCATCCAGACAGCACTGTGAACGGAATCTGGACCAAACTTGGCACACAGAAGCAACGTAGCCAAGTTTGAATTTTTGCGAATTTTGGCCCCCAAATGTCAAAGGCCCCAATTCGATGACTTGCGCCAAGGGGAGGGCAGAGACAGTGTGACCTTGAGCGCAAGCGTTCGGGTAAACAAGCTTTGCTGGAAACCCGAGCCGTGGAAAAACTGACCCGTCTTTCGCTCCAACTTCCCGTCGTCATTTTAATTGTTCCTTGTGTGAGTGAGTCATGGAGTATTGTGAGCAGAGGGAGCAACTGGTCCCATCCGTCCGTCTCTCTCTCTGGGATGGGGAGAGGGCCAAGAGAGAGAAAGGAAGAGCCAAACAACCAAGGAAATCCAAGTGGTTTCCACACTACAAAGCCCAGCAGCCCTATAGGTGGCAGAGCCAATGTTTGGGAATGATGGGAGATCCCAATTCCAAAAAGGAAGGAGTGTCCGCTTTGCCGAATCCTCGCCAAGATGCTTCAAGGCCTCAAGGATTAGAGTTGTCTCTCAAATCAGAGAAAGAAGGAGAAAGAAAAGGGAAGAGAAAGGAAGGAGAGGAAGGAAGGAAGGAGTAGAAAAGGAAGGAGAAGACAGGAAGGAAGAGAAATTAACAAAGGAAAGAGAGGGGAAGAAGAAGGGAGAGAGGAAGGAAGGAAAAAGAAAAGGGAAAAGGAAGGAAGGAAGGAATAGAAAAGGAAGGAGAAGAGAGAAAAGAAGAGAAAATAACAGAGAGGGGAAGAAGAAGGGAGAGAGGAAGGAAGGAAAAAGAAAAGGGAAAAAAGGAAGGAGATGAAGGAAGGAAGGAATAGAAAAGGAAGGAGAAGAGAGAAAGGAAGAGAAAAGAATAGCAAAGGAAAGAGAGAGGAGGAAGAAGGAAGGAAGGAAGGAAGGAAGGAAGGAAGGAAGGAAGGAAGGAAAAAGAAAAGAAAAGAGAAGAGAAGAGAAAAGGAAGCAAGGAGATGAAGGAAGGAATAGAAAAGGAAGGAGAAGAGAGAAAGGAAGAGAAAAGAATAACAAAGAAAGAGAGAGAGAGAAGAAGAGAGGAAGGAAGGAAAAAGGGAAGGAAGGAAGGAAAAAGAAAAGGGAAGAGAAAGGAAGGAAGGAGATGAAGGAAGGAAGGAATAGAAAAGGAAGGAGAAGAAAGGAAGAGAAAAGAATAACAAAGGAAAGAGAGAGGAAGAAGAAGGAAGGAAGGAAAGGGGGGAAGAAAAAGGAAGAAGATGAATGAATGAAGGAAGGAATAGAAAAGGAAGGAGAAGAGAGAAAGGAAGAGAAAATAACAGAGAAAAGGGAAGAAAAAAGAGAGGGAAGGAAGACTGGAAAAAGAAAAGGGAAGGATAGAGAAAGGAAGGAAATGAAAGAAGGAAGGAATAGAAGAGGAAAGAGAAGGGAGAAAGAAAAAGAAAACAATAGCAAGGAGAAGGGACGAAAGAAGAGAGGGTAGGAAGGATAGGAAAAGAAAGGGGAAGAAAAAGGAAGGAGATGCAGGAAGGAAGGAATAGAAAAGGAAGGAGAAGAGAGAAAGGAAGAGAAAATAATAACAGAGAGAAGGGTAGAAAAAAGAGAGGGAAGGAAGGATAGAAAAAGAAAAGGGAAGGATAGAGAAAGGAAGGAGATGAAGGAAGGAATAGAAAAGGAAGGAAGGAGAAGAGAGGAAGAAAAAAGAAAAACAAAGGAAAGAGAGAGGGAGAAGAAGAGAGGAAGGGAGGAAGGAAGGAAGGAGAAAAGGGAAGAAAAAGGAAGATGAAGGAAGGAAGGAATAGAAAAGGAAGGAGATGAAAGAAGGAAGAAAAAGGGGAGAAGAAGAGAGGAAGGAAGGAAGGAAGGAAGGAAGGAAGGAAGGAAGGAAGGAAGGAAGGAAGGAAAAAGAAAAGGGAAGAAAAAGGAAGGTGATGAAGGAAGGAAGGAATAGAATAGGAAGGAGAAGAGAGAAAGGAAAAGAAAAGTAAAACAAAGGAGAGAGAGAGAGAAGAAGAAGAGAGGAAGGAAGGAAGGAAAAAGAAAAGGGAAGAAAAAGGAGATGAAGGAAGGAATAAAAAAGGAAAGAGAAGAGAGGAAGGGAAAAAAGAAAAACAAAGGAGAGAGAGAGGGGGAAGAAGAGAGGAAGGAAGGAAGGAAGGAAACCAAAGGGAAGGGGAAGAGTGAAGAATGGAGGGAATGAAGGGATAGAAATGAAAGGAGAAGAGAAAGAAGGGCAGGAGAAGGAAGGAAGAGGATGTGGAGCGGGGGCCTCGTGGGCTCACCTTGTGGAGCGGGAGGACCATGAAGGCGCCGCCTCCGCCGGACTCCACGATGATGGCCACGAACTTGGGGTTGACGGCGCAGAAGCCGCTGTCCCAGGTGACCTTGGAGACCCGGATGTCCTCGTACATCTGGTCCGCCTTGACCGGCTGCCCAAAGACGTGCCGGAACTTGCTCTGGCGCACCACCCGGCGACTCATGGCGGCAGAGGAGGGCCTTCTCGGAGGAAAATCTAGAGAAGAAGACAAAGGGGACCACGGGCAAGGACAACCTTCCAAAAAGCCAACACGTTTTCCTTGCCCAGCTGCTGATTTCTCCATTTCTAAGCCGAAGGGCCGGCGTTGTCCATAGACACCTCCAAGATCATGTGGACTGCATGACTGCATGGAGCGCCCTTACCTTCCCTATTGATCTACTCACATTGGCATGTTTTTGGAACAGCCTCAGGCCCCTTCCTTTTCCTCCTCAGCCGCTTATTATTACTACAAAGGATTCCCCCAGGCAGGAAGCAGCCAGGCTTTGCAGCTGCAAGGCCATTCAATGCTAATCAAGGTGGCCAATGGCAACCTTCACACTTGCCTCCAATAGACAAGAGTTCTTCCTTCCACCTCCCAGAAAAGGATTCTCCAAAGCAGGAAGCAGCCAGGCTTTGAAGCTGCAAGGCCATTCAATGCTAATCTAGCTGTCACACTTGCCTCCAACAGACAAGAGGTCTTCCTCCCACTTCCCAACAAAGGATTCCCCCCCCCCAAGCAGGAAGCAGCTGGTCTTTGAAGCTGCAAGGCCATTCAATGCTAATCAAGGTGGCCAGTGGCAGCATTCAAACTTGCCTCCAACAGACAAGAGTCCTTTCTCCCATCTCCCACCAAATGTTTGGGAATCGCAGTTCCCAAAGGATTTTCCCAGGAAGGAAGCAGACAGGCTTTGAAGCTGCAAGGCCATTCAATGCTAATCAAGGTGGCCAGTGGCAGCATTCACACTTGCCTCAAGCAGACAACAGTCCTTTCTCCCACCCTGGACACCATTCCACAGATTTATCAACCCCACTTGCCTAGTTTCCAACAGACCTCACAACCTCTGAGGATGCCTGCCATAGATGTGGGCGAAACGTCAGGAGAGAATGCTTCTGGAACATGGCCAGACAGTCTGGAAAACTCACAGCAAGCCAGTGATTCCGGAAATTGAAGTCTTCAACATCACATAATAATAATCAGATGAGGGGGGAAAGGAAGGGGCCTGAGGTTGTTAGGAATTGTGGGAGCCGGAGTCCAAAACACTTGGAGGGAGGGCTGAAGTTTGCCCAGGCCTGATCTAGACTGTATTTATTCCCTGGGGTGGAGATTTGTGTTTCAAAGCACACCAAGAGCAATGCTGTCACACTTGCCTCCAACAGACAAGAGTCCTTTCTCCCACCCTAGACACCATTCCACAAGTGAGTTTCCAAGCTTGGGTGTCCCTTCTCCCTTCTTGACCTACCTTACAGGGTCGTTGTGAGCATAAAGGTTGGGAAGAGGAGAGCCGCCTCGATGCCAGGGAAGGAAGGACACTGGGAAGGGAAGGGAAGGGAAAATACTGGTCAGTTGGTACCTCAGCAGAAGCCAGATTAGAATGGTTACCACTGGAAGGAATTTTCCAGAGGCAAAGATTGTATGTGTTTCCTCCACCACAGGCATCCCAGTGCTTCTCACTCTCTCCATTGCTGTGGAATTTACAGGATCCTGCCCAATGCCTCTCTGTTCACCCTTTACTATTATTTTCTAGCAAACAGATGAAGTGATCAGCAAATGAACATACTAGAGAGGCTTGGGGAGAGGAGTTGTAGGTCCTGGGATGTATAGTTCACCTGCACTCTGAACTCCACCAATGATGGACCTGGAACCCACTTGGCACACAGAACCCTCATGACAAACAAAGCATGCTGGAGGTCTTTGGGTGGATTTAGAGGAGTTGTAGTTCACTCACAACTCTTACTAGAGAGGCTTGGGGAGAGGAGTTGTAGGCCCTGGGATGTATAGGTCCTGGGATATATAGGTCCTGGGATGTATAGTTCACCTGCAATCTAAGAGCTGCACTCTGAACTCCACCAACAATGGACCTGGAACTAACTTGGCACTCAGAAGCCCCATGAACAACAAAACATACTGGAGGTCTTTCTAGGAGTTGTAGTTCACCTACATCCAGAGCACACTATGAACCCAAACAATGATGGATCTGGACCAAACTTAGCATGCATACCCAGTATGCCCAAATTGGAATACTTCTCTTTGGACGTATCATAAGCCCCTTTAAGTCTTTTTCGGGAGAAAAGAGCGGGGTATAATAAATAAACACAATAATAATAATAATAAGAAGAAGAAGAAGAAGAAGAAGAAGCGTTATTATTGTGTATTATGGGTCTGCAGTAAGAAACCAGGCTTTGAAGCTGCAAGGCCATTCAATGCTAATCAAGGTGGCCAATGGGAACATTCACGCCTACCTCCAATGGACAAGAGTCCTTTCTCCCACCCTGGACATCATTCCACAGGGATATAAACCCCACTTGCCTAGTTTCCAACAGACCTCACAACCTCTGAAGATTCCTGTCATAGATGGGGGTGAAACGTCAGGAGAGAATGCCCCTGGAACATGGCCGGGCAGCCCAGAAAACTTACAACAACCCAAAAAGCAGGGTGTAAATAAACACAATAATAATAATAATAATAATATACATCATCATCACCATCATCATTATTATTATTATTATTATTATTGTGTATTATAGGTCTGCAGTAAGATGCCAGGCTTTGATGCTGCAAGGCCATTAAATGCTAATCAAGGTGGCCAATGGGAACATTCACACCTACCTCCAACAGACAAGAGTTGGGTTGTTGTAGGTTTTTCCGGGCTATATGGCCATGTTCTAGAGGCACTTTCTCCTGACATTTCGCCTGCATCTATGGCAAGCATCCTCGGAGGTAGTGAGGTCTGTTGGAAGTAGGAAAATGGGTTCCTGCAGACCTCACTACCTCTGAGGATGCTTGCCATAGATGCAGGCGAAACGTCAGGAGAAAATGCCTCTAGGCCATGGCCATATAGCCCGGAAAAACCTACAACAACCCAGTGGTTCCGGCCATGAAAGCCTTCGACAAGACAAGAGTTCTTTCTTTTTTCCACCCTGGACATCATTCCATAGAGATATAAACCCACGTGCCTTCTTACTGCCTGGGGGAATCCTTTCTTGAGAGGTGATTAGCTGTCCCTGATGGTTTCTTGTCTGGAGTTCCTGTTATTCTTTCTCCCACTCTAGACATCCTTCCACAGATTTCCTAGTTTCCAACAGGCCTCACAACCTCTGAGAATGCCTGCCATAGATGTCAGGAGAGAATGCTTCTGGAACATGGTCAGACAGCTTGGAAAACGCACAACCATCCACTAATATATGTTGTAGAACAGTGTTTCTCAACCTGGGGGTCGGGACCCCTGAGGTCATGGGGATTCCATGTGGGAAGTTTGAGCCGATTTTATCATTGGTGGAGTTCAGAATGTTCTTTGATTGTAATGAACTAGAAATCCCAGCAACTACAACTCCCAAAAGTCAAGGTCTATTTTCCCCAGGCTCCACCAGTGTCCACATTTGCGCATATTGAGTGTTTGTGCCAAGTTTCATCCAGATCCACCAATGCATGAGTCCACAGTGCTCTCTGGATATAGGTGAACTACAACTCCCAAACTCAAGGTCAATACCCACCAAACCCTTCCAGTGTTTTCTGTTGGTCATGGGAGTTCTGTGTGGCAAATTAGGTTCAAATCCATCGCTGGTGGAGTTCAGAATGCTCTTTGATTGTAGGTGAACTATAAATCCCAGCAACTACAACTCCCAAATTACAAAATCAATCCTCCCCCAATGTGTTTGCATTGGGTATCTGTGCCCAGTTTGGCCCAGTGAATGAAGATACATCTTGCATATCGGATATTTACATTATGATTTATAACCGTAGGAAAATGAGTGTTATGAAGTAGCAACGAAAACAATGTGATGGTTGGGGGTCACCACAACAGGAGGGACTGGATTAAGGGGTCACGGCATTAGGAAGGTTGGGAACCACTGTTGTAGAATGAAGAGGTGTCACCCCACTTTGGTCCTGGGATGTCTAGTTCACCTGCAATCTAAGCGCACTCTGAACTCGATGATGCCGTGGGACGGGCGCAGCGTTGTCCCCACTTGAACTGCCAATGCGATGGAATGTTTTGGCCGGGGAGGCTCTAGGCCTAGCCACACACCACAAGCCCTACGATCCCGGATTATCCGAGTGTGCAAACAGTGTAGACGCACACTTTCCGACTCATCTAAGTGTCATCATAATACCCGAGGAAGAGTTAAGAGCCCAAAGGGCAGGACAAGGAAAATCCAAAAGCACCTGAGTCTGTGCCGGAATCCAGCCTCTCTTTTTGGCACTGCTTGGGCTTCCTTTCTCCTTCTCTTCTGGGGAGGCAGAAGGAGACAGACCCCCAAGTTCCCAATGGGGGGAATATAAGTTGGAAGAGCCCCCTCCCCCCTTTTTACCCCCTCCCCTCCCCCTCCCCCCTTCCTCTCCCCACTGGCGTCTATAGAAGGCAAGGCGCTGCGGCGCGCAACCCGGAGGTCACTTTCCTAATATAGCCTTTTTGCCTCCTGCTTTGGTCCTGCGGCGGGGTTTGGGGGTGGGCTGGGCAGCGGATTTCCAAGCCTGGGTGGGGGGAAAGGGCCCCACGCGAGACTCAGGACCCTCCCCGACCTGGCCATGCCCCCAAACCCCCCAGAACCCCGCGCTGAAGGGGGGCCAGGGGCTCGGGAAGAGGGTCCCCCCCGGGCTCTCCATTTGACGCACCGCGCCAGGGCGCACGGCGAAGGCGCACCGAGCTGGGGAGGCCAAGGGGGCCGCCTTGGAGCCTCTCCTCGGGGACTTACCGCCTTGCCCGGGTGGAAGGGGTCTCCGGGGGGGGCTTGGGGGGGCTCTGGACTACTCTCCCCCCGGTCCTTGCCCCTTTCTGCCGCCGCAAAGGAGCCCGCGAGAGGCGGCTTTCTCGGGTGCTGCGCCCGCCTCGCTTGGCGGCTCCACGAGAGAGACACAGAGAGAGAGAGAGAGAGAGAGAGGCCGGCTGAATGCCGCAGCTGCCACCCCTCCTGCCAGTCCCGCCCGAGGCCCCCCAGTTGGGGCGACAGCTGACGGGAAGGAGGGGCCACCCGGACCCCCACCCCCTCGCCGCCCCGACAAAGGCCACCCACCGCTTTTGGGGGGAGAGGGCCGGCGCCCCCGCCTCTCTCCTCCTGTCTGTCTTTCCTTCCTTCGTTCCTTCCTCCCTCCCTTCCATCTTCCTTCCTTCCTTCTTCTCCACCATTCCTCTCCTCCTTCTCTATCCCTCTTTCCTCCCTCCCTTCTCTCTTTCTTCCCTCCTTCCTCTCTTCCTTCCCTTCCCCTTCCTTTCATTCCCTCTATGTTTCTACTGTCACCCCAAAACCATTCTTACTCTCCTTTCTTTGAGTGGTCATACAATAATATCATCTTCCTTCTTTATCCATCGCTTCCTCCTTTTCTTGCTCTCCTCAGTTCCGCTCTCTTCTATCTCTTCACTTGTCCCTCATTTTCCCCTTTATATCCCTCTGCTTCATTCTTCTTCATCTCACTCACTTACTGTCTCATTTTTTGCTTTTCCTCCCCAATAGGTTGCTGATCTGTTAGTGGTTTCCTCCCTTCTCTCCTTCACTTCCTCTTCTCTTCTATCCTCCTTCCCTTCCCTCGTGTCTTTCCTTCTCTATCCCTCTTTCATCCCTTCTTCTCTCCCTCAATTCCTTTTTTCCCTCCTTTCCTCATCTTCCCTTCTTTCTCCATCCCTCTTTTCTCCCTCCTCTTCTTTCCTCTTTCCTTTCCCTCATTTCCCTCCTTCTCTATCCCTTTCCTCCCTTCTTCTTTTACTTCCTTTCCCTCACTTCTTTCCTCCTTCTCTATCCCTCTTTCTTCCCTTCTTCTTCTCTCCTTCGCTTCCTTTCTCCTTCTTTCTTTCCTCCTTCCCTTCCCTCATCTTCCCTTCTTTCTCCATCTCTTTCCTCCCTTTTTCTTCTCTCCCTCACTTCCTCTTTCCTTCTATCCTCCTTCCCTCCCCTCATTTCTTTCCTTCTCTATCCCCCTTTCATCCCTTCTTCTCTCCCTCAATTCCTTTCTTTTTTCCTCCTTCCCTCATCTTTCCTTCTTTCTCCATCCCTTTCTTCCCTTCTCCTCTCCCTCACTTCCTTCCTTCCCTTGTCCTTTCCTTCCCTCTCCCTCGTGTCTTTCCTTCTTCTCTATCCCTTTCCTCCTTTCTTCTCCTCTCCCTCACTTCCTTTCTCTTTCCTTCTATCCTCCTTCCCTTCCCTCATTTCTTTCCTCCTTCTCTATTCCTTTCCACCCTTCTCCTTTTCCCCCTCATTTCCTTTCTTTCCTCCTTCCCGTCCCTCATTTATTTCCTCCCCTCTCCCTCACTTCCTTTCTCCTTCTCCTCTTCCTTCCCTCATTTTTTCCTCCTTCTCTATCCCTTTCCTTCCTTCTTCTCTCCCTCACTTCCTTTCTTTCCTTCTATCCACCTTTCTTTCTCTTCCTCATTTCTTTCCTTCTTCTATATTCCTTTCATCCCTTCCCCTCACTTCCTCTTTTCTTCTATCCTCCTTTCCCTTCCCTCTCCATTTTTCCTTCTTCTCTATACCTTTCTTCCCTTCCTCTCTCTCTCACTTCCTTTCTCTTTCCTTCTATCATCCTTTCTTTCCCTCTCCATTTCTTTCCTTCTCTTTATCCCCTTCCTCTCTTCCTTTCTCTTTCCTTCCCTCCATCATTTCTTTCCTTCAGTCATCCCTTCTTCCCATCCTTTCTCCTGCTTTCCTTCTCTTTCCTCCTTCTCTATCCCTCTTTCCTCCCTTTTCTTTCCCTCCCTCTTTACCTCTTCCTCACTTTCCTTCTTTCCTTCCTTCTTTTCCTTCCCTCTCCCTCAGTTCTTTCCATTTACATTTTTCTTCTGGTCTTAGGAATCCCTTTGGCATAGTCATTTGGATTCACAGGGCTCTCCGGATGGAGGTGAACTACACCTCCCTTAAATATCTGTCAATTCATCCCAAATCCCTCATGTTTTCTGTGGGTCATGGGGGTCTCCGTGTGGGAAGTTTGGACCAAAACTATCATTGGTAGGGTTCAGAATGCTCTTTGATTGTAGGTGAACTATACCTCCCATCAACTACAGCTCCCAAATGTCAAGGTCTATTTCCCCCAAACTCCACCATTGTTCACATTTTGGCACATTGAGTATTTGTGCCAAGTTTGGTCCACATCCATCATTGTTGGGAGTCCACAGTGCTCTCTGGAGGTAGGTGAACTACAACTCCCAAACTCAAGGTCAATGCTCACCAAACCCATCCAGTATTTTTTGTTGGTCGTGGGAGTTGTGTGTGTGCCAGGTTTGGTTCAATTCAATCATTGGTGGAGTTCAGAATGCTCTTTGGTTGTAGGCGAACTATAAATCTCAGGAGAACCTAAAGCAGTGTTTCTCCACCTGGGGATCAGGACCCCTGGGGGTGGTCATGAGGGGGGTGTCAGAGCGGTTGCTAAAGACCATCTGGAAACAGTATTTTCTGTTGGTCATGGGGATTCGATGTGGGAAGTTAGGCCCAATTCCATCACTGGTGGGGTTCAGAATTCTCTTTGTAGGTGAACTATACATCCCAGCAACGACAACTCCCAAATGCCAAGGTTTATTTTCCCCAAACTCTAACAGTGTTCATATTTGGGCATTTTAAGTATTTGTGCCAAGTTTGGTCCAGATCCATCATTGTCGGAGTCCACAGTGCTCTCTGGAGGTAGGTGAACTACAACTCCCAAATTCAAGGTCAATGCCACCAAACTCTTCCAGCTGGTCATGGGAATTTTGTGTGCCAAGTTTAGTTCAGTTCTATCATTGGTGGAGTTGAGAATGCACTTTGATTGTAGGTGAACTACAAATCCCAGCAACCACGACTCCCAAGCCCACCAATATACAAATTTGGGTGTATTGGGTTTTTGTGCCAAATTTGGTCCTGTGAATCAAAATGCACCCTGGCTATCAGATATTTACATGGTGATTCATAATAGGAGCAAAATGACAGTAGCAACGAAAATAATGTTATGGTTGGGGGTCACTACAACAGGAGGAACTGGATTAAGGGGTTGCAGCATTAGGAAGGCTGAGAAACGCTGTTCTAGGTCCTCAAGTTGATTCTATGGAATGCCGCAGAGTTGGGTTGGAGACTTCCTATGCTGCGTTTCGGCCCAAATTGGGAGCCTTTGGAGGGGATACTCTCTGCACATGCTCAAGGGTCCTCTTGGACGTTGAGAAATGTTGCCCTACGGTTTTCTTGGCAAGTTGTGTCTGTGTACATTTGCCTTCCTCTGAGAGAAGACAAATGTACACAAGCCGAGAGAGTGTGACTTAAAGGTAAATGTTTTCGCCTGACATTAAGTCCAGTCGTGTCCGACTCTGGGACTCTGGTGCTCATCTCCATTTCTAAGCCAAAGAGTCGACGTTGTCCATAGACACCTCCAAAGTCATGTGGCCAGCATGACTGCAAGGAGCGCCGTTACCGACCTATTGATCTACTCACATTTGCATGTTTTCGAACTGCTAGGTTGGCAGAAGCTGGGGCTGACTTACCCAAGGGGTTTTCCACGGCCAAGGAGAGATTACAAGACACAGAAGCCCTGAGATTTTTGAAGTGTGTCAGGAACCATGTTGACAGAATACTGACGATCAGATGAAGCAATTCCCACCTTTGTCTGCCCCACAGATGCCCACTCTTCCCCAATCCAGACCAAGAGGCGCCGGGTTTTCTCAAAATAAAGATTTATTCCGTAACAAGAACATTGAATCAGCACCCGTCGGGCGAGAGAGAGAAAGAGAACTCACATTGAAAAACAGCTCCAAATCGTGTCGGTCAAAGTCTATGGTACAACAAGCCACTGTCAGGAAGGGAAAAGAGCAAGGTTATGGGGAGGACATGAAAGAAAAAGGGGGTTCTGCCCTGTCCTATCAAGAATTTGCCCCCCCTCCCCAAAATGAAGTGCCAGGACCCCAGCTTGGCTGGAAGAAGGCACCAAAGCCCTGTAATAATGAGACACTGTTGTCCAAAATGACGATATTCCAGTTGGAGGGTGCCGAACCCATTGATTCCAACCTGCTATGAAGGCCTTCCGGGGAGCGGAAAAGAGAAACGTGGGCTTGAAAAGGGGATTTCAAGGCGGGATCAAGCCCTTGGTGCCGAGTTCCAGAGGCGGTACGCATGACGGGGTTTTGAAAGGAAGTTTGGGGGCAATTTCCCATCTTGGCTCAAGACATCGTGGCACCGGAGTAGGGCTTTATGGCGTGGCTGCCCATCCAAAGGGAAGGAAAGGAAGAGGAGAACGTAACAAGGGGGGTTAATAGCAAAGGTATAGAAAAATCCCATTCCCCAGGTTTTGAAAACCAACAAAAATCCAGGGAGAACGCACCATCTGATCAAGACGGGAGCTTTCGATGCACGAGTCAAGGAGAAATGGATGATATAGAAAATATTATCTATATATTTATACACACACACACACAATGTAATACTTTGTGCACACACGCACACACACAGTCGTTCACCCACATAAACACACACATGGCTCTTTGTGCAAGGCCCGTTTCGAGGATTTTACAGTACAAGGGAGGAACTGAGAAAAAGGGGGGGGGGGAAATGGAGGGAGAAGCGGAAAGTCATCTGCAAACAAAGGTGGGAAATAGAGGGTCGAAGATGACAAAGCGGAAGTCATCCGCGAACAAAAGGGAAAATGGAGGGTCGAAGATGACAAAGCGGAAGTCATCCGCGAACAAAATTGGAAACTGGAGGGTCGAAGATGACAAAGAGGAAGTCATCCGCGAACAAAAGGGGAAACTGGAGGGTCGAAGATGACAAAGAGGAAGTCATCTGCAAACAAAATTGGAAACTGGAGGGTTGAAGATGACAAAGAGGAAGTCATCCGCGAACAAAATTGGAAACTGGAGGGTCGAAGATGACAAAGTGGAAGTCATCTGCGAAGAAAAGAGGAAAATGGAGGGTCAAAGATGACGAAGCGGAAGTCATCTGCAAACAAAAGGAGGGAAATGGAGGGTTAAAGAGGATGAAGTGGAAGTAATCTGTGAGCAAAGGTTTTCATGGGTTAGAAGGAAGGATCCATACCAGTCTTGAAGAATGCCCTTTGGAAAAAGAACAGCAGCACAAAAATTGTAACTCGTTTCCCTCCCCCTCGGCAAAAGGATCTAACTTGGGGTATTCAGATGGAGACTTGGCGTTCCAGTTTCGATTTTGGGATCCAGATGGAGGCAGAAAAAGTCTCCTTTTCCTTGACAGAAAGAGAGCTTGGGGTTCTGTTTCCTGGAAGGGACATAAAAGGACACCCCTAAAGTCTCCCTCGTGCCCGAGAAAAGGAACTGAAGAACGGAAAGGCACAGATTTGGCTTCCGGAGGCCTTGGTGAGGTGCGGAGAGGTTTTTCCCGTCCCACTCCGATATGAAATCCATTCAGAAAAAAAACCCTTGGCAAAAAACGAGAGACAAGAACGTGAAAATAAAGGCAGGGTGAACCACGAATTCCATAGGGGATGCCTAACAAATAGATGGCCAGAAAACACTCTCAAAGAAAGGGAGGGATGGAGAGGGGAAAGTCCCAAAAAGAAGCAAATGCCCAAACAATAGAAAAACGGATGAGGCACAAGAGATGACCAAGGTGGACAACTGGGGAAGGCAAAGGGGCCGCAACAGACCTTGGAGGACTTCACCCCTCCATTATCCCCCCCCCCAAAAGAAACCATTTGCCCCAAAATGCCTTTTAGGAGTGTGAGAGGCTATTTCGGCCATGTTTTTAGGCTGAGAGAAGAAATTCCTGTTCGTAAAGAGGGACTAAAACGGCCCAGATGCCCCTCAAAACAAGCCGAAAATAGCCCAATGTTTCCAAGAGGGCATCATACACACATACATATATATATTTAAAACCCTTTTTTTTGGGGGGGGGGGGGTTGTATGTAAATAGAAAATTCAGCAGAAACAAACGAGACATCCCTAAAATTATTTTGAGGAGGGGGATCAATAAGAGAGTGCAGACGTTTTGGCACAAAACATCCTGACAAAATAAAAACAAAGCAAGACAAACACGGCGGGAGGAGGAGACGGAGACATGGCCATGATTCGGATATTTCAGAGGAATTCGGATATTCCAGTTTACGACGGAGATCCAGGAGGAAAGCTCCTTCCGCAAAAGAAAAGACGAGACCCCTCTTCCAAAATAAAAGTTATCTACATCGGTTCTGTTATGTACAGTGTACGAAATTGTTTTGCCCCTTCCTCTTTGGACTTGAAGGGTTGAAATGATGGGCACTCTTTAGGCAAAAGGGTCTAGGGATGAGAGAGGAGGGAAATATATATATATATATTTATATATCTATATATCTATTTATATCTATAAAGTCAGTTTCTCTCAAACAGAAAAGAGGGCGTCTTGACGACGATTTGTAACTTGGGGAGAACCCAAAGGGAAAACGACGTTGTCGCAGAATCGAGATTTTTTTTTTAAAAAAAAAAGCAAACTCAAAAAGGCCCCCAGTTTTATTCAAGTAATGAAAGGGCTTTTAAAAAAAGTAAAATAAATAAAAAAGAGGTTTGTTTTAAGAGAACACGCTCCTTCCAAAAGTTTTTCTGTATCTCTAAATTTGAATTGGGAAAAACTTGCTCGCAAGCCCATCACCTGCCTTCTCCATTTGTGAATGGATTTTCCTAATTCTCGAATCCGGGACGGGAAGCGTGTGATCTTCCGAGATGTGATTCCCAAGTGAATTTGTCCAGTCCAAGGAGACTTTTTTTTGCCTTGGGGCCAGGAGGGAACACGCTGGGTGGGGAGGGTCCGGCATAGGACAAGGCAGGGCCCGGTCATCCTCAGCTTGTCCTCCCAGCATGAGGATGGGGCTGCTCGTTCCATCTTTATGCCGGGAGGAAGGTGGGACCATGCAGCGACTGCCCCGATTCTCCTTCCCATCCTCCTCCCCTGATCCTCAGGCTCTCCTCTTCGCAGGGAGGAGGGCGGGACAAGCAGTGTTCGGGGGGCAAGGGTCTCAGCAGCAGCATGCTTTCCTCGAGCCATCCTCCTGGCATGAGTATGGGGTCACTCGCACCATCCTTCTGCCAGGAGGAGGGTGAGAAATACAACGGATGAGAGCGTTTTGGAGAGCTCTCAGCCGCAGCTTGTCTTCCTCGAGCCGTCCTCCCGCCATAAGGATGGGGGTCACTCACACCTTATGCCGGGAGGAGGGTGAGAAACACAGCGGTTGAGAGTGCTTTGGAGGGCTCTCAACCGCTGTGTGCCTTTCTCGAGTCATCCTCCGAGCATAAGGATGGGGTCATTCATGCTGTCCTTATGCAGGGACGATGGTGAGAAACAGTGGCTGAGAGTGCTTCAGAGGGCTCTCAGCCACGGCGTGCATTCCTCGAGCCGTCCTCCTGGCATAAAGATGGGGTCACTTGCATCGTCCTTTTTCCAGGAGGAAGGCAAGAAAAACATTGGCTGAGAGTGCTCCGGAGGGCTCTTTAGCTGCCGCGTGCCTTCCTATAGCCGTCCTCCTGGCATAAGAATGGGTCGCTCACACCTTATGCTAGGAGGAGGGTGAGAAACACAGTGGCCGAGAGTGCTCTGGAGGGTTCTCAACCACTGCGGGCTTTCCTCAAGCTATCCTCCTGGTATAAGGATGGGATCACTCACACCTTATACTGGAAGGATGATGAAAAACACAGTGGCTGAGAGTGCTCTCAGCCACCACATGCTCTCAGCCACCTCAAGCCATCCTCCCGGCATAAGGATTGGGGGTGTGTGTGTGTGAGAAAAACAGTGGCCAAGAGTGCTCTGGAGGGCTCTTGGCTGCTGCAGGCCTTCCTCGAGCAATTCTCCCGGCATAAGGATGGGGTCACTCACACCTTATGCCGGGAGGAGGGTGAGAAACATAATGGCCGAGAGTGCTCTGGAGAACTCTCAGCCACCGCGTGCCTTGCTCGAGTCGTCCTCCTGGCATAAGGATGGAGTCACTTGCACCATCCTTATGCCGGGAGGAAGGTGAGAAACACAGTGGCCGAGAGTCTTTGGAGGGCTCTCAGCCACAGCGTGCCTTGCTCGAGCCGTCCTCTCGGTATAAGGATGGGGTCACTCACACCTCATGCTGGGAGGAGAGTGAGAAACACAGTGGCCGAGAGTGCTTTGGAGAGCTCTCAGCCACCGCGTGCCTTCCTTGAGCCATCCTCCCGGCATAAGGATGGAGTCACTTGCACCATCCTTATGCCAGGAGGAGGGTGAGAAACACAGTGGCCAGGAGTGCTCCAGAGGGTTCACAGCTATTACATGCCTTCCTCCCACATATTTTTGGCATAAGTATGCGGCGGGCCACTGTGTCTTTATGCCAAGAGGACAAAGAAAATGAGGAGGACCTGAAATGAGCATCTGGTCCACGGGCCTTAGTTTGCCCATGCCTGCTTTAGGACACCCAGAAGCTGAAAGAACTGGCAGATCGTCCATAGGAATAAGGATAATTTGGCACAAATATTATCAATATTTTTGCCCTCTGCATACCCACTAGGATTGTACAATGAAACAAGACAAAGAGTTCAAAGCAAACATGGAGATGCTCAGGATCTTTCCACTGTCTAACCACTGACTAACTGATAAGACAGAATTTTGAAACAAAAGAACCTCAAATAGCACCACGTAACTCCATATGAGGAAGGAAAATGCAGAGCAAAGGACGGGAAAGACCTGGTTTCCCCCCTTCTTGAGGAGGATGTTCTCTTAAGACAAAGCCCTCAAAACCAAAACCACTGCTGAAGTTTATCAATTTCCAAAAAACCAAAAAAAAAACCCACGTTTTTTTAATATGAAAATATCAAAAACCAAAAAAAAATTGAAACCCTGTGATATTGCAGTCGCTTGCATGGGGAAGAAGAGGGGACACCACGATGAAACTGGCCACCTCGAAATCTACATGCAACAAGAACGGTAAAAATGAACAAACATATATATATGGGGGGGGGGGGGAGGGGGAGAAATATAAAAAAATTATCCTAACTAATAAAGTGCATGTCTCAATATATATTACATCTGCCCCATTTGAAGAACATAACAAGGAGGTTGCCAAAATTTGGGGGGAAGGAGAAAGAGGACCCAAGTTCACATGGTATTGTACAGTGGGTTGGTGGTACGCTTGCGGTCGCTCGCTTTCCGCGGTCTTCTCGGAGGTCGAGTTCGACTGTGTGGATACCGAGGGAGGGCCGGGACAGCCGCGGATACCGAGGGCATTGCAGCCGTTTGGGTGCTAGTCAATTTGGCGTCTGGGAGTGCCTGGGCAGGATTGAACTCTTTGGTGTATTGGACCAAAGGCCTCTCCACCGGGCTGCTCAGAGCAATGCGCTCCGTCAGTTTGAGCGGTTCCACTAAATGCACTGTGGGTTGGGGCGACAAGGGGGCGGGCGCCGGGGCGGAAGAGCTGGGATCCCCACGCCCCAACGCCGGGAGAGCGTCTCTCCCGGGCAAGTCATCTTTCGACAAGTTCAGGCGATCCAGCTTGGCCAAGGAGGCGGAGCGCTTCATGTGGGACGGGGCGGTGAGGCCTGCTTGCCGGACCCGGGTGCCCAACTCCTTGGCGTGGCGCTTGGGGCCTTTGAGATCGCCACCGCTAAATCTGCGGGGCAGGGGGAGGCAAAGCGGGGAGGTGGCGGATGCGGATCCTTCCGGGGGCCGCCCCGCCGCCATGGCTCCCAACGTGCGAGGCGAAACGAAGTCCTCTTGGCTCCAGTGCGTCAAGGTGCCCTCGCTCCCCCGGCGTAGCGCACCTCCTCTCTCCTTGAAGGCAAACTGTCCGTTCCCGGCATAACCCTTCCGGGGCGTTGGGTCGGGATCCGAGCTCGAGCTGTCCTGAGTGACGCCCTCCAAGCGGAAGAGGGGCGGGCAGTCCCAACACAGCACGGGTGGACATCTTGCCTGCTTTGTGCACGAAGAAGCCATACCCAGAGTCTTCTCCTCCTCCACTTGCTCCTCAGGACTACTCAAGGAGAAGACGGCTTTCCTCGGATTCCCACTGTTGAGCTCGGAAGGTCTGAGCGAAAGCGATGCTTCGATGAGATCCTGGGAGCACGAGGCCGCATTGCAGTTTTCATCCACCACCGGGGAGATTGCCCCCACCTTGTTTTTCTCCAACGCCTCTTGCACGCCACTCCTGTCCGCCGTGGTTACGTCCAGGGTCCTGACCGCGTGGGTGTACTCGATGATCTCGATCCTTTTGGGGAGGAGTAGGCGGCAAGGAGCCGAGCTCTTCTCCTGGCTTTCCACAGAAGCCATCGTCCTCTGCTCTTTGGCCAACCATGTCAGCTCAGCGGATAGCGAAGGAGAGGAAGGCCTTTCGGTGGACTGTTCAGAACGACTCCCGTTCCCAGCATTGGCAGCTCTCGAGGCCTCCTTGGAGAGCTGGGTCTGTTCCGGAGAGGGCTCTTCATTCTTGCCCTTCGCAGAGAGGTCGGCTGCCGTGGACTCGTTCTTCGAGTTCTTCCGGGTGGGTAAGGCGGCAGCGGGGCAAGCGTTCTGCAGCTCTTGCTCCTGCCTCAAGCGCTCTTCGAACTCAAGGGTGGCCCGCCGTACTGAACCTGGGCACCATTTCGGTCCAGGATTGACGTGACCCTCCGCCCGGCCTTCTGCCAAGTCACCGCTTTCTTCCGGGTCTGGCTTGTTGGAAGGATCCTGAGGGACAATAACCGGCTCTTGATCGAGTTTCAAAGGCAAGTCTCTCGCCACTTCTTTGGGGACGGAGCCGCCTCCCTCGCTTGGCTCGGCTTTCCCAGGCTTGCCTTCCCAGGCCCAGACCGATTCTGCAGATAACTCGTGGACGGTGTTTCTCTTTGGTGCTGGAACCGGGTTGTTCAAAGCATCCGTCTTCGCTTGGCCTGCTCCCTGGTGGATCGACTCAATTTCCGTGACTATTTCTTTCACCGAGATGGCGTTTTCCGAATGGGATCGCGTCAGGCCACAAACCTTGAGGGGGATGGGAAGAGAAAGCAAAAAGACAAAGAAAAGAAGCATGAAGTCTCGGCATAAAGTAAAGGCAAAGGTTTCCCCGACATTAACCGCCCCAAGACCTTTTCTATCGGGAATGTGTTTCTTTTACAACCCGAAAGACAGTTGCATCTGTCAAGTAGGAAAATTAGGTACCACCTTAAAGTGTGGGGAGGCTAAATTAACTGATTTATGAGGCCATAATGAAGACTCCAGCAGAGCATTCCAGCAGGGAAGCATGCGGGGAATGCGGAAGTGCTTCATCAGTGTTGCAGATGGACGATGAAAGCGACAGCTCCCCTGGCGGCCAGAAAAAGTTAAATAGCCTCTGTGTATGTCTGTATAGGTTGGTATGTTAAAAATTGGCATTGAATGTTTGCCATATATGTGTACACTGTAATCCGTCCTGAGTCCCCTGCGGGATGAGAAGGGCGGAATATAAAAGCTGTAAATAATAATAAATAAAAAAATCTACTTCAATAAATATTTTTGAAGCTAAAGTTCTGACTCTGCAATTTTGTGCCGTCCCAAGAATAGAAGCGCATCCCAGTTTCACCACAGGTAAGTTTCTGCTGGTTACGAAGTTTACTTCTGGTACTCTGCTATGTTTATGGTGGAATCACCCCAACTGAGGGTTATTTTGAACCTAACAGCTCAGAATCACCAAGGGTTATGGGCCCAGCACGCTTCCGTTGCATCACTTTGCTATATTTATAACTAGCTGGGTGGACTGGCTGAAAATGGGGTTTGAAAAACTCATGTAGTTGCTTCCTTCTCTTTCCCAACTCAAGACAGGGGTATCAGCAATGGTTTTTTCCAGTTTCATTGTGTTTCTGCAAGAACCGCATGTTTGGAACTCAATGTGTCAAGCTTTCCAGAAGGCCAGATGAGACACAGTTGGTTTGAAGACAAAATGGGAGGCTTACTATCAATGGCCAAAGAGGATGTCAGCAGAGACAGCACCCCAAAGAACTGACATATCATAATTGTGAACATACAGATTTTTATAGCACTTTAACAGCTATTCATGTCTACTGTGCTGGCTTCTGAATGGTTCAAAAAGTGATTGGCTGGGATTTGCTCCCTTGTTGCTCTGGAGCTCCATCCAACGTATTCGCTGGTTGGTCCCTGCCATGGCGAGAGATTTTAATAAATGGTCATTGGATTATTTTAATATAACTAGCTGTCCCCTGCCATGCGTTGCTGTGGCCCAGTCTGTGCAGTTGTGTTTTGAGTGTGTATATATTTGTGTGTATGTGTCCATTGCAGGCGTGATTGGTGGGGACGAGGGAGAGGGCCTTCTCGGTGGTTGCCCCTCGACTCCGGAACTCACTTCCCAAGGACATCAGGCATGCCCCAACCCTGGCTGTCTTTAGGAGGAGGAGCCTGAAAACGTGGTTGTTCCAGTGTGCCTTCCCAGAATAAGGAAATTCCCAGCAATATGTCCTAGAAATGTGTCATCAAAAATAGCCATGCGTGTCAGTGCTGACACGCGTGTCATAGATTCACTATCACAGGCCTAGGGAGATAAATTGCCTATTGAAAAAATAATAGCATTTCCTTTCCCACGTTTTGTACCTTTAGCTGGTCGTCCTCCAGAGAAGATTCCTCCGATGCCTGTGGGGAGTTTCCTGCAGAGTTGTTTCTTGGCCGAGCCTCTTCCGTGGCTTCCGAGGGCGACAGCTCCAAGGCAGAGATCCTGGAGAGGCCGTTCCGGTTGCCGACTTGCTCCTCCGTCCTGGAATGGGAGCACGCTCGGGGCCGGCTCTCCTGAGAGAGCTCCACAAACTTCTCCAAGGCGCTGAAGAAGTCGATCCGGTCGGCCCCAAAGTCAGCCTCCTGCCCCTCGGGTTGCGTCGGCACAATGGCCAGCGTTGGCGGGCTGGGAGAGTTCTGTCCGGAAACGTCTCGCAAGCAAGACTCCAGCTCTTCCATGGGCATCAAGTGAACGTTCCCGTCTCCTTGCTTGAGGGCGTCGCTTTCCAAATCCTCTACCGCCAAGTCCGGGAATCCGGCGCCCACCTCCAAGGCCCCTCCTTGCTGCAGTAAGGCATCCGACGCATCGCAATTGTCCAAAGGGAACGGAGCGTCGTCCACGCAACACCCGGAAGGGCAGCCGTTGAGGTTGTTCAAGTTCAACTTGTCCTCCATCTGCTCGGTGTTGTAGTCTCGCGACGATATCTCCAGCTGGATCACCCGCTCCTTGTTGCACAGGTTTCCTAAGAGATTGGGGCCGGAATGGCACAGGGGTTCAAGGGGAGGCCCGGCGGGGAGGCCCGGCAACGTTGGCGCGTGTTGGAGGCAATTGGAGATCTTGTTCTCCGAGATCTGGTCGGCCGAGGTCGTGATCTCCTTCTTGCTGACCTCCATCCCAGATTTGCCCATGGGCTCATGGTGGTCGGAGAGATCGCTGTCCGAGTGCGAGCGCCACAACTTGTTGTGCCTCTGCTTGCTGGGGGGAGAGAAAAAAAACTGGGATTAAGATGGGCTCCAAGCCTGGCTTAAGATACAAACAAAGGAGGGAAAACACAGTTGTGTCTCGGACAGGATTAGGCCGAGAAAGATACAAATGCTCCCTTCCACAATCACATTCCGCACAGAATCCTGAAATTGGTAAAAACTTCTGCAAACATAAAAACACGCTGGAGGATCTCGAGATTTCTAGAGAAAGAATCAAATCCATTCTAATCCATCGAGTCCCCTTTGGGGAGATGGTGGTGGGGTATAAATAAAGCTTATTATTATTGTTTATTTATTGATTTATTTAGGGTTTTTGCATCCCGTCCTTTCTCTCAGGACGGCTAACAAAGTGGCACCCACATCAAAACATAAATATACAATTAACAACAATGTAATAACAACAATATAAAACAGTATAAACAGTATAAAACCATATAAACAATATAAAAACAGAGAAGAAATAGTCAGCGGTCACCGATTTAAATCATTATCCAAGGGCAGTCCATTATTATTGTTGTTATTGTTACTATTATTATTATTATCATCCACAAATAATCAAATCTGCAGATGTTGAACTCACAAAATGCAGAGGATTGACAATACGGCACATTACGGGAGGTCCTTTCCATCCCCAAAAAAATCAATCCATAAAAAGTCTAATTTCTCTAGGTACAGACATACGTCTATCGTAAGAAGGGAATGGCATTCACTCCTGGGTCCTTCCTTATTCCCTAGCAACAACAACAACAACAACAACACTTTATTTGTACCCTGCTACCATCTCCCCAAGGGACTTGGTGCGGCTTACACTGTAGGGAACACTGTGGGAGCAACGGTGGCAAGCTCCTACAGTGTTCCCTTGCTACTTCGCGGTTTGCTTTTCGCAGATTCGCTGTTTCGCGGGTTTTTGTTTCCCAGTTTATGAATGGTTGCCATTGCCCAATGCGACGTTCTAAAAGCAGAGATTGCTAACAACAACAAAAAAGAAGTACATGGTGCCTTTAAATCTCCCCTCGCTTCTGCCTCACCCATATATAGCGTCCCCACTTCGCGGATTTTCATTTTTCGCGGGTGGTCCTGGAACATAACACCCGCGGTAAGTGTGGGAACACTGTGCTTCCGGAAGGAAAAGCTTGGGATCCTTTGGTTCTCTCTCCTCTGAATTGTACTTCGACACATCAGCCGCCAGAGGGAGCACACGCTCCATTCAAAATCCTTCCTATGCTTGAAAATGGGCTTTCTCTCCTCCTGGTTGAGACCCCGAGGTCCTGATACATAGGCCTCTTTCAAGCAAGGGAGAAAAAAGTCCTCTGAGGCTAGGAAAACAGTGGCATTTGAAGGGCATCAAGAGGGAAAGATGAGCAATGAAACCCAACCTGACATTTAAGGTAAAGGTATTCCCCTGGCATTAAGTCCAGTCGTGTCAGACTCGGGTGCTCAGCTCAATTTCTAAGCCAAAGAGCCGGTGTTGTCCATAGACACCTCCTAGGTCCCAATTCAAGGTGCAGGTTCTTACCTACAAAGCCCTGAACGGTTTGGGACCCGCCTACCTGCGCGACCGCATTTCTGTGTACGAACCCACACGATCTCTTCTATCATCTGGAGAGGCCCTACTCACAATCCCACCTCCATCACACGCTCAATTGGTGGGGACGAGGGACAGGGCCTTCTCAGTGGTGGCCCCCCGACTCTGGAACTCACTCCCCAGGGACATTAGACATGCTCCAACACTGGCAGTCTTTAGGAGGAGCCTGAAAACGTGGTTGTTCCAATGTGCCTTCCCAGAATAAGGAGAACTCTCAGCAATATGCCCTCATAATGCACTTTAATACTGACTTAGGATGGACTGTGCTCCCTCATTTCTCTCCGAAAAATCCTATCCTTGTTATATTTTACTTTGTTCACGTCAGCATATTTTCAGTTTTAATCTATTACATTTGGCCTGGCCATTTTTAAAATGTTTATATGTCACTGTTGATTGTTGATTGTATATTTTCTGTTCATGTGATTTTTATGATTTGTATTTTATTGAATGTTTTATTGATGTATTTTTGGGCTTGGCCTCATGTAAGCCACACCGAGTCCCTTGGGGAGATGGTAGTGGGATACAAATAAAGATTATTATTATTATTATTATTATTATTGGAGCCCCTGGTGGCGCAGTGGGTTGAACCCCTGTGCCAGCAGGCAGGACTGAAGACTGACAGGTCGCAGGTTCAAATCCAGGGAGAGGCGGATGAGCTCCCTCTATCAGCTCCAGCTCCTCATGCGGGGACATAAGAAAAGCCTCCCACAAGGATGATAATAACATCAAATTATCCGGGCGTCCCCTGGGCAACGTCCTTGCAGACGGCCAATTCTCTCATACCAGACGCGACTTGCAGTTTCTCAAGCTGCTCCTGACACGACAAAAATATATATATATATATATATATATATATATATATATATATATATATATATTACTATATTATTATTATTATTATTATTATTATTATTATTATTATTATTATTATTATTGTGGTCAGCATGACTGCATGGAGCACCATTACCTCTCCTCCGGAGCTGTACCTACTGATCTACTCACATTTCCACGTTTTCAAATTGCTAGGTTGGCAGGACCTGGGGCTGACAGCGGGAGCTCACGCCGCTCCCTGGATTTGAACCTGACATTTATTAACCTCTTATTAAATTCCTCACTAAGTTTGCAGTGCAACCCTTCAATTCTATGATTTGAAGAGTTCGGAACTAGAAAAAGAGGCAAAACAGTTGGGCCCCAAAAGGACAGGATCATTTGGACTTTCAAATCCAAACAATTCTGCCCATTTCGGGCCAATTAGATTTGGAGTTCGATGCCATCTGTATGCAGATGACGTCCAACTCTATCACTCATTTCCACCAGATGCGAAGGAGTCTGTCCAAGTCCTGAACCGGTGCCTGGCCGCTGTGACGGTCTGGATGAGGGTGATCACACTGAAGTTGAATCCAGACAAGACAGAGGTCCTCCTGGTCAGGACGAACAGGGTATAGGGTCTCAACCTGTGCTGGATGGGGTCACACTCCCCTTGAAGGCCCAGGTTCGCAGCTTGGGGGTCCTCCTGGATTCATCTCTGAGCCTGGAATCCCAGGTTGCAGCGGTAGCCAGGGGAGCGTTCGCACAATTAAAACTTGTGCGCCAGCTGCACCCATACCATGGGAAGTCAGACTTGGCCATGGTGGTCCACTCTCTCGTTACATCTAGGATAGACTACTGCAATGCACTCTACATGGGGTTACCCTTGAAGACTGCTCGGAAGCTTCAAATGGTCCAGCAAGAGGCAGCCAGGTTAATAACTGGGGCGGCATAAAGGGAGCATACAACTCCCATGTTACACCAGCTCCACTGGCTGCCAGTTTGCACAATTCAAAGTGCTGACTTTGGCCTATCAAGCCCTAAACGGCCCTGGCCCAAATTACCTCTCGCCCTATGAACCATCGCAGAGATTAAGATCCTCCGGGGAGGCCCTGCTTTCCGTCCCGCCATTGTGGGGGCGAGAGACAGAGCCTTCTCGGTGATTGCTCCCCGGCTATGGAACTCCCTTCCTGGTGAGATCAGGTCGGCCCCCTCCCTCCTGTCCTTCAGAAGTATGGTCAAAACTTGGCTTTGGGACCAATATTTCAGGACAGGGCAATGAAGCGGCAATAGGAAAGATGACCAGGCCAATTAGATTTGAAGCGAATGACTAGGACAGTTTTAAATGGTGTGTTTTCATATTTTGATATTATTTTCATGTTTATGTATTGCATGTGAATTTGTGTCCCGGGATTAAATGTTTGCCATGTATATGCTGTTCTTTTGGGTTAAGGAGGGCAGAATATACATGTTTTAAATAAATAAATAAAGGTGGCGGGGTATAAATAAAGTTTATTATTATGTATTATTAGTATTATTAACTCTCTGCTTGTCTTGACCGTTACGCAACCCGAGTTTATCTTTCAGCTTGGCCTGAGCCGGTCTTGTTGCCAAGCGCCCGTTGTTTTGATTGTACTGCCTTCTGGATGAGTTGCTTCGCGGCAATTGCTTTGGGCAGCCCGTTTCCTGCCCAAATGAACTGTAGAGAAGTTTTTTATAAATTAGGGAACACACAGAGTTGTCGTTTATCAGACTGCGACTCTCAGACGGGGGATTCTTTGGAGTGGCGGCCCAAAGACAACAACAGGATGGGAGGAATGCAGTTCGCCCCTTGCTGCCGGTTCCCGCTTAATGTGTAATTGGAGAATTGCAGCACTTTCCTTGTGCCGATCAGCTGGGCCTGAAACCCAAGTCTCGACCATGTGAACGTGAATCAGCGCTTGATCCGCCCCGCAGGCAGGTGGAGTTGGTAAACAAGGAGACACTGGAGGATAGCAAAGGGCCAACTTCACTGTTGCTTTTCTGCTCTGTTTACCTCGGGTTAGTCCTCATTTCTCCGATGGCTTTCATGGCTGGAATCACTGTGTTGTTGTAAGTTTGTCAGGGTGTATGGCCATGTTCCAGAAGCATTCTCTCCGGACATTTCACCCGCATCTATGGCAGGTATGCTCCCCCATCCGAGTCTCAAAGGGCGAGTCGACACCATAGAATTAATGCAGTCTGGCACCACTTTTGGGTGCAGCCAGTTCCTGGAGTCTGAAGGCTCCTTTTGGCTCTCTCTTGCCACCTTCAAAGGGTCTGACACTGAACGGGATTCCTCGGGCGGAACACAACGTCTCTTCGATTTCCCTTTCCCTCTGAACTGTCATCATCTCTCTCAGAAGATCACACGGGGACAGTATTGTGGGCAAAACAAACCTTCGTGGACAGGAGAGAAAAACACAAACACACGCGGACCAGGGATTGCCATATCAACACGTGTCTTTCCCCAAATCAGATGATGGGGATCTCGGGTTTCGAAAACAAACCGGTGGGATAGAGAGAAGGAAAACAGAGGGAGGACGTCCAACTGCTCCAAGCTGGCAATGACTTTCCGGACTATATCGTGAACCAGAAAGCAAAACTGGTGACTTTTTTCATGTATGTGCAGTGTTCCCTCACTTCTTGTGGGTGTTACATTCTAGGACCACCCACGAAAAGTGAAAATCCACAAAGTAGGGATGCTATATATGTATATCACACACATACATATACCGTATATACTCGAGTATAAGCCGACCCGAATATAAGCCAAGGCACCTAATTTTACCACAAAAAACATGTGGAAATGGATTGACTCAAATATAAGCCGAGGGTGGGAAATGCAGCATTTACGGGTCAATTTCAAAATAAAAATAGATACCAATAATATTACATTAATAAAGGTCTCAGTTGGTTAAATGTTTTTGAATATTTACATAAAACTGTAATTCAACATAAGACTGTCCAACTCTGATTCAATCATTATTCTAACCTTCTTCAATGTAAATATGCTTACGTATCCTTCCAATAATAATAGAGTAAAATAATAATAATAGTAATAATAATAAAAAAGTAAAATAATAAATGTAACAATCACAATAGAGTAAAATAATAAATGTAATAATAATAATAATAATAATAATAATAATAATAATAAACTTTATTTGTACCCCGTTACCATCTCCCCAAGGGACTCGGTGCGGCTTACATGAGCCCAAGCCCATAATACAACTATACAAGCAATAACAGCAACAATAAACAATTAAAATAAAATAAAATAATTAAAATAACAACAATAATAAAGTAAAATAATAATAACAACAATGTAAATTAATAAATAACCTTGACTCGAGTATAAGCCGGGGGAGACTTTTTCAGCCTAAAAAAAGGACTGAAAAACTAGGCTTATACTCGAGTATTTACAGTATATACAGTATATATTTATGTGTGTGTGTGTGTGTATATATAATACAATACAATATAATGAAAATTCCGGATGAGGCTGCGCATGCGCAGAGAGAGTACCATTAGTGTGAATTCACAGCACAGACACGTAGGGAAATATATTGTATATACATATAATACTTATAATATTATTATGTAATGCAATATAATACTAATAATAATAATAAAAAGTTATTATAATTATTTATATCACATGTAATATTACTAATAATATTACAATATAATGGTATAATACAATATAGTAATATTTAAAACTGATATACTGATATATTGTACTATGCTAATAATATAGTATATTGTATGTATACATATCTCGTAAGCTGCTCTGAGTCCCCTTTGGGGAGAGAAGGGTGGCATAGAAATGTCGTAAATAAATAAATATCAAGTTCCGAGGGTGAGGCAGAAACGAGGAGAGATTTAAAGGCACTGCACACCTTTTTTTCTTTTGCTAGCTATCTCTGCTTTGTTTTGCAATCTCTCTTGATATCTGGCCTGCCCTTCCTGTTTGATTTTATATTGTGTTAATTTGCTTTATTGTTTTGTTTTCGCTAGTGTAATTATTTTCTGATGTAAGTTTTCTTTTTTTGCACTCTGTATTTTATTGTGTTGTACTGTATTTTTTGGGGTTGGCCTCATGTTAGCCGCCCCGAGTCCCCTTTGGGGAGATGGTGGCGGGGTATAAATAAACATTATTATTATTATTATTATTATTATTGATTGGCTGCCTCTCTCCCGAGGGGGAGGGTGAGACCCCCTTCCACACTCCATCATTGCCAGGAGGCGGGATGAGAACACCGCTCTGGGCAACGGCAACCACTGTCCAAAACTGGGAGGCAAAAACCTGCGAAACAGCAAGTCCGTGAAAAGCGAACCACGAAGTAGCGAGGGAACACATTACTTACCATTTGTAACAAGAAGAATACAATTTTCTACCTTTAACATCATTCATAGCATGATAGTTAAGACTACTGCACTGTGCTGTATGTGGGGCCAACCCTGGGAGTGCGTCCAGAACTATCAGTCGCAGCAAGGAAAAGTCACTGGACAGCAACAGCACCCTCATGAGTTCAGATACATTCTCTATCCATCTATCTTGAGTATTTTGGTAACCATTTCTAAACTCTGCCCTGTGAGGCCTAGCCAAGGCCTGTTTGGCTCTTACCTGGCCAAGAGGATGCCTTGGTATTCTTCCAGCTGCCTCATGAAGCTGGGGTTGGGCTTGGTGACGGTCCGGCGCTCCTTCACGTAATCGTAGGCCCGGTCGAGGTTCCAGCCGTATTCCTTCATGGCGTACGCGATCACTGTGGAGGCCGAGCGGCTGACCCCCATCTTGCAGTGAACCAGGCACTTGGATCCGTTCTTTCTGCGGAGAGGAAACGAAAGGACATTTATACGAGGAAGGCGACGGCGACCCGTCCCGGAATACAACCGATCTCTTCAACAAACACCTGGGGGAGGGAGGGAGGGAAAACAAAAGGAAGGAGAGACTTGCTTTGCTTTGGAGATGAACTTGTAGGTGTCGTTCCAGTAGGCCAGCAGGTCCGTTGCCTCCTCGTCATAAACGCGGATGTTGTGGTATTCGAAAACCCCAGGGAAGAAGTTATCAATCTCGCGGGTGACGTTCAGTATGTAGCGTATCCTGTGTAAGAAATGGAAGAGATGGGAAGGAAGGAAGGAGAGGAGGAAAGAAAGGAAAGAAGGGAGCAGAGGGAAGGGAGGAAGTAAGGAAGGAAGGAGAGAGGGAAGGAGTGAAAGAATGGAGGGACAGAGCAGAGGGAGGATAGGAAGGAAGGAAGGAAGGAAGGAAGGAAGGAAGGAAGGAAGGAAGGAGGAAAGAAAGGAAAGAAGGAGAGAGGGAAGGAGGAAGAAGGAGGAAGGAGAAGAGGGAAGGGAGGAAAGAAAGGAGGAAGAGAGAGGAGGAAGGAAGGAAGGAAGGAAGGAAGGAAGGAAGGAAGGAAGGAGAGGAGGAAAGAAAGGAAAGAAGGGAGCAGAGGGAAGGGAGGAAGTAAGGAAGGAAGGAGAGAGGGAAGGAGTGAAAGAATGGAGGGACAGAGCAGAGGGAGGATAGGAAGGAAGGAAGGAAGGAAGGAAGGAGAGGAGGAAAGAAAGGAAAGAAGGGAGCATCGGGGAGGAAGTAAGGAAGGAAGGAGAGAGGGAAGGAGTGAAAGAATGGAGGGACAGAGCAGAGGGAGGATAGGAAGGAAGGAAGGAAGGAAGGAGAGGAGGAAAGAAAGGAAAGAAGGGAGCAGAGGGAAGGGAGGAAGTAAGGAAGGAAGGAGAGAGGGAAGGAGTGAAAGAATGGAGGGACAGAGCAGAGGGAGGATAGGAAGGAAGGAAGGAAGGAAGGAAGGAGAGGAGGAAAGAAAGGAAAGAAGGGAGCATCGGGGAGGAAGTAAGGAAGGAAGGAGAGAGGGAAGGAGTGAAAGAATGGAGGGACAGAGCAGAGGGAGGATAGGAAGGAAGGAAGGAAGGAAGGAGAGGAGGAAAGAAAGGAAAGAAGGGAGCAGAGGGAAGGGAGGAAGTAAGGAAGGAAGGAGAGAGGGAAGGAGTGAAAGAATGGAGGGACAGAGCAGAGGGAGGATAGGAAGGAAGGAAGGAAGGAAGGAAGGAAGGAAGGAAGGAAGGAAGGAAGGAAGGAGGAAGGAAAGAAAGAAAGAAAGAAAGAAAGAGGGAGGAAGGAAGGAAGGAAGAAGGAAGGAAGGAAGGAAGGAAGGAAGGAAGGAAGGAGAGGAGGAAAGAAAGGAAAGAAGGGAGCATCGGGAAGGGAGGAAGTAAGGAAGGAAGGAGAGAGGGAAGGAGTGAAAGAATGGAGGGACAGAGCAGAGGGAGGATAGGAAGGAAGGAAGGAAGGAAGGAAGGAAGGAAGGAAGGAGAGGAGGAAAGAAAGGAAAGAAGGGAGCAGAGGGAAGGGAGGAAGTAAGGAAGGAAGGAGAGAGGGAAGGAGTGAAAGAATGGAGGGACAGAGCAGAGGGAGGATAGGAAGGAAGGAAGGAAGGAAGGAAGGAAGGAAGGAAGGAAGGAAGGAAGGAGAGGAGGAAAGAAAGGAAAGAAGGGAGCCGAGGGAAGGGAGGAAGTAAGGAAGGAAGGAGAGAGGGAAGGAGTGAAAGAATGGAGGGACAGAGCAGAGGGAGGATAGGAAGGAAGGAAGGAAGGAAGGAAGGAAGGAAGGAAGGAAGGAAGGAAGGAAGGAGAGGAGGAAAGAAAGGAAAGAAGGGAGCATCGGGGAGGAAGTAAGGAAGGAAGGAGAGAGGGAAGGAGTGAAAGAATGGAGGGACAGAGCAGAGGGAGGATAGGAAGGAAGGAAGGAAGGAAGGAAGGAGAGGAGGAAAGAAAGGAAAGAAGGGAGCAGAGGGAAGGGAGGAAGTAAGGAAGGAAGGAGAGAGGGAAGGAGTGAAAGAATGGAGGGACAGAGCAGAGGGAGGATAGGAAGGAAGGAAGGAAGGAAGGAAGGAAGGAAGGAAGGAAGGAAGGAAGGAAGGAGAGGAGAGGAGGAAAGAAAGGAAAGAAGGGAGCATCGGGGAGGAAGTAAGGAAGGAAGGAGAGAGGGAAGGAGTGAAAGAATGGAGGGACAGAGCAGAGGGAGGATAGGAAGGAAGGAAGGAAGGAAGGAGAGGAGGAAAGAAAGGAAAGAAGGGAGCATCGGGAAGGGAGGAAGTAAGGAAGGAAGGAGAGAGGGAAGGAGTGAAAGAATGGAGGGACAGAGCAGAGGGAGGATAGGAAGGAAGGAAGGAAGGAAGGAAGGAAGGAAGGAAGGAAGGAAGGAAGGAAGGAAGGAAGGAGAGGAGGAAAGAAAGGAAAGAAGGGAGCATCGGGAAGGGAGGAAGTAAGGAAGTAAGGAAGTAAGGAAGTAAGGAAGGAAGGAAGGAAGGAAGGAAGGAAGGAGAGGAGAGGAGGAAAGAAAGGAAAGAAGGGAGCATCGGGAAGGGAGGAAGTAAGGAAGGAAGGAGAGAGGGAAGGAGTGAAAGAATGGAGGGACAGAGCAGAGGGAGGATAGGAAGGAAGGAAGGAAGGAAGGAAGGAAGGAAGGAAGGAAGGAAGGAAGGAAGGAAGGAAGGAAGGAGAGGAGGAAAGAAAGGAAAGAAGGGAGCATCGGGAAGGGAGGAAGTAAGGAAGGAAGGAGAGAGGGAAGGAGTGAAAGAATGGAGGGACAGAGCAGAGGGAGGATAGGAAGGAAGGAAGGAAGGAAGGAAGGAAGGAAGGAAGGAAGGAAGGAAGGAAGGAAGGAAGGAAGGAAGGAGAGGAGGAAAGAAAGGAAAGAAGGGAGCCGAGGGAAGGGAGGAAGTAAGGAAGGAAGGAGAGAGGGAAGGAGTGAAAGAATGGAGGGACAGAGCAGAGGGAGGATAGGAAGGAAGGAAGGAAGGAAGGAAGGAAGGAAGGAAGGAAGGAAGGAGAGGAGGAAAGAAAGGAAAGAAGGGAGCCGAGGGAAGGGAGGAAGTAAGGAAGGAAGGAGAGAGGGAAGGAGTGAAAGAATGGAGGGACAGAGCAGAGGGAGGATAGGAAGGAAGGAAGGAAGGAAGGAAGGAAGGAAGGAAGGAGAGGAGGAAAGAAAGGAAAGAAGGGAGCAGAGGGAAGGGAGGAAGTAAGGAAGGAAGGAGAGAGGGAAGGAGTGAAAGAATGGAGGGACAGAAGGAAGGAAGGAAGGAAGGAAGGAAGGAAGGAAGGAAGGAAGGAAGGAGAGGAGAGGAGGAAAGAAAGGAAAGAAGGGAGCATCGGGAAGGGAGGAAGTAAGGAAGGAAGGAGAGAGGGAAGGAGTGAAAGAATGGAGGGACAGAGCAGAGGGAGGATAGGAAGGAAGGAAGGAAGGAAGGAAGGAAGGAAGGAAGGAAGGAAGGAAGGAAGGAAGGAAGGAAGGAGAGGAGGAAAGAAAGGAAAGAAGGGAGCATCGGGAAGGGAGGAAGTAAGGAAGGAAGGAGAGAGGGAAGGAGTGAAAGAATGGAGGGACAGAGCAGAGGGAGGATAGGAAGGAAGGAAGGAAGGAAGGAAGGAAGGAAGGAAGGAAGGAAGGAAGGAAGGAAGGAGAGGAGGAAAGAAAGGAAAGAAGGGAGCAGAGGGAAGGGAGGAAGTAAGGAAGGAAGGAGAGAGGGAAGGAGTGAAAGAATGGAGGGACAGAGCAGAGGGAGGATAGGAAGGAAGGAAGGAAGGAAGGAAGGAAGGAAGGAAGGAAGGAGGGAAGGAAGGAGAGAAGAGGGAAGGGAGGAAGTAAGGAAGGAAGGAGAGAGGGAAGGAGTGAAAGAATGGAGGGACAGAGCAGAGGGAGGATAGGAAGGAAGGAAGGAAGGAAGGAAGGAGAGGAGGAAAGAAAGGAAAGAAGGGAGCCGAGGGAAGGGAGGAAGTAAGGAAGGAAGGAGAGAGGGAAGGAGTGAAAGAAAGGAGGGACAGAGCAGAGGGAGGATAGGAAGGAAGGAAGGAAGGAAGGAAGGAAGGAAGGAAGGAAGGAAGAAGGAAGGAAGGAGAGGAGAGGAGGAAAGAAAGGAAAGAAGGGAGCATCGGGGAGGAAGTAAGGAAGGAAGGAGAGAGGGAAGGAGTGAAAGAATGGAGGGACAGAGCAGAGGGAGGATAGGAAGGAAGGAAGGAAGGAAGGAGAGGAGGAAAGAAAGGAAAGAAGGGAGCAGAGGGAAGGGAGGAAGTAAGGAAGGAAGGAGAGAGGGAAGGAGTGAAAGAATGGAGGGACAGAGCAGAGGGAGGATAGGAAGGAAGGAAGGAAGGAAGGAAGGAAGGAAGGAAGGAAGGAAGGAAGGAAGGAGAGGAGGAAAGAAAGGAAAGAAGGGAGCATCGGGAAGGGAGGAAGTAAGGAAGTAAGGAAGTAAGGAAGTAAGGAAGGAAGGAAGGAAGGAAGGAAGGAAGGAGAGGAGGAAAGAAAGGAAAGAAGGGAGCATCGGGAAGGGAGGAAGTAAGGAAGGAAGGAGAGAGGGAAGGAGTGAAAGAATGGAGGGACAGAGCAGAGGGAGGATAGGAAGGAAGGAAGGAAGGAAGGAAGGAAGGAAGGAAGGAAGGAAGGAAGGAAGGAAGGAAGGAAGGAAGGAGAGGAGGAAAGAAAGGAAAGAAGGGAGCATCGGGAAGGGAGGAAGTAAGGAAGGAAGGAGAGAGGGAAGGAGTGAAAGAATGGAGGGACAGAGCAGAGGGAGGATAGGAAGGAAGGAAGGAAGGAAGGAAGGAAGGAAGGAAGGAAGGAAGGAAGGAGAGGAGGAAAGAAAGGAAAGAAGGGAGCCGAGGGAAGGGAGGAAGTAAGGAAGGAAGGAGAGAGGGAAGGAGTGAAAGAATGGAGGGACAGAGCAGAGGGAGGATAGGAAGGAAGGAAGGAAGGAAGGAAGGAAGGAAGGAAGGAAGGAAGGAAGGAGAGGAGGAAAGAAAGGAAAGAAGGGAGCATCGGGAAGGGAGGAAGTAAGGAAGGAAAGAGAGAGGGAAGGAGTGAAAGAATGGAGGGACAGAGCAGAGGGAGGATAGGAAGGAAGGAAGGAAGGAAGGAAGGAAGGAAGGAAGGAAGGAGAGGAGGAAAGAAAGGAAAGAAGGGAGCAGAGGGAAGGGAGGAAGTAAGGAAGGAAGGAGAGAGGGAAGGAGTGAAAGAATGGAGGGACAGAGCAGAGGGAGGAGGAAGGAAGGAAGGAAGGGAAGGAAGGAAGGAAGGAAGGAAGGAAGGAAGGAAGGAAGGAGGAAGGAACAAACAAAGGGAGGGAGGGGAGGAAGGAAGGAGAGAAAGAAAGAGGGAGGGAAGGAATGGAGGGAGGGGAGGGAAGGAAGGAGGGAGGGAAGGAGCGAATGAAGGGAGGGAGGGGAGGAGGAAGGAGGGAAGAAAGGAAGAAGAGAAGGAAGTGAGCAGAGGGAGGGAGGAAGGAGGAAGAGGAGGAAGAAAGGAAGGAGAGAAGGAAGTGAGCAGAGGGAAGGAAGGTGGCGAGGAAAAAAGCGAGAAGGAAGGAAGAAAGTGAGCAGAGGGAGGGAGGGAGGGAGGGAAGGAAGGGAGCAGAGGGAAGGAGGGAGGGAGGAATGGAAGGAAGGTGCCCCAGACAATGAGAAAGCTAATCCACCCACACACCCCGCAAACCAGCTTCCTGGTCATCACTGGAAAGTTTTTCCCCCAAGCCTACCCTCGGTTCTGCAGGTCTTCCAAGTTTGAGGCGTTCCACTCTGAACCCTGGAGTGAGACAAGAGAATAATCATGCAACACGACCAAAAAATAGTTCATGAGGAATCCCTTCAGAAAGGGGTTAAGAAATGAAAGGGAATAAATGCAGATGGGCTATCTTTACAAATTTCTGGAGAAACTTATTTTGCATTAATGGAATTATGGAAAAATAGAGCCATGTATGCTCCCACAGTAAGCTGGCTTCAGGAAAGGCAAAAGCTGCACATCGCAAGTGCTGAACCTGACTCAACACATAGAAGACGGTTCTGAAAGGCAGCAGATCACAGGAGCTGACTTCAGAGACCTGTCCGCAGCATATGACACTGTAAATCATCGCCTTATCCTGAGGAAAAAAATATATCACAAAGGACAACCACCCCATCCACTTCATAGGAAATCTGTTACAAAACAGGAGCTTTTTTGTTGAGTTCCAGGACCAAAGATGCAGAAGAGTGGCCTGCCTCAGGGGAGTGTGCTCGCTCCATCAATGTTTAACATTTACACAAATGACCAGCCACTTCCAGAAGGGACAGAGAATTTCATATATGCTGACAATCGTGCCATCACCACCCAAGCAGGGAGCTTTGAAATGGCTGAACAGAAGCTCCAGAGCTTTAGGTGCTGTTACTGCCTATGACAGGGGAAACCAGCTGATTTTTAATCCATCTAAGTTTCATCTATGCTGACGATCGTGCCATCACCGCCCAAGCAGGGAGCTTTGAAATGGTTGAACAGAAGCTCTCCTCTTACTACCTATCACAGGGGAAACTGGCTGATTCCTCATCCATCTAAAATGCAGATGTGTGCTTTTCACCTTAAGAACAGATAAGTTCTTAATGAGACATGCTGCATTATCACAGGATGTCTATGCCGTGCACCCCTGGATCAGTATGTGTCACCGACAGGATGCTGACTGATGTTTCCGCCATCCAAGGCCTTACCAGAAAGACATGGTCGAAGATCTGGGTGGGGCTATCCATCTGTCCCAGGATGACGATCATCTCATTGTCGATGAACTCCTTGAACTCTCTCAGGTTGCAGGCCATCTGCATCTCCAGCTCTGTTCGGATCTAGAAGACGACGAAGAGAGAGAGAGAGAGAGAGAGAAAGAGGGTCTTTAGGCTATGACTTACTTACTCCTCTGTTGGTGAAGCAGGCCTCTCCTCCTCCTCCTCTGCTTCTCACCTCCTTCGACGTGATGTTCTCCAGGTCCTTCTGCATCATAATCTCCCGCAGCTTTGTCTTGATTAAGCGCTCTGTTCGTTCGCGTTCTGTGGGGCTGCGGAGGGAAAGAGAGAGAGAGAGAGAGAGAGAGAGAAATAAGCCAAGTTGGAGGGCCATCTCTCACGCCTCCAGAGGACACAGGTATTTGCTTTCCATGCGTTCCAAAGGGATGCAAAAGGGGCACTGCTTTAAAGTTCACGTTTCTTGGAGAGCGAGTGAATTCCAAACTAGCATATATACTCGAAGATAAGCCGGGTTTTCCAGCCTTTTTGCTTGCAATATATGATTTATTTCTCTCTCCTCTTCCCCTCCCTTAACAGTGTGTTTTCTTTTCCAGTCGAAAGGGAGGGAAGGAGGGAAAGAGGATGTATTTCATATCCTCCTTGTTTGTATGGCTCTCTTTCAAACCCAACCAATTTCCTGGTATTGCCTTTTTGTTCCCTTGGAAGTGTCTGCTATAGGTCTATAAATATGTTTCTATCTAATATGCATGTTTCTCCTGAAATCTTTGCAAATCATATATATCCATTAGTCTTATGATAGCATTTTCCCCTGAAATATTTGTTAATCTCTCCTACAGATATATAGGCATTTCCCCCTGCAAGCCTTTGCAATCCCTATGAACTTATATAGTATCTCTATCTATCTATCTACATTGATTTTATATATGGTTTTCCCCTCATATGTTTGCAGGTCTTTGCAAAATCTATAAACATATAGATATCTAGAGATTTCCATGTACCTGTATATCTGTATTTGTATCTATATATATCGATCTGTATCCATATGTATACATTATTTTTATATATGAATTTTCCCCTCAAATGTTTGCAAGTATCTGCAAAACCTATATATCTGCATATCTGTGTGTATGTTTATGTATAAATATGTTTATATATGAATTTTCCCCTCACAAGGTTGCAAGTCTTTGCAAATCCTATATAGATGTAATTATCTATATAGAGAGCGATTCCTAGATAGATATATATGTGCATATAGATCTATAGATCTATATATGTGAATATAGATCTATAGGGCTTGCAAATATTACAGGGGGAAAATGCATACACAAATATATATTGACATGTCTAGATAGATATGAATATAGATATATAGGGCTTGCAAATATTGCAGGAGAAAAATGCAAATAGAAATATATATAGACACGACTATGGATATATATAGGGCTTGCAAGTATAACGGGGGAAAATGCACACACACACACACACATATATATAGACATGTCTAGACAGATATGAATATAGATATATAGGGCTTGGAAATATTGCAGGGGAAATGCACACATGCACATATATACATAGAGAGAGGGAGATATAAGAATACATATATTGGGCTTGCAAATATTGCAGGAGGGAAATGGATATATATAGAGAGAGGATTTGCAAATGTTTCAGGGAGAAATGCATATGTGAAGTTAGTATATAGAATTATAGATCTATATCTAGCTCTGCATTGTTTATATAGGCACTGAATGTTTGCCTGTTACTATGTTGGAAGCCGGCCTGAGTCCCAATGGGGAGATAGGGCAGGATACAAATGAAGTTCTATTATTATTATTAGTATTATTATTATTATTATTATTATTATTATTAGGACTACTGTTATCATTATTATAAAGCTATTGTTGATACCATATTGTTTTTGTTGACCCTAGTTTTACTGTTTTTCTTTGAAATACGATAAATATTTAAAAACACTGAACCTATGGATGCCTCAATTCATGTATTTTCTTGATATCTATTTTTATTTTGAAACTGACCCATAGCTGCTGCATTTCCCACCCTCGGCTTAGACTCAAGAGTCAATATGTTTTCCCAATTTTTGGTGGTAAAATTTGGCCTCGGCTTATATTCGGGTCGTCTTATACTCGGGTATATACGGTATTTAAGGTCTCAGAACTTGCCATCGACAGATAATCCTCGGCAAAGATCACCCAGTGAGCTCTCTTTGGGAATTGGAACCACTGACCACGTGATGGTCTCTCTTTGACAGAATCCCTCCCCTTCCCGGCCCTGACTTGGCCTGCAATTTTTGGAGGGCAGACGTAGCCGTGGGGCTGGCCAACCACAGCCTCCTACCTTTCTTGGGAAAGGTAATAGGCCTCGGGGGCTCCTTATATGGAGGCGGCACCCGTGGGTGCATTCCAGACACCCTCTCCAGCTTTATCAGCGGCTGTAAAAATAGCCAGGGCTAATCGGCAGGGATGGCGGCAGTGGCGGCATGCGGAGCTGCTGCAGGGCTCAGGGTCAGCCAGACCGTGAGGGTTCCCTCTCCCCGCATCACATTCCACTTTCCTGTTCCCACAGAATCCAAAGCACTGCCTGCCTTGACCTGCCCCCAGCATCAGGCACACCAAGGCAGGCGGACCCAAGTGTCCATTCAACGGCTGCAGAGAGCTGCCCGGCACTTGGGATGGGAACATTTCCAAAATAGCGGGTTCATATGTCTGGCAAGAGTGGTCACTTGGCCTCCAGAAGCCCAATGAATATTTGGAGGAGAAACAAAGGAAGGAAGGGGGGGGGGGGAGAAAGAAAAGGAGGGATGCTTGGAGAGAAAAGCATATCGGGAAGGAAGGAAAGAAAGAGAGGAAAAAAGGCATTTTGGGAAGGAAGGAAGGAAAAGGAGGAATGGGATTTTTGGAGAGAATAGCATATTGGGAAGGAAGAAAAGAAGGAAGGAAGGAAGGAAGGAAGGAAGGAAGGAAGGAAGGAAAAGGAGGGACGCTTGGAGAGAAAAGCATATTGGGAAGGAAGGAAGAAAAAGGGAAAAGGAGGGATGTTTGGAGAGAAAAGCACATTGGGAGGAAAGAAGGGGATAAAAGGGAAAAGGAGTGACGTGTGGAGAGAAAAGGAAGGAAGGAAAAGGGAAAAGGAGGGATGTTTGGAGAGAAAAGCATATTGGGAGGGAAGGAAGGAAGGAAGGAAAAGGGAAAAGAAAGGAAGGGAATAAGAAAGGAGAGAAGGGAAGGATAGAAGGAAGGAAGGAAGGAAGGAAGGAAGGAAGGAAGGAAGGAAGGAAGGAAGGAAGGGAAAGGGAAAAGGAGGGATGCTTGGAGAGAAAAGCATATTGGGAAGGAAGGGAGGAACGAAGGAAAAGGAAAAGGAGGGATGCTTGGAGAGAAATATTAGGAGGGAGGGAGGGAGGGAAGGAAGGAAGGAAAAGGAGGGACACTTGGAGAGAAAAGCATATTGGGAAGGAAGGGCGGAAGGAAGGAAAAGGGAAAAAGGAGGGATGTTTGGATAGTAAAGCATATTGGGAGGGAAGGAAGGAAGGAAGGAAGGAAGGAAGGAAGGAAGGAAGGAAGGAAGGAAGGAAGGGAAAGGGAAAAGGAGGGATGCTTGGAGAGAAAAGCATATTGGGAAGGAAGGAAGGAAGGGAAAGGGAAAAGGAGGGACACTTGGAGAGAAAAGCATATTGGGAAGGAAGGGAGGAACGAAGGAAAAGGGAAAAGGAGGGATGCTTGGAGAGAAAAGCATATCGGGAAGGAAGGAAAGAAAGAGAGGAAAAAAGGCATTTTGGGAAGGAAGGAAGGAAAAGGAGGAATGCTTGGAAAGAAAAGTATATTGGGAAGGAAGGAAGGAAGGAAGGAAGGAAGGAAGGAAGGAAGGAAGGACAAAGGAAAGAAAAAAAAGAAAAAAGAAAAGAAGGAAGGATGGAAAGAAGAAAGGAGATTATCAGTGAAAGGAAGTAATGGTTATGCTGAGAGCATCCAACTCTTTTCCCTCCTGGAATCTGAGAAATCGTTACTAAAAGGCTCCTACTTGAAGATGAAGTAAGGGCGAGCACAAGTATCAGGGCCTTTTGTGCGAGATAGGATCACAGGGCAGTTTGTGCAGGATATGGAAAGGGAAGGAAAGCTCGGGAGCCCGGAAGAGACCCAAATCTGAAGGCGTTGCAAAACCTGTCAAGTGGCGGAAACATGCCCAAATGCAGGCTGCCAGCCACTGACCCGTTACAGGCGTGACTCAGGCACAAGCCACATTCCTGCCCAAATCCAAGAAGCCGTTGCGCTTCAGGCGCATCACCTGCCTAGCGAGTCCCTCAGCCACGTTCAACCAAGGAGGCACGCAGCCCAGGAATGCCGCCTGACAGCGGGGTGATTCAAGGGAGAGAGGGAGCACCACTTAGGGAGAACACTTTCGCTTTGTAAACATGGAAGGTGGTGGGCTCGACCCCAAAATGAGGAGGAAATCTCTTGCACAAGACCCCTGGAAAGCCAATACTAGTCACAATTGTCAAACCCTGGCTGGAATGGATGGATGAGCCACATTCACACACAAACGTGGCTTTGCTAAAGGCTTGCGTCGTGTTAGAATGGCATCCGGCTTAACAAGCAAGCCATGGTTTGCTAAGCAATGAGAAACTATGGTGACAAACCATGGCTTATTGATAAGTGCCAAAACAATGCCAGGTTTATATGCTAGGATTTCAATAAAATCTAGTGGCCAGCGAAAGAGGAAATCTAGTGGCCAGTGAAAGCCCGCTGAACCCGCAAGGTGGACTCACACGTCGGTGAAGAGGGCCGGCGAGTCAGGCCGGTGGGACTGGACATCCTGCATGGCGTTCCATTCGTTGACGGAGGACTGGTCCGAGTTGATGTGGCTCTCATAGTAGCTGACCCAGGTGAGGAAGAGGCTGCCTGGGTAGTAGTTGTGGATCCGGGCCACTTCGCAGGCCTTGTGCAGGCTCTGAAGGGCAGACCTGGGCAGAGAGAGAAAAGAGAGGCATGCCGGTGGGCTCTACGATTCACAGAACCGCCACACAAGTCTATATATTGAGAGATGTCTAGATAGATATATATGAATATAAATATATAGGGCTTGCAAATATTACAGGGGGGAAATGCACACACACACATATATATAGACTTATCTAGATAGATGTGAATATAGATATATAGGAGAGACTGACTATAGGTAGATATAAAGATAGATATATAGTGCTTGCAAATATATCAGGGGAAATGCACACACACACACACACACACACACATATAGAGAGAGATGTCTAGATTGATATATAGATATATAGGGCTTGCAAATATTGCAGGACAGAGAGAGACTCTTGAAAGATATAACAATAGATATATAGGGCTTGCAAATACTGCAGGAGAGAGAGAGAGACTCTTGAAAGATATAAAGATAGATATATAGGGCTTGCAAATACTTCAGGGGAAATACACACACACATATAGAGAGAGATGTCTAGATATAAACATAGATATATAGGGCTTGCAAATATTGCAGGAGAGAGAAACTATAGGTAGATATAAAGATAAATATATAGGGCTTGCAAATACTGCAGGAGAGAGAGAGACTCTTGAAAGATATAAAGATAGATATATAGGGCTTGCAAATACTCCAGGGGAAATACACACACACACATAGAGATGTCTAGATATAAACATAGATATATAGGGCTTGCAAATATTGCAGGAGAGAGAGAGACTTTAGGTAGATATAAACATAGATATATAGTGATTGCAAATACTCCAGGGGAAATGCACACACACACACACATTTAGAGAGAGAGATATCTAGATAGATATAAACATAGATATATAGGGCTTGCAAATATTGCAGGAGAGAGAGAGAGACTCTTGAAATATATATAGATAGATATATAGGGCTTGTAAATACTTCAGGGGAAATACACACACGCACACACACATATATATAGAAAGAGATGTCTAGATATAAACATAGATATATAGGGCTTGCAAATATTGCAGGAGAGAGAGACTCTAGGTAGATATAAACACAGATATATAGTGATTGCAAATACTTCAGGGGAAATGCACATACACACACACACATTTATAGAGAGAGATATCTAGATATAAACATAGATATATAGGGCTTGCAAATATTGCAGGAGAGAGACTCTTGAAAGATATAAAGATAGATATATAGGGTTTGCAAATACTGCACGAGAGAGAGAGACTCTAGAAAGATATAAAGATAGATATATAGGGCTTGCAAATACTTCAAGGGAAATACACACAGATAGAGAGAGATGTCTAGATATAAACATAGATATATAGGGCTTGCAAATATTGCAGGAGAGAGACTCTAGAAAGATATAAAGATAGATATATAGGGCTTGCAAATACTGCAGGAGAGAGAGAGACTCTAGAAAGATATAAAGATAGATATATAGGGCTTGCAAATACTTCAAGGGAAATACACACAGATAGAGAGAGATGTCTAGATATAAACATAGATATATAGGGCTTGCAAATATTGCAGGAGAGAGACTCTAGGTAGATGTAAACATAGATATATAGGGCTTGCAGATACTTCAGGGGAAATGCACACACACACACATATAGAGAGAGAGATGTCTAAATAGATATAAGCATAGATATATAGGGCTTGCAAATATTGCAGGAGGGAAATGCACAAAGAGAGAGAGGGTTTACAAATGTTTCAGGGGAAAATGCGTATGTGAAATTAATATATTAATATTATAATATATAATTATCGATCTATATCTAGCTTTGCATTGTTTATATAGGCATATTTGCCTGTTACTATGTTGGAAGTCGACCTGAGTCCTGATGGGGAGATAGGGCGGGAGACAAAGGAAGTACTACTACTACTACTACTACTACTACTACTACTACTATTATTATTGCTTCACCTTCTGCCAACTGAGTCCAGAATGTAAAAGTTGTTCATGTTCTACCAACCCAGATGTTTTTCCTTGCCCAGGCCAAAGGAATCGGTATTGTATCATTATTTACTTTTGTCCGAACGGAACGGACTATGGATTGTGATCACATCAGAAACCCAACTTTTAAATAGCAACATGAGCAAGAGTTTACGATTTGCTCTGAGGATTTCCTCCTCAGCTTCTGAGGAACGCCGCCCCAGAAACCCAGGGTGATAGCGCTGAAATCATAAGCGTGAACGGGCAAAGGGCAAATGTGTGGCGAGCCCCACCCTTCCTGGGAAACGGAGAGTCCAGAAATCCACGCCCAAGACAGGCTTTGGTCCCACGAAGCCGGGCGTCTCCTTGGAAATCGGTCCAGAGATGCCTTCGAAGAACACGGAGAGGGAGGAAAACGGGGCTGCTCTTTCCGTTTTGAGCCGGAGGTCTAACTCGGGCCGTGACCCCAAGGATCCCAGCGCCAAAGAAACAAGAGACGTCCAACCTAACCGGGAGATACTTTTCGAGAGCGGAGAAGGCATCCCTGAGTCACTCCGGTCTCTTGAGGAAAAGGAATCCCTTCTAAAAAGGAGCTGGGGTTGCTTGCGTTGGAGTTGGTCTAGATGGCCTTTGAGGGGCCCCATCCAACTCTATGATTTGATGATTCTATGCAGACGATTACTGTTTTTTTGCTTGGACACCAGATCCCACCGATGGCTAAGGAATCTGTCACACAATCTTAAACTAATAATAATAATAATAATAATAATAATAATACTTCATTTGTAGACCACCCTATCTCACGTCGATTTCCAACATATATGGAATTCCAGACAAGAATCCATCAGGGCAAGCTAACATCTCCCAACGAGGAACCCCCCCAGGCAGCAACCAACCAGGCTTTGAAGCTGCAAGGCCATTCAATGCTAATCAAGGTGGCCAATCACAACATTCACATGTGCCTGAAAAAGACATTATTTCAGAGGTATATAAACCCAATTTTCCTAGTTTCCAACAGACCTCACAATGTATTGTCGAAGGCTTTCATGGCTGGGTTGTTGTAGGTTTTTCAGGCTATCCGGCCATGTTCTAGAAGCATTGTCTCCTGACATTTCACCTCCATCTATGGCCTCTGAGGATGCCTGCCATAGATGTGGGCGAAACGTCAGGAGGGAATGCTTCTGGAATGTGGCCAGACAGTCTGGAAAACTCACAGCAAGCCATTAGAATTAAATATTAACAATATTTACAAATATAGCTGGAAGTGGGCCATAGAGTTATTTGGGCCGGACTATAGATTTACTTGGAGGGAACACTATTGCTACTATTATTATTTGATACACAACAAGATGAGTCCACAGCAAACAAGATGACTGTGCTGGCTTTTGTATTGGATCACACGTCGGACACTTCCCAAGTATCTAGGACTGTGTGATGTATCAGCGAATAATGTATGCAGATGTCAGTAGGGTGGCCTTTTGCTGCTGACAGGTGGCAATTTTGTCAGCACCGATTTTTTTAAGCACAGGCCAAGGTCTTGAGGCACTGCACCCAGTGTGCTGATCACCACTGGGACCACCTTGACTGGCCTATGCCAGAGTCTTTTCAGTTCAATTTTTAAATCCTCATATTGTGTCAGTTTTTTTTCCAGTTGCTGCTATTATTATTATTATTATTATTAGAAACACAAAAAGATGAGTCCAGAGCAGACACTCTGCTGGCTGTTGAATTGGATCACACGTCGGACAGTTCCCAAGTGTCTAGGACTATGTGATGTATCAGTGAATAATGCGTGCAGATCCCAGTAGGTTGGTCTTTTGAAGCTGACAAATGGTAATTATGTCAGTGCTGATTGTGTTTAAGTGCAGGCCAAGGTCTTTAGGCACTGCACCCTGTGTGCTGATCACCACTGGGACCACATTGACTGTCTTGTGCCTGAGTCTTTGCAGTTGTTGTTGTTGTTATTATTATTTGCAGCTGAGAGGTGGTAATTTTGTCAGCACCAATTGTTTTTAAGTGCAGGCCAACATCTTCAGGCACTGCACCCAGTGTGCCGATCACCACTGGGACCACCTTAACTGGCTTGTGCCTGAGTATTTGCAATAATAATAATAATAATAATTATTATTATTATTATTTGCAGCTGAGAGGTGGTAATTTTGTCAGCACCGATTGTTTTTAAGTGCAGGCCAAGGTCATGAGGCACTGCACCCAGTGTGCCAATCACCACTGGGACCACCTTGACTGGCTTGTGCCAGAATCTTTGCAACAACAACAATCATCATAATAGTTATTATTATTATTATTATTATTATTATCTTGCTTTTTCTCTCAACGCGCTTACAGTAAAACCAATATAACAGAATTTACAACCTAAAATATACAAACATTCAAACAGAATTAAATATGTATTGTTGAAGGCTTTCATGACCGGAATTACTGGGTTGTTGTAGGATTTTTCGGGCTATGTGGCCATGTTCTAGAGGCATTCTCTCCTGACGTTTTGCCTGCATCTATGGCAAGCATCCTCAGAGGCAGTGAGGATGCTTGCTATAGATGCAGGCGAAACGTCAGGAGAAAATGCCTCTAGAACATGCCCATATAGCCCAAAAATACCTACAACAACCCAGAATTAAATATTTGGCTGTATTTAAAAAATAAGCAGTGAAAACCCTTGAAATGGATGACGAAAAGCGGAATGGTCCTTTGAGGAGCATTAGGCAAATGGAACCTCCATGTTCAGGGAAAGTGTAGCTCTAAATACCAGGAATTTTGGACGTGGAAGCTGGAAAGGATCACACGGGGGGGGGGGGGGGGGGGGGATTTTCTGTTCCTGGACTGAAAGTGTTCTTTCCTGTTTCCTTGTGAGAGGAGTGGTTCTACTCCAGATCTCAAACCAAAGGAGGGAAGGGGGGGGGGGGGCCTCTTACCACATGGCTTGCACGGACACCGGCTTGAAGATGTGGATCCGGTTATCAGTGGAGACACTGAAGCCCCTGGAAAGAGTAAACACAAGGCCATGTTTAGCAGTGCCAAGCTTAGGAGTGAAGCCCCAAAGGCACCATTGTGTGCAGGAACGATGCGCGTGTTGCTCCCGCAGTGCCGACCACCAAAGCCACTTCGATATTCACTTACCCGTCGCCATCCAAGTGAATGAGGGCATCGCTCCAGAGTGGCAGGACCAACCCCATGGTGCACACGCTGCTGCCAAGACAAGAGAAGAGGAAGAGGAGGGGGCTGAAGTCAGACGCAGGGGATCCACATTACGTAATTATAATGGAAAGGAAGGGGTACCCCCAACACAAGCCATTCGAGAGGCAGGTAAGAAAGGAAATATTAGTAGTGAAGAGAGGAGGGGGGTACCATTGAAAACAGTTCCATCTTGTCTCCTCTGCTTTACTAATAATATGATATAATATATTGTATATACATATATTTATAATATTATAATGTAATACAATATAATACTACTACTAATACAATATTATAATTCTATATTTTATATTACATGTAATATTACTAATAATATTACAATATATAATGGTGTAGTACAATATAGTAATATATAATATTGATGTTGTACTATGCTAATAATTGAATATATTATATGTATATGTGTATATGTGTGTGTATCATTATTATTATTTGCAGGCCTTTCTTTTGTGGTCAACGGTAACCCTTCTTTCAAAACTTCTTCCTTGACTTTGTTGTGTTTCCTACAAATTGTTATTATTATTATTATTATTATTATTACTATTATTATTGTCATTATTATTATTATTATTATTATTATTATTATTATTATTTGCAGGCCTTTCTTTTGTGGTCAACTGTAACCCTGCTTTCCCAACTTCTTCCTCGACTTTTTTGTTTCCAACAAATAATAATTATTATTATTGCAACCATCATAACCATTATTTGCAGGCCTTTCTTTTGTTTGTGGTCAACAGTAACCCTGATTTCCCAACTACTTCCTTGCTTTTGTTGTGTTTCCAACAAATTATATTATTATTATTATTATTATTACCATTATTATTTTAATTATTATTTGCAGGCCTTTCTTTTGTTTGTGGTCAACAGTAACCCTGCTTTCCCAACTTCTTCCTTGTTTTTGTTGTGTTTCCAACAAATAATTCTAATTATTATTGTCATTACTATCATTATTATTACCATTATTATTTGCCGGCCTTTCTTTTGTTTATGGTCAACGATAATAACCCTGCTTTCCCAACTTCTTCCTTGCTTTTGTTGTGTTTCCAACTTATGGCGACCCAAAGGCATCCCTATCACAGTGTCGTCTTGGCAAGTTGTGTCCTTTGTGGTTGAGAGAGTGTTGACTTGCCCAAGATTTCCAAGGCCAAACTCTGCTCCCCTGAATTATATTCCGATGATCAAACTCAACTATCAAGGTTTACTTTTTGGACTTTTTGGGGACGATTTTCAAGCCACGGATAGCTGAATCCATAGATACAGGATCTGTGGATGTGGACGGTCGACTGCATGTGGGTGCTTAAGCTGTGGCAGTCTGGAGGTGGACCCGGTCCCTGTCTTCTAAAGGGCCGAGGAGACCCAGGCCGAGATGCCCGAGTGCCATGAGCTCATGGAAAGACGAGGGGAGAGACCAGGAGGGCACCTCTGAATCGACAAAAATATCTCCCCAGGGACTGGGGGATATTTTTAGGGACGCTCCTCTTGAAAGCCCCCAGCAACAAGGCTAAATTGAGACGTGCAAAGACTCGGCGAGATTCGGTGTCTTACGAGCAAAGCGGGAAAAGGACCTGAGCAAAAACCAACGGTGGGTGAACTAGAAATCCCAAGAGGCAGCACTCGGCACCTCTCATCCTGGAGCTAAGCCCGGTGGGACCGGCAGTCTGGTCAGAAGAGCTGCATTTTGCCCATCTATGTATTTCAAGCAGGCACGGGCAAACTTGTGGACTTCAACTCCCACAATTCCTAACAGCCTAACGGAGAACGCCCATGACCAACAAAAAATATTAGAGGTCTTTGAAGGGATTTAGAGGAGTTGTAGTACACCTACATCCAGGACGCACTATGAACCCAAACAACAGTGGATCTGGACTAAACTGGGCATGCATACCTGATATGCCCAAATTGGAATACTAATTGGTTGTTGAGGGAAATTGGCCTGGACACTGTGGAGTTGTATGTACTGGGATGTATAGTTCACCTGCAATCAAGGAGCACTCTGAACTCCACCAAAGATGGCATTGGACCAAACTTGGCACACAGAGCCTCCACGACCAGCAAAAAAAATACTGGAGGTCTTCACGGGGAATTTATCTTGATTTGGGGGAGTTGTAGTTCACCTATCTCCAGAGAGCACTGTGAACCCAAACTCCAATGGATCTGGACCAAACTTGTCACACATACTCGATATGCCAGAATTTGATTACTGGAGGGGTTTTGGGGGGAGGGGGCAGGAACTGAACTTCCTTTCTGGGAGTTGTAGTTCACCTACAACCAGAGAAACTATGACTTCCATTGATGATGGACCTGGACCAAACTTGGCACACAGAACCCCCATGACTCACTCCACCTACTGGAGGGGTTTGAGGAGACTGGCTCACCGTAGTGGGAGTTGAAGTTCATCCTGCAGCCAGAGAGCATACTCAACCCCATTGAGGATGCATCTAGAGCAGTGGTTCTCAACCTGGGGTCCGCAGATGTTTTTGGCCTTCAACTTCCAGAAATTCTAACAGCTGGTAAACTGGTTGGGATTTCTGGGAGTTGTAGGCCAAAAACATCTGGGGACCCCAGGCTGAGAACCACTGCTCTAGAGCAAACTTGCCCAACATCACAAACTTGAAGTATTGATGGAGTTTTGGGGAGATAACCTGGCATGATGGGAGTTGTAGTTCACCCACAACCTTAGGCATTTGGTATTATTATTATTATTATTATTATTATTATTATTATTATTAGCTTGGGCAATGCCCAAGGTTACCCAAGCTAATAATAATAATAATAATAATAATAATAATAATATATTATAATAATAGCTAGTATAAGGTAGTACTAATTTTAATGTTGGCATTTATTATTATAATAATTATAATAATAAATGCCCAAGGTTACCCAAGTTAATAATAATAATAATAATAATAATAATAATAATATATTATTATAGTAATAGCTAATATAAGGTAGTACTACTTTTAATGTTGGTATTTATTATTATAATTATTATATATTATTATATAATATATAACAATTTATATATAATAATTATAATAATAAATGCCAACATTAAAATTAGTACTACCTTATACTAGCTATACTACTATAGCTATAGTATAGCTATACTAGCTATGCTACCTTATTAAACCATCAAACACTTTAACATGACATCATTAAAAACCCTAATGAACATTGGTACCCAGTAAGATCTTTCGACACAGCCAAAACTGCTGAGGAAAGGAAAGCAGCCAAGTCTGCCAAAGGAGATAACCATACAGTTTGGGCACTGCCAGCAATAGGCCCTACCTATCCCACACCTCCCAAAATGATGCATCCCTCTGGAGACGACGTACCTGTCGTTGGAAGAGAAGTCCATGCCCAGGACAATGCTCTCCTCAGTGTCCTGCCGACCATTGGTGGAGACCACCACCATGTAGCGGGTGCGGTTCTGGTAGGTGCTCTCCAGCCGGACAGCCTGGGGGGAAACGGAAAGGGAATGGAGGAATCCGAACCCAAATGGCACAAGGCTTGTTGCAATGCCTCCCCTAAGCTGATCCTTTCTGGGGCTTGGAGACATTCTGGAGTTCGGACTGCAACGCCCACCACCAACTCCCATGGCTAGTGGGGGGGAAACTAGGAAGGCGGTCAAGTCCTTCATTGTGTAGACGGAGGGACAACTCAGCACTTGATGCCAGTCAAATGCCTGCCTGCCTTGCATCTTTCGATGCCAAGTTGGCAAGATGCGTCATTGCCACCGCATGGCAGGAAGCGGGCGTCATGCAGCGCAAGATGGGAGGAAGTGGCCCTGCGTGGCCTGGAGATGCCCCTGGGGAGGAAGCAGATGGGGACAACGTGTGGGTCCTTTGCAGACTGGCTTTTTAGGCAATCCGGTTACGTTGGTTCCCAGAAATGTTTGCGCCTCGCAGGAAAGCGAGACCTGAATCTTCTGTGGAAAGGTTACAGCATTGCCCACCAACACTGCGAGATCTCCAAAGGCGAAATCAAGTCGCTCTGAGGCGTTGCCGTGGCCCAGTTTGTGTATATGTGTTTTTTGTGTGTGTATATATTTGTGTATTTGCATGTGTGTGTGTATATATGTTGTTTTGCACGTGCGTTGTAATGTATTTTATTATTTTTTGGCTGTTGAAGTCTCTTCCAATATGAGTGATCGTTGTTTTCATGGCCTGATAGGTATATTGCATCCAAATTTGGTGTCAGTTCGTCCAGTGTTATTTGAGTGATGATAATCCCACAAACGAACAATTGTGTAGCCTGTTGTCGACCTTTGCAACCCGAAAGGCAGTTGCATCTGTCAAGTAGGAAAATTAGGTACCACCTTAAAGTGTGGGGAGGCTAAATTAACTAATTTATGAGGCCATAAAGAAGACTCCAGCAAAGCATTCCAGCGGGGAAGCATGCGGGGAATGTGGAAGTGCTTCCTCAGCGTTGCAGATGGACGATGAAAAGCGACAGCTCCCCTGGCGGCCAGAAAAAAGTTAAATAGCCTCTGTGTATGTCTGTATATGTTTGTATGTCAAATTGGCATTGAATGTTTTCCATATATATGTGTACACTGTAACCCGCCCTGAGTCCCCTGCGGGGTGAGAAGGGCAGAATATAAAAGCTGTAAATAATAAATAAATAAATAAAATATTACATTTTTATTTATATAGATTTATGTATTAAATCATTAAATTATTTATTTATTTACAACATTTATATGCTGCCCTTTCTCACCCCGAAGAAGACTCAGAGCGGCTTACAAGTAATATGTAAATACAATATATTATTTTATTATCATAGCACAATATTAGTCTTATACATTGCTATATTGTACTACTCCATTATACTGTAATATTATTAGTATTATATTATATTACATTATAATATTATCAATATTATATGTATATATATTATATTATTTTTTTAGCACTAATAATTAGCATTAAGAGATTCCTAGAAGAAACATTTTAAATCCACAAATAATCAAACCACAAGCTTTGGGACAAGTGATGTGTTCTATTCAGGATAAAAATTGAAGAAATGACTACAGAATGAACATGAATTTAGGTTGTTGTAGGTTTTCCAGGGTGTATGTCCATGTTCCAGAAGCATTCTCTCCTGACGTTTCGTCTGCATCTATGGCAGGCATCCTCAGAGGTTGTGAGGCCATAGATGGAGGTGAAACGTCAGGAGAGAATGTTTCTGGAACATGGCCAGACAGCCCGAAAAACCTACAGCAACCCAGTGATTCCGGCCATGAAAGCCTTCAACAATACATTGTGAGGTCTTTTGGAAACTACAACAACAACAACAATTCTTTATTGATTAGTCAATTTTGACCATATCAAGACATGCAAAACATACAAAAACATACACACTTGCTCATACATTGTGAGGTCTTTTGGAAACTAGGAAAATGGGATATATCTATCTATCTATGGATTAATGCCCAGGGTGGGAGAAAGAACTCTTGTCTGTTGGACTATTGCAAATGGCCACCTTGATTAGCATTGAATGGCCTTGTAGCTTCAAAGCCTGGCTGCTTCCTTCCCTGGGGAATCCTTTGTTGGGAGGTGTTAGTTGGCCCTGATTGTTTCCTGTCTGGGATTCCCCTGCTTTTTGAGTGTTGCTCTTTGAAAGGCACAGCAGACTAACTCAACCAGCCATGAACCAACCTGGACACAGCATATTATTGCAGAACACGGAAATGCTGCACAACACTCACAACCACCATGTTTGACTACACCAAGAAGCCATTGAAATCCACAAGAAGCAGGTGGACAATTTCAACAGAAAGGAAGAAACCATGAAAATGAACAAAATCTGGGTACCAGAATTTAAAAAACTCTAAAATCAGGACAGTAAATAAAGAGAAACACTCTGAAAACAAGGGAATTCCAGACAAAAAAACAATCAGGGCCAGCTAACACCTCCCAACAAAGTATTATCCAGGGCAGAAAGCAGCAAGGCTTTGAAGCTACAAGGCCATTCAATGCTAATCAAAGTGGCAGCATTCACACCTGCCTTAAGCATACAAGAGTTCTTTCTCCCACCCTGGACATCATTCCACAGATATATAAACCCCATTTGCCTAGTTTCCAACAGTCCTCACAACCTCTGAGGATGCCTGCCTTAGATGTGGGAGAAATGTCAGGAGAGAATGCTTCTGGAAAACTCACAAAAAGCTTTTGACGACATAATATTTATCGAAAAATATATTGTGTTGTCAAAGGCTTTCATGGCCGGAATCACTGGGTTGCTGTGAGTTTTCTGGACTGCCTGGTCATGTTCCAGAAGCATTCTCTCCTGACGTTTCTCCCACATCTATGCTTAGTTCCAAAACCAGAGCAAAACTGGGAAAGGTAGTCCCTACGCACCATCCCTGACTCGCTGCTCCTTCTTCAGAGACCTGTCTGGCAGCAAGCGGATTAGCGGTAATCTAATTTGCTTTGCTAAACCAATCTGGGCAGCAATAATTAGCCAGGCGGTTTGGGCACAAGACTGCTGCTGAAGCAAGCGAGGAGCCAAAAGGGCTGGCAGGACTGGCCTCTGCCCTGAGAGCTTTGAAACGAGCGCAACTGTGGGCTGTTCTCCATGGGAAACGGTTGCTCCCATTACTTGGCAGGGTTTCCGTCCACCATTTTCCAAGCCTCGGGGTTTCCTCCGACAAGCCCAACACAAACTTTGGAACAACAACTTGTGCCCTCAAGGATTACGCTGCTCGTTGTTTGTTTATCCTTTCCGAGAAAGCACGCCGGACAGGTTCAGCGTTGAGCAACCGCCTTCACAGTCAGCAAGCCACGGAAAGTGTAAACAGAGCTGCTCCCCGGGTGGCAATCTTGGCCTGCTTTGGGGAAGATCTCTCAAATAGTCGTCTCTGCTCCAAAGAGCAAACTACCATCATCCTTTCCCATTGCCCTGGTTGGCCCAATGGCTTAAACCCTTGTGCTGCTAAACTGCTGACCTGGAGTTGGCTGAACTGCTGACCTGAAGGTTGGCAGTTCGAATCCACAAGACAGGGTGAGCTCCCGTCTGTAAGCTACGGCTCCTGTCTACAGTTCGAAAACATGAAAATGTGATAAATAGGCAAAGAGATGCTCTAAGCCAGGGGTCCTCAAACTAAGGCCCGAGGGCCAAATCCGGCCCTCCAAGGTCATTTACCCAGCCCTCGCTCAGGGTCAACCTAAGTCTGAAACTACTTGAAAGCACACAACGATGACAACAACAATACTATCTCATTGGCCAAACCAGGCACACACTGCCCATTTAAATACAGAACTTCCTGACTGTGAGAGCTGTTCAGCAGTGGAACTCTCTGCCCCAGAGTGTGGTGGAGGCTCCTTCTTTGGAGGCTTTTAAACAGAGGCTGGATGGCCATCTGTCAGGGGTGCTTTGAATGCAATATTCCTGCTTCTTGGCAGAATGGGGTTGGACTGGATGGCCCAGGAGGTCTCTTCCAACTCTTTGATTCTATGATTCCTTTGCTCTTTGGTTCCATCCTTCCTTGTCTCTTTCCTTCCTTCCTTTACTCCCTCTTTCTCTCTTTTGTTCCTTTTCTCCTTCCTTCCCTCTCTTTCACTTTTATTTCATTCTCTTCCTCCTTCTGTCCTTCCTTCCTTCTCTACCCTTCTTTCTCTCCTTCCTTCCTTCTCTACCTTTTTCTCCTTCCCTCTTTCTCTCCTTCTTCCTTCTTCCTTCTTTTTCCTTCTCCTTCCCTCCTTCCTTCTCTACCCTTCTTTCTTCCCTTCTCTGCTTTCCTTTCTCTCCTTCCCTCCTTCTCCACCCCTTTTTTCCTTCCCTTCTTCTCGCTCTTTCTCTCCCTCCTTCCTTCCTTCTCTACCTTTCTTTCCTTCTTTCTCTCCTTCCCTCCTTCTTTCCCTTCTTCTCTCCCTCCTTTCTTCTCTACAGTTCTTTCCTTCCTTCCTTCACTCCCTCCTTCCTCCTTTCTGTGTATGTGTTTTGTGTGTGTATATGCATATATGTGTGTATGTGTTTGTATATATATATGTGATTTTGTGTATGCGTTATGTTTTTGTTTTTGGCTTTTGAAGTCCCTTCCGCTGTGTTTTTCAGTGTTTTCATGAGTGATGGTCACTCGTTGACCTGAGAGGTGTCTGGTGTCCAAATTTGGTGGTTTTTGAGTTCTGTTCATCCCACAAACGAACATTACATTTTTATTTATATAGATGTATAATTAACTGCCCTGGGACTCCTCTCACCCCCCCCCCCCCCCCACAATGGCTCTCCTGTGAAGAGAGTGATGGGTTCTGCAGGCAACCAAGAGATGGACCAAGGAGAAGAGAAGGTTCGTTCCAAGGGGCGAGCAAGAGGAGGGCTTACCAGCCGGATGTTGTCCTCCGGGCGGAGCAACATGAACATGGCTTGCAAGTGTTGCTGGAGGTCTCCTGGAAGTGAGAAGGCATGGGGTCAAGGCATGGATTGAGCAGGTCCATCTCTTCCCAATCCACCTTTGAGGTACTCAGGGGAGCATCTCCGCTATCTGGCTAAGGCTCGAAGCTTGCCTATCGTCTTTGTTTATCCATCCGTGATGGAGGACTTTGGGAAATGCCAGAGTCTGGCTTGCCACAAGGGCTGCGCTGCTGGGTCGAGGAAGGCCTTACCTGCGTGTTTATTCCTCCGGTGGCTGATCCTGGGGGTCGAGGAGCCATTTCCGCGCGGCAGGAAGAGGGCGGCCCCTTTGACGGTGAGAAAGCTTTCGCTGATGCTGCAGGACAGGAAAGGAGGAAGGGAAAAACACAGAGAGAGAGAACAAATGAGTCCAAAGGAGGAAAAAACACAACTCTCGTCACTCAAAGCAGACCCGACGCCTTCCTTCCGTCTGCCAAGGAAAGCAATGCTGGACCCTTCCAAACTCTGGATATCTTCTCTAAGGAATTACGCAATGGAGCTCATGGGCCCACGGGGTCCACCAAACCACCGTCTGGGCTTATTCCACCAAGAATGACCAGAAACAGGGTGAAATCGTGGTCCCAATCCTAGAGAGGTGACCAAGGAGGCCTCAAAAGCTGTTGAAGTGCCCAACAGAAACCCACAGCTCATCCAACCAGGTGACCCAAGCTGTCCCAGGACAGGTAGGAAACTGGAGATAATAATAATAATAATAATAATAATAATCATCATCATCATCTTCTTCTTCTTTATTTATACCCCGCCACCATCTCCCCGATAGGGACTCGGGGAAGCTTACATGAGGCCAAGCCCAAACAACAAATTACAACAGAGTAAAACTAAAAACACAAACTGAAAAAGCAAACAATAAACAACAACATCATAATTACATAAAACATGTGGATACATAACAATATAAAATTACAATAAGCACAATCACAGTGACAATGGGTGCGCTACATGTAATGGATTAAAAGAAAAACTGATTAAAAACTAATTAAAAACTGTTTCATCCACAAGGTTTGTTTGGTTGGTTACAGGATAGAAAGTTTCATCTACACTGACGGTTGTGCCATCACCGCTCAAGCAGGGAGCTTTGAAATGGTTGAACAGAAGCTCTCCGAAGCTTGAGGTGCTCTTACTGCCTATTACAGGGGAAACCAGCTGATTCCCAATCTATCTAAAACACAGGTGTGTGCCTTTCACCTTCAGACAACAGACAAGCATCTCGAGCTCTGAGGATGACCTGGGAAGGAATCCCACTGGAGCATTGCAGCGCATCACAATACCTGGGAATCACTCTGGATCGTGCTTCCAGACAGGCCCTATATCACAGGATCTGATCCCAGGTTTTCTGCTTTAAGTTGATTATATGAGTCCGCACTGCCAGATAATCTGGGATAAGGAGGAAAACTGGGCTCAGATCCTTGGATACAGGGCCTGTCTGGAAGGGGCTTAAAGCCAATCTTAAAAGTTGTGGCGTAGACACCATGAACAGGGAAGAACTGGACCTTGAGTGCTCTAACTGGAGGTCAGCTGTGACTAGCAATGCTGCGGAATTTGAAGAGGGTGAAAGGGAAAAACGTGCCAAGAGGAAGGTGCGTCAAGCCAATCCTGACCAGGAAATTCCACCTGGAAACCGATGTCCTTACTGCAAAAGAACATGTGGATCAAGATTAGGTCTCCACAGACACTTATGTATCCACCACCAACACACTATGCTTGGATGGCCATCATCCTTGGGCTACTAGAGATTGCCTAAGTAAGCATTTCTGTGTGGAAGGCACCGGAGACTACCAGAAGTCACAGCCCAAAACCTAAGGGTTGTTTCTCAACTTGGGACTGTTTCATGGGATTGCGGACGAACGGCATTACGGACGAACAATATTACGGGATTGTGGACGAACGGCATTACGGACGAACAACATTATGGGATTACAGATGAACAATATTATGGGATTCCGGAGGAATGGCATTATGGACGAAAAACATTATGGGATTGTGGATGAACAGCATTACAGATGAACAACATTACGGGATGACGGGTGAACAGCATTATGGGATTGCGGACGAACGGCATTACGGATGAACAACATTACGGGATGACGGGTGAACAACATTACGGGATTGCGGACGATCGGCATTATGGATGAACAACATTACAGGATGATGGGTGAACAGCATTACGGGATTGCGGGTGAATGGCATTACGGACTAACAACATTGCGGAATGTCAGACGAACAACATTACGGGATTGCGGACGAACGGCATTACGGATGAACATCATTACGGGATTGCAGACGAACGGCATTACGGATGAACAACATTACGGGATTGCGGACGATCGGCATTATGGATGAACAACATTACAGGATGATGGGTGAACAGCATTACAGGATTGCGGGTGAATGGCATTACGGACTAACAACATTGCGGAATGTCAGACAAACAACATTACGAGATTGCGGACGAACGGCATTATGGATGAACATTACGGGATGACAGATGAACAGTATTACGGGATTGCGGACGAACAGCATTACGGACAAACAACATTATGGGATGGCAGGTGAACAGTATGACAGGACTGCAGACAAACGGCACTGTGCAGGAAGATAACAAGGATGCAAATTGTGATGTGCAAAATTCCTTCTGAATACCGACTCTGAGAGTAAAACCAACTCGCAATCCAGCACCAGATCACCTCTCAATGCATCTGGGTTTCTCGACATGCAAATATATATTTTTGAGAAGAGAACCATCTGCAGCTTGTTACCAGAATCCGCCGCAGCTGTCCTCTTGCGGTTAAGAGCCTCCAGCTGCACATCCTTCCCCAAAATCTTTGACCCACACTCTCTTATTATGATTTCCCCCTGAAATGTTGTGATCTCCGAGATCGGCGTAAACCAGAAACCGCAGCCGCAGAGTAATCGAGGCGCACGCCCAAGTGCTGCCAAAACCCAACACCCTCCGCGTGCGTTTCCATTCTACGAGCAGGGCTCGCCAGCCTTTAAACGCACCCAGGGGACCCACGACGTCTCCAAACTTCCTCTCTCCTGTGAAATGAACTGGGCAGATTGAGGTGACGCAGGACTTTCTCTTCTCTCCCTCGTTCTCCCAGGGTGATGGGAAGGAAAGGAAGTGTTCATTAAGACGGCCAGCCCTTCCCTGGAGAACCCTCTAACATTTATTGCCAAGCTTATTATTAGCCATTTCATTTTCAAATTTAGAGCTCGACAACGATCAAACTCTTCCTGGCTGGAGGTCCAAGAAGTCACGGTCTATTAGCAAGGTTGGGAACCTTTCTCCTGTGTGTCTTGTAGGCCTCTGAGTCACTTCTCAGGGCTTTTGAGTCACATCTCGATTTATGATGACCATGAATTTCATAGGGTTTTCTTAGGCAAGGAATCCCCAGAAATAAATCAATTAGAGAAGTGTTTCTCAACGTGGAGGCATCACAAGGGGGTTTCAGAAGGGTCACCAAAGACCATCAGAAAACATATATTTTGGATGGTCTGAGGAACCCCTTTGGCAGAGAAGGCTGAAGATCTCTCTGCCTGTCCTTCTCTTCCTTTTTGGAAACAGATGAGGGCAACTAAAATGATCAAGGGCCTGGAGAACAAGCCCTATGAAGAGTGGCTTAAAGAGCTGGGCATGTTTAGCCTGAGGAAGAGAAGGCTGAGAGGAGACCTGATGAGGGCCATGGATCAAGAGATAGTGAGGACGGAACAAGCTTCCTTTCTGCTTCCTTGGATAGTAGGACGCAATGGAACAATGGCTTCAAACTACAAGAAAGGAGATTCCATCTGAACATGAGGAAGAACTTCCTGACTGTGAGAGCCATTCAGCAGTGGAACTCTCTGTCCCATAGTGTGGTGGAGGCTCCTTCTTTGGAGGTTTTTAAACAGAGGCTAGATGGCCATCTGTCAGGGGTGCTTTGAATGAAATATTCCTGCTTCTTGGCAGGGGGTTGGATAGCCCACGAGGTCTCTTCCAACCCTATGATCCTATGACTCTATGAATCCACCCACCAAAAGCCCTCCTCCTGCTATGATTGGCTAGCATCTCAGCCAAGGGGAGGACTGTTTCTGACACTCCAAGCAGGGAGGGGAGAGCAGGTATGGCAACGTGGTGTACACACCTGGGCGAGGGGGAGCATGCAAGGCTGGAGGGAGGCTCGCGCAAATGAGTCCCTTCAAGGCAGGGGGGTTCTGTGTAGGAAATTTGGCCCTATTTTATCATTGGAAGAGTTCAGAGAGCTCTTTGATTGTAGGTGAACTATAAATCCCAGCAACTACAACTCCCAAGTGTCAAGGTCTATTTTCCCCAAACTCCAGCAGTGTTCACATTTGGGCATATTGAGTATCCGTGCCAAGTTTGGTCCAGATCTATCATTGCATGAATCCACAGCACTCCTCTGAATATAGCTGAACTATAACTCCCAAACCCAAAGTCAATACCCACCAAACCCTTCCAGTGTTTTCTAATAGTCCTGGGAGTTCTGTGTGCCAAGTTCGGTTCAAATTACATTGTTGGTGGAGTTCAGAATGCTCTTTAGTTGTAGGTGAACTACAAATCCCAGCAACTACAACTCCTGACTGTCAAGGTCTATTTCCCCCAAACTCCACCAGTGTTCACATTTGGGCATATTGAGTATTGGTGCCAAGATTGCTCCAGATCCATCATTGTTTGAGTCCACAGTGCTCTCTGGATGTAGGTGAACTACAACTCCCAAACTCAAGCTCAATGCCCATCAAAGCCTTCCGTTATTTTTTGTTGGCCATGAGAGTTAAAGAGTGCTAAGTTTGGTTCAATTCCATCGTTGGTGGACTTCAGAATGCTCTTTAGTTGTAGGTGAACTATAAATCCCAGCAGCGAAAACTCCTGTCAAGATCTATTTTCCCCAAACTCTGCCAGTGTTCACATTTGGGCATATTGAGTATTGGTGCCAAGATTGCTCCAGATCTATCATTGTTTGAGTCCACAATTCTCCCTGGATGTAGGTGAACTACAACTCCCAAACTCAAGGTCAATGCCCATCAAAGCCTTCCGGTATTTTCTGTTGGTCATGGGAGTTCTGTGTGCCAATTTGGTTCAATTCCATCGCTGGTGGTGCTCAGAATGCTCTTTGATTATAGGTGAGCTATAAATCCCAGCAACTACAACTCCTGAGTGTCAAGGTCTATTTCCACCAAACTCTGCCAGTGTTCACATTTGGGCATATTGAGTATTGGTGCCAAGTTTGGTCCAGATCCATCATTGTAGATGAACTACAACTCCCAAACTCAAGGTCAATGCCAATCAAAGCCTTCCGG